TGTCTGTCTGTCTGTCTGTCTGTCTGTCTGTCTGTCTGTCTGTCTGTCTGTCTGTCTGTCTGTCTGTCTGTCTGTCTGTCTGTCTGTCTGTCTGTATAGAACTCGTTAATTGATAGGTAATACCTCGAGATAGTCAGACAAGATAGTATATCCTGTCTATAAACAATATGTTATCGATAAAAGAATAGAGGAAATATTATAGAGAACTTACCTCTAATAGGAACTATCAACGAGTTGTTATTCAAAACTAGCTAGCGGTTTCCAAGGTAGACTTGAAACGTTACTCCTATATCATGATTATACAAACGATACCAGCTTACAATACTTTGAGTATTATATTAATCATCAATCAACAGAAGAAGGTTCTAGATAAACAGGCGGTTAGGCTCCCTAGGTAAAGATATAGTCGGATGTGATATCCACTGAAGTTACTAATTATACATAAAAGGATACTATTTATCGAAATATATGTCAACCCATCTTGACTTTAGTATATACATTGGATTCATTTCATAAGTTAGTAGAGAATCATGAATTAGAAGATACTTTAGCTAAGAAAACTATATATATATATATATACAAAGATCTATATAACACAGATAGTAGATGCTTATTTACTAATACGAAGAAGTATGTAGGACCAAAGATAATGTTACAGATTTATATATATGACCCAGATAGAGATCTCATTAAAATTTTAACGGGTCTACTACTTTCTACACCTTAAAACACTATCATTAGTTGCTAGTCATGTATAATGGCACAAAATTGTCTCTAAACATATAGATGACTCGAGGTGCAGAACAATCCGATATGTTGGTTTCCACGGATGGACTAGCTCCAGAACTCATATAGACAAGGGTTTGTCTGCTTGCGTCGGGAAGGGTCCCTATAACCTTTGTTAACAGCAGGTGCCTAGTGTGATTCATGTCCACATAGTTTGATATGTCAGATCTTTGAACCCGAATACATCATCCTATTCTAGCTTTGACGATACCTCGTAACCTCTCGCTCTCTACCAGCATTGTGTCACTTGAACTTTTCCAAGGTTGGTTGTATCTTCAAGCGCTACAGGCGCTTTCGAGATTTCCCCGCATTTGTTCGGCAAATAAGCATGGATGTATGCATCCATGGCCATATAGTCAGGCTTCGATACTCTCTTAGCTCTGGCATCGCTAATGTGAGAGGCATTGCACAGCATACCGACGTGGCGCCAATGGTTCTATATGGCATGTGCAATTGCATGGGACCCAGAGATCCTACAGTTGCTACGCAAAAGATCCAAGTCAACATAACAAATTTAGAACCTCTTCTCTATAAGAACTGACCTGTTCGACCTATAGAATCAAAATTTATACAGCCCTTCGAGTTGCCTACCCATGGAGAAGTTATCCTCTCCAAAGGATGGTTTACGTAGCCACCGGTCGATCGAGAGGGAGTCTTTGTGGCTTTCTTCCATTCAAGCATCTAATATATCAGAAGCACAGTCTAACGAATCCCTGGAAGGTGAGAAATATACCCCACGTTTGCTGGGAGGAATTTCTTGAGTCCTCATTTATCCGACCAGTGCTGATGAGTGTTTAGTACGGTGGATGCGGTCAGTACAAAAGCGTGGGGGCTCCGACAGCCCTGGAATAACGCGCTTGCCGCTCAACTCATACGTCCAACGCATGCTCACAACATGTATGTGCCACGCTAGGCTTCGACGCTCCCTTCCTGACGAAGACTCTGGCTGTCTACATTGAGAGTCTCGACCGTACTGTGACCCTAGGAGACTACGTAGTTGAGTAGTCCTAGGAATCGCTCACTGATCTGGAATCGACACAGCATGCTTCGCAGCCAACAGTCGGATCTCTTCCTGGCAGCTTCCTAGATTTGCCTTTGCTGTTTTCCGTGATATCCCGATATAGTCGTCGACAAAGGCCCGAATGCTATGCCAGATCACGTCCGCTTGAACCAAAAAGGCTAAGTTTCGTGACGATCAGAGATGGGCATATACAATCCGAATCTGTGCAATCTCAATCTGGGCCAAAATTTTAATAGAGAATACAAGCTCAATCCACGCCTCAAAATGATTGCCAAGACGGTACAATCTCAATCCGATTTGTCAGATTGATTGTGTTAGATTGAATAAAGTGGGATATATACCTATATATAGCCGCGGGCCCTATCTTGGGCCATATTCAGGCATCATTTCTGCCTAAGGCTACTATATTAGAGCCTAAGGCTAAAGTACAGGCCTTAGGCAGAAATGATGCCTGAATATGGCCTAAGATAGGGCCCCGGGCTATATATAGGTATATACCCTACTTTATTCAATCTAACACAATCAATCTCAATCCCTTGGTATAGATTCCAAGCTTAATCCGTACTTTTAGAGTGACTAATCATACAATCCTAATCTAGGACCTTGGATTGTATCCGATTGTATATGCTCACGTCTGGTGACGATGAGACTTGAATGCGAAGGACGCCTCGGCATAAGCATCACTGCGCGTCTTTATATGATCTGGAAAATGGCGTAAGGCGTCATGAGTCGCCTTTTCGTGCAGTTCGCTATGTCGTCTGATCTCAGGGGCAAAGTACTCCAATCAGGAGAGACTATTCAACGCCGCACGTGTAGACCCCCACTCGTTTCTGTTGTATCATAAATCAGGTTAAAACCTATCCTACCGTGGGCTGCTATGCTCAAGTTCTAATGAAAGCAAAAAGATTACTGACGTTCTTGATCTTCCATTGATCCAGGCAACCATATTCTCTACATCTCGTTTGATAATCTCTGAAATCTAGGGGCAAAGCTCAAACTCACTTCATCTGCATTCAAGACTTGCCAGCCTTGCTACATTATACGGTACGACAGCGTGAAGTCTCTTGAGTCAAGTGAGTGAAATAATATATCCCTCAAACAAACACTAGACCAATAGCCACAGTAGAAGAAGATAACCGGCACGAAATGAAGCTTCTTACCCGTTATCATCTCCGGAGAGCCGTGAGAACTTTGTGTTGCGGTGTAGTGAGCCATCAGAGTGAGGTAGGAGCTATAGAGTCCAATTACAACCTACCCCTCGAAGCGCCTCAATCTCACTACTTTCGCAAGCTCAATTCGCGTTCACAGCGGAACTGACAAAGTCTTAGAGCGAGACTTCTACTTTGGCAGATCCATATCCGGAACCATGTACAAAGAGTTCTGTGATTCCTACGGAAGGGCAGAACGCAAATTATTCACTGCCAGAGAGCAATGCTTTCGAAAGGACACTCCAGTTCATCTGTAGTACCGAAGGGGATGACGATCTGCTACGCTATGGCGTTGCAATATTCGACACCGGGAGCACATATAATTATGTTACCTTGGAATGGCTTCACAACAACCATATTCCATACATGAACTACGAAGATGGGCCGCGCGTAGTTGCAGAGTCTATCCAAGGCTGTCCAGTATACGCTCTTGGAGAGATCAAAGATGTTCGTTTCAGCCGGTCACCGAGTCAGCGCGAAGTATTGGACTCGGAAGGGACTGCCTTGCATTTACTTTCTAAATTCTGGTATGGAGACTTTTTTGTCTTGTATGACGGAGACGAAAATATTCAAAATGGACGAGCTCAATCAAGGTCAATTGAGGTCATCATTGGGTCGGATACGATGAATGAGCATGATCTATACAGGCCGCATCCTCAACTGTTGATGACGCAAGGTTACTACATGCAGTCTTACACCAAATGTACGTACTTCTCATCCAATCGGCTCTAATGCGACTGATTAGATACAATAGCTCCGAACTATGAGCAGGCTCGCAATGAGCAGGAACGCAATGTACAGCAGAGCAGAGCTCAGAACAACGCTCGTCATAACGCGCGAATGGCGCAACTGGGGCAAAACGCACAAAACACGCCCAACACATCGAACAGACAGAGCACTCAAAATACACAAAGCACGCAAGGCCAGCAGAGCTGACATCGATTTAAGATAGCCCGTCTCGCTGCTTTCTGAGCGATCTGTATTTGTTGGCTAAGCAGTATGTTGTATTCAAGTGACGATCGATGATATTGATGCAGAATTTATCACATCTTCATATGCTTTACTACCATAAAGAGTAACTTATCTTCATTCAGGGTTTTAAGTCAAAAACAATAGTATGAAATCTTCTATGAAGGAGGGCTAACGTAATGATATCAAGAGCACTGATGCATAATATATTCCTTTGAGGTCGATGCTCATTCAGCCACAGTAGGCAACGAAACACAAAGATTGCTTAAAGTTGACCATCGTTGAAAAGCCTCCACGGATTGATGACTTCAGTGACTCAGAGTAGAGACTTTGTGTCAGGCTTGCATCTATAAGATATTGTCGAGAGTACCCTGATTTAAGATAAGCGTGACAAATACAGCGGAAAGTCTGCGTAATTAGTGATGTTGATATGCATCAGGCTAGGTGTCTTACGTGGCAATGAATATGAATATCTCAATGTGGGTTGGTAGTCCCAGGAAGTTCAGGGACGTAGCGCCCAAGAAGATATACACAACCGCCATAGCGACCTTCAAGTCTTTACGTTGTACGAAATATAGACTGATGATCGCCGAACTCGTGAAGAAGGCCATTATCATAGTTGTGATTGCTCTTGCTATGTGAGATATCGTCTTGATTCTGTAGGCCTTCGAACCTCCGAAGGTGCTTGGTTTGAACATTCCAAAGCCGTTAAATCGAAGAAGCGTTCTAACGAATCGAACAACGAAGAATTCTGAGAAAGGATCCATCGTTTCTCGGCTAGTCATAGCGAATAGATCCGGAGAGGCCGCTGTTGGTTGCTCTATGGAGCCCCACGTGTTGAAATCGTCTCCAACCATCGCACAGGGGCCCATCATGTCGCTCGAAAGTAAGCTCTGTATGTGTGCAAGGTCGTACTGGCTGGGCTCTTTGAGAGAATATACACTGTTTGTAAGAATGACAAACTTATCTACAGTCTCATTAGAAGCTTCTAGGCGATAATGGCTCTGTTTACTTACAGTATTCCTTCATAACATGCCGTATTTTCGTGACCAAGCCGCTATGCTCAGCTTCAAAACTTCCGTCAGTGCTCTGATCCATCCTTACTGATAATGCTGATGCCCAATCAACAGCATACAATGGTCGGTCTTCATTCTTACTGATGCAGTCTTCCACGGTAAGCAGTCTAGTATGGAGACCCGTCAACTCAGCTTGCATATAGAGGAGTATCCGCGTAGCCAAGCATGAGAAGCTTCGAATAATAGTAGTTTCAGGAAAGTTACTCATTTCTTGTGCTAGGCGTGGATAACCAGCCGCCAAATCATTCTTTATACTGCCGCTTTCTAAGTCCGTAATCAAGCTCGGAGGAGGTTGGTCAGGTATTTCAGACATCTCCATATTGGTGCAGAGGGTTCCTGAGTGGAACATCGTGCTGATATGGGCGGATACTGACTTCTTTTCAATGACATCTCTCAGAGTGTACTACGAAGCTCTCTAGATTCGCAATTACCTGTCTCCAATTCAAGGGCTCTTGCTACGGCGCAGTTGTTTCCGCAAGTACCCGTCATGGCACAGGATATATCATGCTATCTTCGTATGTGCATGAATCTGCACGAACTTCTTGTTTAGATAACAGCAAACAATCTGTCCGACGTTCGTGCGTCACATAGGGCAGACCCAAGTGGCGAATAACTGTGGCATATGTAAAGGGCAGCGCCATCCTTCACTAGCATTTCCTGGTTCAGGTAAGTCAAACTATCACAAGAAGAGGCAAAACACTTGCATAGTTGAAAGCATGACTTTGCACGGATTCTCTCAAGCCCGATCATGTGGGTCGGTCACTGAAGCAGAAAGGTGGGTCTCGAGCACGTTTGAGTATAGCACGGAACGTTTCGTTCATATGTATGCTCGAACGGACTACAAAATCTCATTTCTTGTTGGTCCTTGTGCCTGCATATACGGGTAGCCAAGAGACACCGAGTCACAATGGAGTCGGCCACTTGCATTTACTCGTAAAATGACGTAGAAGAGGGCGGTCGCATCGATAGACGGGGAAAGGTACCACTGCTACATGAACACATGTGAGACCTACCGGAATACCGCATCTGGAGGGCCGATATGTCAAGTCTTTGGGATAGCAGTGGCACCAAAACACGGAAATAGTACTGAAGCAATGTTCTGAGGGCAAATTTGAGTAATAGTCCTTTGTTTGACGATGATATAAAGAGGGAAGTAGAACTAAAATTGCGGTATAGAACTCCTCGTAATGTCAAACTCAATCTGGAGCTTTGCCGAAATATCATCTGTGCTGAATTAACTTCTTGTTGGCAATGAATGATATAGATACTCACGTGACAATCTAAGGAGTAACTCGTGTGACCAGGTAGGAGGTGTTGTCGTACATCGACCTTTGGAACGTTCTCGCTCCCTGCCATTCTAATTCCAATTTCTCCCCTAGCTTGTCATATGCCACTCATTAGGTATGACGAAGGCCTTATCCTGGACCTCGTTTAAACGCGAGCTTTACCACTGAGTGACCATCTCTAGGATTATCTCAAACCTTGTCACGGCAGAGACCACAGCTACCTTGTCCATGTTTACCTGCATCACAGTTACGCGAAGATGGCCCATGAGTGGGGCATTTCACCACTATTTCTGGGATTGCGTTAGACATGAGCATGGCTATGGCAGAGGATCTTTCACCTTGAGCCCTTACCTCGCATGATGGTACAGGCCACACAATGAGACTCATCTGTTCCCACATTGCTATGGCGCTTTGGGTAGTGCGTAAGGTTGATATTTTGCTGACACAGAGCTCCCCACCATGAGATGCAATCAGATTGTAATTGGCGTATCAGCAGCACAGACTCCACTCCAAGTCAATCTTCATATGGAGAGTCGTAGACAATTGGCCGGGGAAGCGGGAATGAGTCCACGATAAGCAGGGCCCTTTTCGCTGGGTTCATGACGACTATTGTAGGAAAGCAGTCTATGGACGAACGATATCGTGCTGTAGTGCAACTAGCAAGTAAAGCACCCAAATATTGTCTAAGAAATGCTAAAAGCACCACGAAACGACGATCCAGGCGCCTTTAAATGCCCCAATCGGCCCTTTCACGAATGAGTAATTCCTCTTCGTGTTAGAACATATCATAATCACAAGATCTACCATATACGAGCCGCTGCGGAAGATCCTCATGACTCAAGCAATTGGTTATAACTATCGTAATCAAGACTTTGGGTCTACTAAAGTAAGATAATGTTCCACGAATATGTGACGGAAAGATGCTTATTTCGAGTTTCAAGATGCCAGCAGATATCACATACCTGAAGCATTGTGACGACAGGCTCACAGAATACAATATCAAACTCTGTGCACAGCCCTTGGCAGGCAAGGTACGGATCGGAAGAGCTGTACATAGCCATGCCCGTCAGCACAACCTAATATCACCCAATTTCCTGACCAGGACCTTGAAAGTCGGGTTCACATCCTTTGGCGAGCAATATGGAGCGGCATGTAGCCTGATCGAGATTGACGGGAGCAGTTGCACGGGCTATATCGACCTGCATTGGGCCGTCGGGGAGTCGAAGAAGTTGTCGTCGGCTAGCTCGCGGTTCTATGTCGTGGAAGAGAAGAATCCTCCCTTTGATATCGTCCTGGGTCCGGACTTCATGTTGAGTACGGCTGCTCAGGAAGGCTGAGTTGGTGCCCCAGGAAAAACGTAATCATCGATATCGAAACTCAAAATTGGCGGTGTTAAAGACGACATATATGCACGAGCGAAAATGTAATTCTCATATCGCAGCTCAACAGGGTTCACAATTGAGTGCGTGTATGCGATGTGATGTGTATTGAACGACTTTTGCCATTGATAAGCACTCATTAAGTGCTCGATTTATACGGCATGTCAGGACATAGTTGACACCATCAAGCCATCTATAATAGTTTATATTTCAGCTTTAAGCTCTGCCGGCGTCTTCGCTTACTCAGCGTCCTTCCCCACCTCCTTGGCTCTCCTCGTGGAACTCCCGCTCTGTCTCTGAACTTCTAGAGCGGTCAATTGATTGATACTTCGCATTCGCGCCTCGTGAAATGCAAGCTTCCAATGCTAAAGAGGTTGTGCGTGCTCTACTGCGCCCAGATGCGGTCACGCCACGCCCACAGGACGCGAAACGACGTGTACGCGTAGTCTTCGAAGGAAACTACATTTGCGACACCAACCAAGCGATATACGTTTGGGAACATCCCTACTACCCATACTTCTATGTGCCCAAAGTAGACATGAAATGGGACAACCTGCACGCGCAGCTCGTGGAAACGCTTGACTGCGATCGCCCCGGCGAGCATTGGCACGAAGGCACTCACGTTTTGATTGACAGCGCGGACATATGGCAAGTAAGCTCCTCGAAGACTGGAAAGAAGAAGTTTGAGGTCATCCATTTCCGGGAGATGGACTGTTCGCGAGCAGGTCGCTCTCTCAATGGATACGTCCGACTGCCCTTTGGTGAAATGGGTGAGCTTATTACCTTTCTTACGTTCCTCGCGAATTTACTTCTGCTCACATTGGCACCAATAGATGCTTGGTACGAGGAAGAATCTCCAATCTTCGTACACCCTAAAGACCCTACGAAACGTATCTTTGTCCTCCCTTCCACTCGACCATTGTCGTTTTGCTTACAAGACACCCGTCTTGTCCTCGCTACATCAACCTCGTACTATCGCCTCATTGAAGGCGATCTTCCTGTACGATTCTACATACCAATGACCTGTATTGACCCTTCAATGTTGCGACCTAGCAAGACTATCACGAAATGTCCATACAAAGGCGACGCAGAATACTTCGACGTGGTAGTAAACCACGAAGGTAAACAGCACACGATCAAGGATCTTATATGGTGGTACAGGTATCCCGAGCAAGAAGTAGCTTCTATCGCTGGATATGCGTGCTTCTACAATGAGAAGGTTGACGTTTGGCTTGACGGTGCAAGATTGCCGAGAGCAAAGTCAAAGTTTGTTTAAAAGCACAGCACAAAAACTGAAATGCTCATTGTGCGTGACCGGGAATAACATAATGAAGGCAACCATAATTAATCAAGACCTCTGCTATCCCAGCTAAGTATAATACTTGCAAGTTCAGAGAAATGTCGGGTGGTTCTCTGACCACACACATAATAGCAGCCGTGAAGCATGCAGAGGCCAGTAAGATAGTATCACAGCCCTGTCAGACGCAGTATGCATCTGCCCCTGCCGCTGATCATCGTTCAAATAGAGTTGAAGTTGATAGAAGCATATAGAATATTACCGAATTTGTATTAGTTCTGAGTTTTAGCGGCTGGTCCCGCCCCTGCGCCGTGGGTGTACTCTCCTTGCTTTCTTTCGTTAAGTAGTCGATTTCCTCGGGTATAATATATCTTTCGCCTATCCGTGGAAGACGTCTATCCAGGCTCTGGTCAGTCAAGACAGTTCTCTGTCACTCTGTATCTATGTTTTACCGGGTTTCCATGCTCCGCCTTGTTTCGTGAATGTGCCAACGGGGCAAGGCAGAAGGATGTTGTCTTACTTGAAGATTCACCACCGAGCCTCGGGGGCCAGTAAGCCCTACACCGGCACAAACCTGTTTTTACTATTGTCTCTGCCTGATTTCATACTGAGATGCGCTCCTTAGTAACTGTCATAATGCGTTATATATAGATTACCCAGCGCTTTCGTACTTACGCGTGTAATTTCTCTCTATTCTTATGGTTCATGAGGTCTTCTACGTCCACACACCATAGTACATACTACACTAGACGTACGCATTAGCGACGTAATGATAACTTAAGATAGTTTACTCGACGTATGCAAGCGTTGATTACAGACTTGCATCTAATGAAGGAGAGAGGAAAAGAAAACCTGGTTCGAAAATTTCACACATACTACCTCTATTATAATACCTCCTCTTCGAAGTAACCCATTCTATGAGATCTGTACATTTATATTGATATCTATCTACTGTTAATGATCTTTACAACACCGAACATTCCATGTCCACATGACAGAGGGTTATTCACGAGGGTTTGAGCTCGCTTCACACCGCTACATTCACAAGTCCCAATGAATCAGGCAAGACAGTGCGGTGGCAAACTATCTCACCTCACTGGATCTAAATGTCCCTTCCAAGTTTCTTTCAGACACTGCCTTCATTCCTCATGCTCAAGGCTGGTTTTTTGCCGCATTCCGAGGGCAAAACCGTAAGCTCTCGTGCAATGAACACGCTCGATTCCAGCCAAATGATGAATTTCCATGCCAGCGAACCTGCTTGATTCACTGCTCTTTGTCCTTCTTGTGACCCAGGTGCTCTTTGAACCGCAGCAGTGGCCATGGCTCTAGTATATTATGGCAGTTGGGATGCCATCGAGCAGCCATGTGTTCGATAACCAGCCGAGCTTCAGTCGCTTTCTACCAACTAGTGATGGCTAGAAAAAATACTACACGTCCAAGCGAAGGTGATGTACGGGCAACGAAGACTCAAGATATCGACCAGGGTGAGTCCGTAAGAGGGGCTTCTGAGGGCATATGGCTGCTTAATCAAAGCATAGCGGCCAGGAATTTCAAAGCTACCCATGAGGAAGTAATCGCTCGACAGAAAGCTTTAGACGATGAGAATGCCCAGGGAAGAATGGAAGACCGTCGGAACCAGCATTCGAATAGTCAAAGCGATATGGAGGACACGAGGGGATCGCGTTCGACCCAATCATTGATTCACACCAACGAAGACGACTTGGACGGCCGCAAACCTAAGGACAAGGTTAGTTCAACAGTTAACGACATTGCACTTGATATACTCACGCAGCAGTGACGGAAAATACCTCCGTGCGTTTGGCGCTGGTGAATATGGTCAGACATAACGAGACTACCAAATTCAAGCACCCGATTACAGCGAGCTTTTGGGGAAGCTTGTCAACATATATCAATATAACTATTGATAGAACTGGTAGAAGCGCTGCAACAATGCTTGTGATCCAGTATGTCGCTCTCAAAAGACTTGCATCTGTCACTCGAAATTGTGGCGTTTCAGATGTGTCCTTGGTAGTCATGCGATGCCAGCGACTACGGAGTTGTAGCCAGTATCCGGATGCCTTCTCAGCTACCCAAACTGAGAAACTATCCTCCGTCTGACGAGGCTTCAAGGCGACCAAGTCTGGAGCATGAGTGAAAGGTGTGTGAACGCTACCCCAAACTCCTGAGTCGTGGCCCATCAAAGCGTCGTTTCCTTGAGTGAACAGAAAATCTTGAACCACGCTTATATCGTAGGGAGCTGGTGGACTCAATGCTAGCATAGCTGACGTCTGTAACATAGCCTTATCTGGACTTTAGTGTTAGTCGACATTCGAGGCGCTTGCGTTGGAGCATCTAACTGTATTTTTTTAAAGCCTTCCTTATTCGCATCACAAGTCTGAGTTGTATGTCATCCCCATTTTTCTTTGACTTACTGAGCGAATGCCAGTCTCTGACGTACTCGAAACTAGGCGATGTATCGCTTGAATGATCCTCCTTCTCTACATCACGAAGCTCTCCCTCCAAAGCGACTAGCTCGGCCTGCATATACAACAGATTCTGAGCGTTGAGAGTACTGAATCGGCGAAAGATGGCGGACGTATGCTTTTGCCCCATATGACCGGCAACGCTTGGATATCCCTTGAGCAGACTTTCCTGCGGAATGGCAGACATACAATCCCTCCTCGCCTTCAGTTCTTTGACTAGAATATCGTTCTCCGGAAGCACCGATTTTGGAACCATGTTTCGAAATAGCCTTGTGAGTTTCTTCGTAGCAGTCTTCTTCGTATTCGCCGCAGGACCAGCCGGACTCGACGGCGTCCCAGCCGGTATCTGCTCGACAACAGCATTCTCTGCGTGTGTCTGTATCGTGATATCAGCACCAAAACACACACAGACCCAATTCCAAACTCACATCCTGCTGCTTCTCAATATCGACCATCATATCGCCAGACAAAGATTCGCTCAGAAACTCACAACAGCTTACTCGAACCGTACACTTCAATGCAAAAACTACAAGACGAGGCTCTAGACACCCCCAGCACAACCCCTCCTCACTCGCACGCCCAATGCACCGCCTCATATCCCCATGCAACGTCTCTCGCTACACTACAGCACACCACCATGCAGCACGATGCACCCCTCAACGCCCAATCAGCACCCCGCCGTCCCACCACCGCGCCCCACAACTGCAGCTGTAGCCACGAAAGGCAGCGCCAACGACATGTCTATTGGACTCGGTGCGCTCTCACAGCATCCTGAGCAACAGGCAGCAGGCAGCGAGCAAACAGATCTCTCATATGTATGTGAGACGAGTGAGCAATGTGAGGCGCGCGTAGCGTTTCCCTCGGAGGTCGGTGGTACCCAAGTCGAAGCGAGAGTGCAGGCGCGATTTGTAAGTCGCGAATCGCGACTCGTGAGTCGAGAGGTGCTGGCCTGGCCTGGCCTGGCCTGACCTGACCGGAGCAAACTTTCAGCCTGGGCCTCGAGGAGACGTTGCGATGGCTGTGTGTGGTATGCTGTGCGTCGATGCGGTCATTTGTATTTAGCTGGAAGGTCAGCGGGTGGTTTGGAGATACACGGAACGAGAGGACTGTGGTGGTGCGAGCGCATGGGCAATAAGGAGAGGAGGATGTGTCCGACGTAGAACAGCTCCAATAGATTTGCAGGTCATAGAGGTTCGGAAAGTGGTAGAAGTATCAGTCCAGGGTTGGTGGGGAACAACTTATGTGATAATGACGTGTATGCACATTGAATTGGCAGTATGATTGAATGGTATTTGCGTGTGAAAGCATATCTGCACGAGACTACCAATCACGGAGACCCGATATCTACCTACTCTCCCGTCACAAAGCCATTCCTCCCCGCAACTCCGAAGTTGACTGCCACAGCCAGTGCCGCAGCGTCAGGATATGCAGGCACACTCGCCGGCTTCTCGCTCACCGGAAACCCAGCCCTATCCCTTGCCGCATATGCATCCAGGAACAGCACGTTCGGATAGCTTTCTGGAGTGAAAGCCGCATACGCCTTTGCGAATAAGTCGTCCCATACACTCACTGCTAAATTAACAATCGCATCACCAAATGGGTTCTGCTGCGTGAGTGTCCAGGAGAGACTGAAAAATGTGTCTTTGGTGTCAGTCGCGGATACGTGGCGCTGAGCACGGAGTTTGGCGAGTTGGTCATTTTCCATAGTAGTGCGATCGTCGGAATTGGCGTAGACGTCGAAGCGGGGAAAGGAAGTGGAGGAGTATATCCCTTGGGATGCGTAGTTGCCGAGCGAGATGCCGTTAGGGAGCTCCGCAAGGATGAGAACGGCGGCAGAGGATGCGATGTAGTCGTTAAGCTTGAGATTGGTAAGGTCGGAGGGTATAGTTGACGGGATGAAGCGGTGGTTTAGGCGAGTGAGTTCGGAGAACATGCGGTTCCATTGGTCTTGGGTCAGAGCGGAAAAGTTGTTGTCGGTATCGAGAGTGTGGGAGAGGTAGATTATGATGAGTTCTTGATTGGTTTGGGTGAAGCTGAAGCGGCTGTGAGATTACGCTACGAGGCCTTGATCCACCAGAGTACTTACGAGTTGATTTGGTCAATCACGCTAGACATGCTCTGACCATTTCCCCCAAACCAGACATCGGCAACTTCTGAGTAGTGACCAGCAACGAATTGACCATTCGATATAACAGGTCGATAGTCAAAAAACCTCGACCCATATACGAGTTGATCATAGAAGCTGAAGAGCTGGGTCTGTGTATTCTGATAATTTGCACCAATGGTTCCAGGATGATACTCTGACATTGCCGCATCGTGACTACCAGGCATGCAGATGTGCTTTAGTTTGCGGTTACCAATCGTAGGCAAACTTTGGTGCATCCAGTCTATTCCCAGGGCAGAGTTCGACCAGAACTCACCCCGGTCGTCTTGAGAAAGAATCCAATTAAGGCTTCGATCGTGGCGCCAGCCTTCATCAATGACGTCACCTTTGTTGTTCGATTTGGTGTCGAGATTGTCTAGAGAGATGTAAAGATGGAAGTCCGGAGGGAAAGAAGACTTGCTCCGGGCCTGGACCTGGAAAGTTTGGTCGGTTCCGGTAATAGAGTAGTACGCTTCAGCGGAATTGTCTTTGATATTTCCCGAGTCGCCCCATTCGACATAAACCTGCTTCGATTCGCCTTGGTCGGATTAGCGAAAGTTAAAATGTCTGTATAACGAGCCTCGCCTGCTGGTACTGTCGGCCAGTTCCAGGTCACCATCTGGTAAGAATGCTGACTTGCTACGGTCCAATCAAAGGGGGACCCATTGACAAGTGTGAGATAGCCGCCTGTTCATATCAGCGGAAGCTCTCACACATGGAAAGGAGATATACCTTGACCCATCGTGATTACCCTGTAGGGATTACTTGAGATCTATCCAGATACCAAACCCCCAGACCTATTATTGAGGATATAGGTATGTGTCTCCAGTGTATGTGAACCCAAGACGTACCGAACAAAAGCCCGCCATCGCCAAAACAGCGAAAAGCAGGTACCTATAAGTCATTGCGGTGATCGACATGATTAGTAGGATAGCAACTGGAGCTAGAGCTACGTGCATGACCAAGTTCGGAGACGAGCCGACAAGGTTGGGTGAATCTACCCGGTATTCGGAGCAATGACAACTCAAGACGACAACCACGCAGCCGACGTTGTGCTTGTGTCGTACCGACAACATGAGATGAGTCGTCATCCGACCATCCCGTTTCGGTCTTAGATTCAGTTGAAGGATGATTGTTTGCTCCTATCGGCAGGTGAGTCCGAAGAGAGCAATTGTTTAGCACATGACATCTGCTTAAAAGTGGTGAAAGTAGAAGATGCGCGGGTGAAGAGATGCGGATGAGGTGTTGATCGCTGCCGAAAGTCCAGGGACGCAGCGAATGTGAGAGCCGGAATATTGACGCCGTCGCTACTAGGATGGCGATCATGAGTATCGGATGCCTGTAAATGGATTCGCTAAGGTGGGGGAGACTAGGGGGCTTAGTGAACCACCTTCCGCATGCAGTCAGCTTGTGCATGTTTCTAAACATCTTCATATTATCGTATTAAATGCCAATACTGTCATGAAGAAAGACATTTCGAGGGTATTTTGTTGACATGAAGGTACGGATCGGTAGACGCCGGTAAGACAGTAATGACATTGCCACGCTTTCATCGAAAGTGGTCTGAATATTGTGGTATATACATCAGACGGCGCTGCGAGATTCCGATTGGGAATGATCACATGTTGCATGCATCGCCTTCAAAATCCCTTGGTCATGTGTTTAGATTCCTGGTGGTCTTTCGTCTACGAACATGGTCTCTTGCGCTGTCACTTTGTCAGCTTGGGAATCTGGTCGTATAGAGCAGACTGATACATACCACTCCACAGCTCCGAGTACAGACCCCCTTGATCAATCAACTTCTCATGTGTTCCACTCTCTGCAACTTTGCCATCCTTGAGGACAATAATCAGATCGCTGTCGTATATCGTGCGCAATCTGTGCGCAATGAATACTGATGTTCTCTCCTTCTCCTTCAGGATGCTGTTAATATTGCTCATGATTCCCTGTTCAGTATGGGTATCCAGAGCAGATGTCTGTGTCTGATTAGCAGGCTGGTGCGTGTGATTTTGCATGCAGACGTACAGCTTCATCAAAGAATAGCAGTGGCGGGTCTTTCAGTAACATGCGGGAAATAGCCAGACGTTGCTTCTCTCCACCAGATATCATCATACCGCGCTCTCCAACCATTGTATTATAAGCATCCGGGAATTTCTCGATCGTGTCGTGGACTCTTGCTCGTTTTGCAGCTGCGACAACCTCCTCACGACTTGCGTTGAGGTTACCATAACGGATATTGTGTTCAATGGTGTTGTTGAACAGTGGTGTATCTTGTGGAACGACGCCGATTGCTCTTCTCAAGCTGTCAATACCGACATCTCGTATGTCCTGGCCGTCGACCAAAATCTTTCCTTCCTTGACATCATAGGATCGGAATAGAAGACGAAGAATGGTGGATTTGCCGCACCCGCTCGGGCCAACAATGGCCACCTTCTTTCCAGCTGGGATAGTTAGGGACAGGTTCTGAAGGATAGGCCGATCCTGCCGATAGCCAAAAGTTACGTTCTCGAACTTGATCTCACCACCTGTGAGCTTCAAGGGCATCGCGTCCTTCTTCTCCTTGACGGAAATATTTACTTTCTGTAAATTGAACAAGGTCTCCATATCCAATAGACTCTGACGTAGTTCGCGATAGACGGATCCGAGGAAGTTCAGGGGCACCGATAGCTGGAAGAGAAGTTGATTGACCATGACCAGATCACCAACGGTCAGTGTGCCTTCCGCGACACCATTCGCAGCAAGATACATCATACCGGTCAGAGCACTTGAAAAAATCAAGTTCTGGCCTGAATTGAGGAAGGCAAGAGATGTAGCGACTTTGATCGAGGCTCCCTCGTATTGCTGTAGCGCTGCATCATACCGAGACACCTCATATTTCTCATTGTTGAAGTACTAGCGGCAATCAGAGTGGGTACAAGACACAGTCGAGACATCGATACTTACTTTGACGGCTTCGTAATTGATCAAAGCGTCGACACCAACTGTGGCAGCTTTGTTATCTGCAGCGTTGGCCTGTTTCCGGAACTTGGTTCTCCACGATGTTGTGGAAATAGTAAATGCAGTGTATGCTATCATAGTTGCAGCTGTAATTGCAGCGAATTGTGGACCGTACTGATACGTCAAGATACCACAGACAAGAGCGATTTCAAGCGCCGTTGGTATCACGTGAAAAACCATAGAAGTGAGGAGGAAGCTGATGCCCTTCGTGCCTCGATCAATGGCTCTTGTCAAGCCACCAGTCTGCCTGGTGAGATGGAAATTGAGATCCAATCTCAGCAGATGCTCGTATACACCACATGCCACTCTTCGAATCGCCTTCTGTGCAACACTAGCAAATACAGCATTCCGTAGCTCTTGGAATACCGTGGCGCCAATTCTAGTGACTCCATATGCCAATATTATGGAGCCTGCAACAGTCCACGCAGTCCCTCCCACAGCCAAGAAGTCGATGTTCATCGAATCAACTATGCTCTTGAAGTAAAAAGGGATCTGAACATTGAGCAGCTTTGCTCCAATGAGCAGCCCAACAGCTGATGTGACTCGTAATCTCGCACCTAGATTATCCTTTGGCCAAATGTACGCGGACATTTCCTTTATGATGGCCCAGTCAGCCTTGCGCTGCTCTTTATTTGAGACTGTTTGCTCGGCCAGCAGAACTCCGGACCTTGCTTGGTCTGCATTTTGTTTCTTTTCAAACGATTCCGGCTTTATGCTTTCACCTTTTTCTATAGTCTCTTGACGGGTGGTCTCTTGCACTTGTAATTTCGTGTTGCTGGCCTGCTTCGCGTCTGGTGGGGTTGTTGCATATATTCGAATTGATCGGTAAATGATAGGTATTTTGGTGCCATGAAATGGACCACAACTGCGAAAGTCCTTCAGGTGAGGAGAGCGCTTGCTGACCGCTCGGCGGGCAAAGTATTGTGCCAGCATACTGGCTTCCTATGCTGCACTGTGATATATTGAAGCTACCGGCATCTTCTTCTGACTCGTAGAGGCGTCCGCGCGTGGCGGATATCGTAGATGCTTGGGGTATCCTGCGATCAAGTCAGTATAGAACAATCATCGTTCCATCGATAGTTGCAAACATACAAGACAACATCAAGGTGCTCGAACGCCTTGACACCTTGCAGGACAGCAATTGCATCATCCGTTGACGGACTGTGCACGATTGCACAACTGTATATAGCTCAAATTGTGCAATCCATCCGGATTTGTGCTCAGCCTTACTAGTGGTCCAAGCTTTCGGAGGTCATCCAGCTTCTCCGCAACCAAGATTCATATAGCGCTCATACAACGACCAGTCTGCGCTCAGACAATCACAGTCCGTAGCAATGCGCATCAGCGCTGCTAGATCAATATGGTCCTCTTGCGCTCTAGGAACTGCTGAGCGGAGGCCCATCTTGTCTCACCCAAGTTCAATTGGTCGCCGATATATACAGATCACCGACTCTCCCGCGACAAGACAGTCTCCAGAGCCAGAGCTTCCTTCACAACCTTATCAACTCTCTCCTGAGCCTGGACCAGGCAAGTCATAGATCATTTCGCTCGCTCCTGGGCTAATCAGATCTCTAGATGCACGCTTCGAAGTCCTCGGCGCACCGTACTCTTTACTATCCGTACAGCTCTCCGCTTCGCAGAATCTCTACACCCAACGCGGGACTCTGATAGCTGTGACAGGGCAGGCTGAAAATGTAAGAATGATCTTAACGCTGATTCAGTGATACGGAGCTGACATTAAGGTCCAGGCGGTCTCAACACTTTCTCTATTAGAACCTTTCAGACGTGCCCTCGTTGGCATTCCTTTTCTTTACCAGAAAGTGAGCCGACAGTAAGACTTACACGAGAAGTGGCTGACATTACAGATATCTTCTACGTCCCCAATTACCGCCCTCATATCCCCGAAATCGCCAATATCCTCGGCGTCGGTGATACATCTGGATGGGAGACGAGACTGGATAGTCGCGCAAAGGAACGCACTCATAGCATGGACAGGGCACGACCTATCAGTGAAGCCCAAGATCAATACGAAAATGGTACGTCAAGATCGGATCTACAGCAAACGATATACTCAGACAACGTAGAGCATTTCCCATTGGGGCAATTCACACATCAGCGGACGAGGCCTTCTCGCGCTAGCAGGAAGCGGAAACATTTACCAAATTCAGCTCAAAGCCGGCGAGCAGTATGTCGTGCACCCAGCGAACGTAATCGCTTATAGTGTATCGCGCAACTTGCCGCAGCCATATAGATTCAAATCCAACATTCTGCGATTTCAAGTCCCGACCGCGTCACTTGGCCGCTTTGTACCTGATAACAAATTTTTCCGTACTATCGGAGAATCACCGACGTGGAGGTATATCCGGTCGATGTTCTTCGTACTGCGAACGTGGGCGCGGCGGACGATTTGGGGTGACCGATTATTTCTGCAGTTCACAGGACCGACGAGCATTCTATTACAATCACGTGGATCAAGATTGACGGACGTTCTGACAACGAGGGATGTAATTGAGATTGGCGATAGCCCGCCTGGAGTTGTGTATGATATTGTCCATAAAGAGGCGGGACACGGCTCCTCGGATGAGGTTGCGAAGGACGCGCCGCTGAAGGAGACTGTTCGTTTCGCTAATGTGGGAAATGATGGCAAAGTGGACTTCAAGAAAGACTAGATCATGATGCCTGATCAGGCCTATGTAGCAATAGAATTGTGACTATACCAGCGCTCTGGCTTCAAATTGTGCTACGTGTTTCACTTGCAATAGTGCGGCTAAGTAACATGATATTGGAATTTATCGGGCGTTAATGATGTGCGGTGATCAAGGGGCAGATATATACGACGCTGCGGAGATTTGCTGTTTTCCAACTACATCCAACTAATACTGGCAACACGTTCTTACACACAACAGAAGCTGCTTGGAGTTTACCTGCATGGCTGCGGGCACGTTACATTCAGAAGTTATGTAACTCCATCCATAGCACCGCTTCCACCACCCAAGTCCCATCCTGATCCTCATTTATATGCACCTTCCCTAGCAAATTCTTTAGGAGCCTCAGATCTCAGAGGCTATTCCCCGCTCCGCCTGCCCTAGGCCCGATAATATTTCACCTCCCTCCTCTCGTACCCATTCCCGTCGTGCACACTGCTCACGCTCTTCTTGTAGCTGGTGGTACTGTTCCTTGGCAAGTGAGAGATACTGCTCCTCCTGTAGGAGGTTCGTGAGCTGCGAGCGGGGCCCGAATGATAGTTTGATACATAGCGGGGCCCGACAGTGTCGACGACCGCGATAGGGCGGGGTGGTGAGGTTATGAGACACATCCTGAGAGTCGGTGGAGGAGGAGGAGGAGGAGGAGTGAGATGAGAAGATAGCTCGGACTTGTGTGAGAGTGTCCGCGAACCAGTATATACAGAGTGTTCAGGGGTGCTGGTGGATGTTGTCGACCGATCGTACGATGGTATTGAGGGGTCGTGTGGTGTTTTTTGCAGATGGACGAGATGAGACCCGTCCTATATGCCTCCTGCGTCAAGCAGATAAGCTCTGAGAAGTGTTGATGACCTGGATCGCCGGGTTATAGTACCATTACCACCGTCCGCCGCGTCGCTCTTATGTATGCCCTACTCGAGCGATGACGTTTTGCCGCACTGCCGCCCACACGATGCCCAAGACCTTGGGCATCTCGTCACCGGCGCCATCTGGAGCGACCGGGACAGGCTTCATGCTGGGACAGCCAGGGCATGAACATCAGCAGACCGTGGTCAGAATCAGGCTGTCTCTGCGCTGGACGAGCGAACCAAAGGGCTATATGCAGGGCGTTCCCTGCCGCTCGAGCTGGAAATCAGGGCTGCAAGTCCGTTTGAAAGTGGCGGTGATCCGCGGCGGCGTACGCCGGGGCCGGGTGTTGGTGGTTGCTTGGCTGGTGGGTTTGTCTTTCCTGAAACTTCAACAACATCCACCTCACCACCCTTCTGCCTTCGCCGATCGACAACAGCCTCATACCTACCGCCAGGTGTCTTCGGGATGGCCTGCAGAATATTTCTTTGTCGAACAGGCATTCAGGATATGCTCTGAACCTGATGAGCCCGATCTTCTGCGATCCTCAAGCGGTGCTCCGATGGGCATTGCGCCGCTCGACCCAAATGATAATAACGACGCCTGCTTTTTTTCTCTTCGAACATTGACTCACATTTCTGTTGAGCTTGCTAGCAAGCAGAATCTTTCCTTCCTCATTGATCCCAGTCATTACAGCTCAACGGCGAAGTCGGCATGTTGCTGGTCCATTCGCTCGTCATTTGCGGCGGATGAGGTCAAACCTCCACCTTGACAGCCCGAATCGCACTCGGCATATCATACATCTCGAAGTCGAATCTGGTTCGAGTTGCGAGTGTATTCGAAGTTCAAACACTGATCTCACAGACCGTGGGCAATTTCGCCTATTTCGGGGGCTGTAACGAAGGTATTGAACATCGAAATATCGACACAATACCCGTAATGGTGAAGCACGTCGATGATGACAGTAGCTCAAGCAAGAGATACACGGCGACTCAGTCTTGCCCATAAGATGTCGCTACACCAGAGTACAACGTCGATTTAGCATATTAGCTGCATATGCCATCCCTCGATTCGTACAACCCAAGTCCATCGACCAAAACATCTGCTAGTCACTAGCTCGCAGGTTTCTAGCATACCATAGATTCAGTCGATAGACTGGAAATTGACATGCAATGATTTCTGATACGTTCGTCACGGTAGAGCCCGCTCGTGGGCTCCTCCTTGATGTCGTACGCCCCACGACAGTGGAATGGACACCACAAGAGGCGGACTGCCAGGTGCATGTCCGATAACATCAGGATATGAGATGCTATGGTATAGAGATGCAGCATCCACTCGAGTCCTTCGACAACCATGCGGTAGGATATTGACCTTGGTTCCATCTTCCAAGACCGCTCGCCATATGTCATGCTCCAGCTATTAAGCATATCGTAGCCTGTGTATGAGGTCGCCGGCATCGCGAGTGATGTTGAGGCTTCAGAAACTCTTCAGCCTGGGGATATTTCGAACAATGCTACGAGTCGTGCTGCCGTTCGTTATCGACCCGCTTTCATCCTTTGAACAACTAGCATTTGCAAAGCGCTCGAATTCGTTGCACTGGTGCACATTCAGCGCAACCCTAGCAACTATGCCTCAACGTGGCTCACTTCTGACATCGCGGTCAAACTGGCGAGCATTGCATAGCCTGTCCGGGATGGATCGAGCTCGCTGGTCTCGTAGATTCGATTTCATGGATCATCTGAAAAATCCAGAGACCGTAATATCAATAAGGTCTTGCATCGGCATTCAGAAACCATATACTGCACTGTCCCAGCCCCAGGCGCCTAGTCAGTGGCTGTATGTAAGCGCCAGATTCCGATTCAACGTGCAAGCTGATAATTGAGCTGTGTTGCGATATTCACACTGTCATAGAGAAGTCCTTGTTATGGACAACGCCCTGCCCTCAATCCCGACTGAACCTTTGTTTCTCCGTCTTTTTGGCGGATCGATCGCATGGTTCGTGGTTTCTTTCGCTACAACAGTGTCTCAACGTGCAACTTTACTTGGCTTCTGCGTCCAGCCTGAGGGAGGCTTCTGGATCTCGACAACAACGATGTAAGAAACACATTCATCAACGCACCCGGACTTTTCTCACTGGGAACAATCAAATTCCCTCTGGTTGAAGGGTGTTACTGGTGTTACTGGTGTTTTCGGTACCAGTCACTCCGTATGATTTCGTTTGTCGCATCTTCGTCCTATTCGCATTCTTATTTATGATCTTAAGATCATCAGTATGGGAGTCGCCCAAGCTGTCGATGGCCATCATTGACATCTGAGCCTTTTATAGGCCCATGGGCCTAAGATACTTTCGATGTTGATGCTAGTATTGTCTAGCATCGTAGCAAAGTAACCTTGAGGACCCAAAGAGCTCAGAAGACCGACACGGCTCCTATGGTAGGCGATGAGAGTTTTCATTTATTCATCAAGCGTCATCGAATGGAGTTTCCCATTCATCCATTAGGCGTCATCTAATGATGGCTTTCCGTTACATATGGACGTCTGGGCTTTGTTACGACCACCTCGCCGGGTTCTCGACAATCTTGTCGACGCTGAAGACCCTCTCGGCATGAAGGATCACGTCATATAGTTTCCTTATGCTCTTTCTTTCGCCAGACAGTTCGAGCAAATTTATCCAATATGATCGTTTGTCTGGAATTCGCCTAGAATGCCAATCTACCACTTATTCCAGTATAAAGATGGATGCATTCGATATGAGCCCACCCGAAACTGTACACGAATAAAATCAGCTTTCAACGCTGCGTTGATGACGGGAATGCAGTAAACTCACCAAAAACTCGGAGCTTGATACTTTACGTTATACAGGTCACTTTTTTCCCCTGGCAATCCAAGGAACTCCCATACCTTCGTGTCAAAGACGAAGTCTGACCTGGATACCCACCCCGGTTTGCGATGCTGGTCGGAACCAATTTTACCAGCTCCCTTGCGAGTTTTTCTTCGCTATAGACAACTCGAACTTATTGCATGTAGTCAGCTGAATGGTTAAACTCATCTTTGTTGAAGGTTCTAGAGGTCATCCGCATCCGGGAATTTCTTTGGATCACCATGTCGTCTGCAAGATTGCTATGCAGCACAAAATCCAATCCCATGGACCTCAGAGTTATGCTTGCCGCATCCGGAAATGAACAATAGTACAATACCAGCAGAGGATCCATGAGTATCCCTGACACTCATTCCAAGTGAGCGAAATTCGGTATGATGTCTCGTAAGGCTCAGTATCATTGCCGCCACGATCGTCCGCATGTTCGATATGGGATCTATGCGCCTCCACGCCTCCATTCTTGCGCTCTGGTATCGGGGTGGTCTTCCAGTAATCGAGATGTTGAGATTTGCTTCGCCGCTCATGGGTGTTTATATCGGGATATGTCGCACTATTTCGTGGCATTCAATTCGTGATCTTGACCCAAGGGGATATCTCTTAAGGGGAGATACTACATCGTCCACACACCAGAGTTACTTCAATAGATATCACTGGTTGACGTCTGTCAGATTTTCTGTCCAAGCTAAGAGAGGCGGCTCACAATTCGGTACTGTTCCCTCGAGTCACGACGATTGCCTTTTCAGTGCAACAGGACGTTGCCTTGACCGCATAAAAGCTGGAGCGAGACCTGTTTGATAGCTTTTCTGTGTGACTTTGAGAATCAAGCAACTCTCGTGCTCATGGTCCGAAGCGAGCTTGCAGACATATATGTGGCAAGATTGAGGTTGTGAACGACTCAAATACGGCTATTCGGATTAGCGATTTGGGTTACTTTGCTTGGTGTTAGTGATGATCATAGTGCTCAACCCAAAGTATGTCATGAAATACCTTGAGAAGCTTCGTAAAGATGATGTGTCTCTATGGGAACAGGAAACTGCCTAAAGGAGGACAAACCTACCTGTCGGTCATGAATTGATGATCTTTCGAAGGATTCTCGTCCAGATCCGCTGGAACAGCTTATACGAGAAGTTATCCCTTTTTTCCTTTGAGAGTCGTGGCGAGAGGAAAGACGACGGTGAAAGCCGTCAAGAACGAAAGAGAAAGCGAAACTTGGTCATTGAGGTCATTATTGTCGATCGAAAAGGTCCCAGATCGACCGTTCCTCGAAGAGCATGATGTCCCTGACGGTCGAGGTGATGTTGAAAGAGCTTGGAAATACCAAGAGGGTAAGTGACTATCTTGTGATACACTTGAAAGGAAGAGGTAGTAGTTGTGGATCGGTTTAAGAGTGGTGGGGTGTGAACAAAGACACCCAGCCAAGGTACACTCTCACCACGCCAAGGGGCCGTGCCATGCTTCTGAGAAGCATTTGACACTGTAAGCCTACAATGTCCTGATGCATCTTCTGAAACCTGCAAGATCCATCCAAGGACTGGTGGGATCGATCGAACAAGGACATAGTCTCTGTGACCTCCTGGATCGTCGAGGTTAACGTGCTGTTTTGTTCATGCACAGCGCGTAAAGGTTCAAGGCTTCCTGCCGAAGTTCCTAACCTGAATGGCTTCAAGTGTGCGAGTGCAAAGCATCGAAATGGCACTCCACTGCTAGAGAAATGTTCAAAGGCTGGCTACTTGCTTCTTGAGACTTTCTCTAGAAATCCTAAGATTCTGAAAACGTGCAGGCCGAACGTGGAGGATTGTCTGCACAATCCACAATGCAGCCAGACAATTCGTTTGATCATGATAATGGATTCGCTTAAACCTTCTCTTCGGGGCTCCACCACATCAGAAAACGGCCATCATTCCCGGAAGAGACAAAATATAAGTTTTGAAAATTGGACCTACTTCGCCTTCGGGCACTTGGTCAATTTGAAACAACACAGAGAAGATTAGCATGGCCCCTGCACAAGGATGACACGCAATTAAGAGATTGCCGCCATTTTTTTTGGAATTTTCATCCAAGGTTCGACTCTAGGTGTGATCGTCTTTTACACTGTCCGCCAACGAGTAAAAGGCTCTCTTTCTGGGGGACGACAACGTCTTTCTTGCTCACTGAAAATGGCCATATGGTCAGGGATCCCATCATCTACTCGGTCTGAGGCTTTAAAGGGCTTTTTCTCAGCATCAGATTTTGGGTTTCCTGGATATGAAGGTGGCAATTTGCTGTGGTATGTGTTTTATTGAGATACCACAGCCTCACAGCAGACTGAACCTCTGTCTGCAATCGTTTGATCAATGATTCGGATGACTTTTCCCCTGAACTTCTGAACTTGACATCATGGTATCATATTGAGACCTCAAGCAGAAAGGGAGCTTTCACTGAGCCGCTTGCATTCGCGCTCAGGTTTCGAAGTCTATACATGACCAGTGGCCGTTCGTTCGAGGTGACTGTCGCATCTGCACAATCGTCCTTCAAATCTGCAAAATCTCTACACTGTGTTCGTCTTCTTATGGGATTGGAGAACAAAAGAATTCTATGCGTGCAATGTGTAGTACAAGAAGCATCTCGATCTTTGAGCTCGCAAAGTTGCCACGCTGTTCCTAGGAGTTCACAAAGGAATACGCAAAATTTGTGTGCGCTGAGGCTAGCGGCGACTCATTCTCCGATGGATTTTCATGAGCAAGGTCTGCTGACGACCTTCTGAAGTCATCACAGCACGGAGAACATAGTAATCACACTACCTATCAACTTCACGACTGTACCACGAATTGAAGACAAAGTGTAAAAAATTATTATATTGAGAGCACCTAAACAGCCCAGTATTTGTGGCGAATGGCATAGCCACCGACTCATGTGGTAAAATCGGTCTCCCGGGCGTGAGGAAATATCATGAGTCATATGAAATCTTCCTCACGCTCGAGAGACAGGACGATTGGGCAAATACCCGCCCACTTGGTGTGAGACGGGTGTTTGCGTATATGATGGTGCCAAGACCTGAAGTTTCTGTCATCAGTACAGTTCTCTCGACCTCGCTAATATCATGACCACGGTCATCTGTGAGGGATAACCACGGTCTCCCTCACAGATGACCAAGTTGTTCCTCTAGTGTACAGAGTCCGGCGACTGCAACAACAGATCGTAACTTTCTCTGAAGTACGCTGTGGTCGCAATCGCCGGACTCTGCAACGGCATATTTTCTCTGCTCACCCGACCCTAGTGCCTCGCCTTTGTTCAACACACATAAAAACATGGCTGGACAACCAGACAGAGATTGTTTCAATCTCCGCCTGGTCGATCATATATGAGAGAACTAGGATCGGGTGAGCCGAACGTCGTCGACTTGCTTGTTTGCGATAGAGTCCCGAGACACCTCCAACACTGTTCATTGTCGGGGAAGCTGAGTCTTTGTCAGTCTCTCGTCCGCATTCATAGGATCTTGGAGCTTCATACTGGTGTCTCTCTGTCATGACCCTCACCATGGCTACTACGAGTGGTGAGTGCACACACTTTGATCAGTGGCACTTCCTATGATCCTCGTCAGTGAAGAGTTCAAGATCTCATCACTATCATGTCACTTACAGTCTTCAAAATGTTGAGGAACCTGACGGAGATTCCTCTGTAAGATCCAGAGTTGGACAGCGACCTGTCGCCATTGCTCTTTTTCCAACTCTGGATCTCACAGAATATGTCGAGGGCTCGGATCCGAGAGGAATAGATGATCGGATCACGATCTCTCCACGGACGTTTGTTAGCAAGCTCCGGGTGGTGTAGATACAAAGTGACTTACTTACCGCAACTTCGGATGCGAGTATCGATGTATTGGGGCCCACGCCAGCCAGGGATGTGCTGGACTTACAAGTGGGCCCGCTTAACTGATGTCGACACTTGGTCCCTGATGTACTCTCCAGGCCTGAAATGGCAGTGGCCTAGCGAGCGCATCGAAAATCCAGATACAGATTGGTTGTCTGTCTGTGCCTCCCCCGAACCCCGGTCACTCGATCTTCAAGTTTGTCTGGTGTATGGCAGGAGTTCAAGGGGAGGCCGAGTATGGAAAAAATTGATAAGACCGGGCAGTTGGGCTTTGATTCAAGAGAAGGATGTAGTGAGAAGAAGAAAGAGACGGTCAACCTGCGCTGAAGCTGCAATTTGTACCCGTCCTGTGGGTGAACTAAACCGGATCCGGACAGCCACCTGGATGAAGGCAGTGATGACGCGACCGCCTCAAGGTGCCACACAAGCTCATTGGGATTCATAAGCCCAAGAGTCGGTCCTCGCCGTCATCTACGATCAAGACTCCTTGTCCAAGCCCTCGATGCACTGTAGACAGGGTTGTAGTAGAGTCAGTCTACAGCTACACTGTGACACCCATATCTGGCTATGGACTGTGCAGCTCCAGGCTTCAGTGAAGATGTAAATCGTTGTGTGGGTGAAAAGCAGTGCGGTGTAGGGCAGGGGCGGGGTATTTGCCCATACTGAAGCCTTGTGTAAAGCTGCTGTGAACAACTCAGGGGCAAAGTATAGTTTCCCCGAGTGGGAGCTTCTTCGCCTTCGGGCACTTGGTCAATTCGAAACACTACAGAGAAGATTAGCATGGCCCCTGCACTAAGGATGACACGCTTAATCAAAGAGAGTACAACATTTTTTTGACGTTTTTTGGCATGGGTTCAACTCTGCTGGCTGGGCCATCGTTTTGCTACGCATACGTACGGGCCCTTATAGCCCGTATAGCACCGGCATACCACGTTTTTTTATCTCTGAAGAGTCGCTGCAGACAGCAGTGAATTATACAGAATATCTCAGGATGATTATTTTGGTTCACACGGATCGGGGTTCGATTTTGAGACCATTAAGAGGAATTTGGGACTGGTATAATCTCAAACTTGAGTTTCTCAACGATCTCAGCCGCGGCATTGCGCACCTCCACGATACAGACATCACAGTTGTCTCGCTGAACGCGGTCCTGCGATGATCTTACTGGTATTCTTGAAATACGGGCGGCTGTTGGGGATGCGGTATAATGAAATTATGGGTATCTCGGCTTCTTGGACTACAATGACTCATGGAAACGCGCTTTACTGCTCTGTAAAGCATATTTACGCCCGCCTGATGTCATGGATATCAAATCTAATCCCTGGAGAGTTTCGATATTCCACTGTCTCAAATAGGGTATATCATGGTATGAATGGCACTGGATCAGATTTTTTGCAGCAAGAGACACGGGCCATCAATCTAGAGGATTTTCTGGTGGACACACACACTCAGTCTGCCTGCAACTCCAATGCGGACCATGAGGTCACAGAGGAAGGCACATATGGCGCTCAAAGAGACTGGAATGTCAAAGCTATAAGCCCGATAGTGACAAAGAACGCACACACGGTGAGTAGGGTGCGTGTCTTGTACCAGCTCTTACATGTACTCTTTTTGCATTGAACAACCCTGTCCAAGAACAGCGTCTTTGGTTCTACGGCTATATTGTCATTCTGATAACCCCAGATCACTGTGTGGCTGTGATCATTTCTTTGTCTAAGTTGTGTTGCGTTGTTTCTAGCTAGCATGCTCCTTTTCGCTTTTCAGAGCTTGATCGGTCCTATTTTTCCCACCACTTCTCAGTTCTCTTTCACATGACCATTTTCTCTGTCTCTGTCTATTGGGTCTTTCGTTCTATGGGTCAAGTGGGACCCAGAATCAAGGTATGGCCTCTCAGGCGCAATCTGTAGGAGCTGGATCTAGAGTGGACGATTAGCAGAGTCAAGCTCAGAACCATAGCGAACGGCCTCTTTCTCCTCTGGTCATGGACTGATTGAGTCAGTTATACGTGCTGTGGAATATTGATCTATATCCTCCTGTCTCCTGCGTCCGGATATAGCATATCAGTCAGATGCATAAGGTCTTCATACCGCCTCGAGTGTCCGAAGTTGTCGTTGATCTTGATGAGGGGATTCTGGCCTTTTCAAGTGTCTCAGCAGCTTCTTCGTAGGTCTTCCTGTAGTTGTATGCGGGTGAGTTCATCCCCATGTCAGCCTTGACATTGTTAATATTCACTGCTGTCCACGAATCCCACGCGAACAGGTGAGGCTGGGTTCGGGAGGGCTCAGCTCTGCTTCGTAGTTCGAACTACATTGGACAAGTATGAACAGCATAAATGCGTGCGACTGGGGAGAATAGGGGAATTGTGAAGGTCGAAGGTGTGATGTATGATCACTCCAGGAACTGGACCGGATTTGGGTCGAGCTCAGGGGGTTTCAAGCCAGCTCGTGTAGAAGCCATCATGGAGGTGAATGGTTTGAATGATGGAGTAGGGAAATATATTGTGAAAAGGCTGGTTCAAAGTCGTTCAGTGAAAGATATGCTCTGCTGGAGCTGCAATTCGAAGGCATCACAGAAGACTGGCGCTCGGACTGTGTGATTTCAGGTCTTGGCATGGACAGGAATGAACAGAGACTGCGCACATCATCCTCTAAACCAGACGATAGCTATCCTGTGACCTTCATCATCATCACTATCGATCATCAGCACCACACAATTCTCTTCTCTGCTACTCCCGCAAGCTTTGACTCTCGACCTACTTCAACCTCATTCAACACACACTCAACACAACCATTCAAAGCCTTTGCATACCAGACACCACCTCTCACAACTCACCATCACACCTCTACAATGCTCACATTCGTGGGCTTCCCCCACATGTTCCACACAGCATACCCTCCTCACGATGTCATCCACCCCCTCCCTCCTCCCTCGACAGCGCCCACCCCCTCCACCGCACCGCCATCTCTCCTCTCACCATACTACTCCTCCTCCAACAACGAGGACGAAGACGGAGACCAAGACCGGGACGGAGAAGGAGAGGAAGAGGAAGAAGAAGAAGAATACTTCCGCCGCTTGGCAGCCGTGCTGCCCCCTGGTCCCCCATTCCGCCCTACAAGCTCCCAGCATGCAAGGGCCCGCGTTACTTGGGCCAAGTGGATGCTCAAGCGGGGTCTGCGTACCCTGGGATACGCGCTGGCGGATGGGCTGGTGTGGGTTGGAGGTTTGCTCTGGGTTGGTCTGAGGGCTGTTTGATTGTGGTGGAAGGGGGTTGTTTGATGGTGTGGTGTTTGGGGTGTGAGGTATGTTTGTGGTTCTTTGGGGAGAGTGGATTTGACACCGTGCTAATGTTGCTTTCTTGGCTAGGATGTTCAGGTACATCGGGTTGGGGGCTGCGGGTCTGAAGGAGAGGTGCTTTGGGGGCGTTTTGGTGGTTGTGGGATATATGGTCATCGGGAGGACATGTCTTGAGTAGAGAATGGAGTTTGGAGATGTTTGCTTGTGTCTCTGTGCAATAATATCGTGATGGAAGTGTGCAAGTGAGAGGTTACGTTGTGTTGGAGACGCCTGATGTTGATATCTTGTTCTGAGAACTTGACCTTCTGTTCTGACAGGCATGTCATAAAATAGCATGCCTCCTGCCCCTCCTGGTACTCTATAGATCTAGGTGTACAGAGTATTGGGTTCTATTCATACAGTTCTAAGACTTCCTGGTGCGGGACATATCGAATATCTGATAGCCAGTCCACGGTTCTGAGGATTGACAGGGCTTTAATAGGGATTATATGGTATGTCTTTTGAAGAGGAAGGAAATTGTAGCTGGTGGCATAGTATCCATATGGTAGAATGGCTCGGACGATGGTGGTTTCTTTGGGTGGTTGTGTTGGTTTTCGACTATATGGTCTGAGATGAGGCTGTTTTGTCAGTTTGTTGATACAGGGAATCATGCTCCAAGGTCTGGACAAAGCTACAAGTGTGCGTTGGATATGAGAGGTTGACAGGTATGCAGCACTGCAGCCACAAATGCTAGGGGGCAGTGCAAGCCTTCGTCTAACATTACTGCATTCGTCTTAGTCATGTTTGGCATGTCCAGGCAGGCGTCAACTTGGAACTCACACCTCTATACTTGTTATGACTCCTCATGACTTTACAGTCTGTATAGTGTGTTTGCTGTCAGATTGTCATTTCGCATTGTGAATGATGTTCACATACGAGCCGCTACGGTCAAACACCTCGACCAGACTAATCGAGCTACTCCCACCCAAGCACCCCAACGACAGAACCATTCACGCACGATTGCGCCAATGCGATCTCGCAAACCCGCCCAGCTATGAAGCGATCTCATATGTCTGGGGAAACGAGAAAGACGTGGCATCGTTCTACTGCAACGGGAGAAAGCTGAAGATCACGCCAAACCTGGCTGCCGCGCTCCGCCAGTTCCGACCTGATCTCGGCTCGCGATTGCTCTGGGTCGACAAGATCTGTATTGATCAGGGCAACATACGCGAGCGGAATCATCAGGTTGGGTTGATGGGCCAGGTGTATTCGTCGGCTTCGGGGGTGCTGATTTGGCTCGGTGAGCGTTGGTATGGTGCCCCTGAGGCGTTTGTCTGGATAAAAGCATTTGCTCTCACAGCAGGGCCGAAATTCAGTGAGTTCTTTGATCGTCTTGGTGGACAAACGGAGGAGTGGTCTGAGATCTGGGGAGCACTTCGGAAGATGCGCGTGTCAGAGCCGTCGGCCGCAGCTTATAAGTCTCTTGCTCGTCTGCTCAGTCATCCTTGGTTCTACAGGGCCTGGACATATCAAGAATTTATATTGGCCAAGGAGAAGACATTCTATTGTGGTTCGTACCATGTCGAAGGGTGTCTCTGGTCTGTTGGGGTATCGCTCTTTTACCTTCTTGACAATGCAACTCATTACCTGCGATTACTTTCCAACAAACAGCTCCGAGCCCTGTCAACCTTCGGTGGGTTTCTGGCCATAGGAAAAGACTCAAATCATAGAGATGGAACAGACTTGGTCAAGCTTCTTGAGTCTCGACGCGGTGCTGCATGCACGCACCAAGTTGACATTGTATATTCTCTTCTTGGTATGGCCAAGCCCGAAGACTTTGTGTTGCCAGACTATTCTTTGCCGGTCAGACATGTGTTTTCAAGACTGGCTGCGTCTCATATTCTACGCACCCAAAGCTTGAAAATCCTGTCGTGTATATCAGGCAAACAGGCTCGTCGCAAGAACACAGACCTGCCGTCCTGGGTTCCAGACTGGACTCTGGAGGGCCAAGACTCATCAATGCACCGGTACGAGGGGACTAAGTTCACCACTTCTGGCTCGTCATCTTTGAGCGTCAAGATCTGCCCCAATATGGAGAAACTCACGGTCAAGGGCGTCTACTTTGACCGTATCCAGCTCTTCGATGTCCCCTGGATTTCCGATGACGAAGAGGAGACCTACGTTCCCAATGACACCGAATTGGTGTATAACGACCTCTTCAACCTCTTCAGATCTCTCAAAGTCTTTGACCCGGATGATCCAGCTTCAATGAGTGCCATGTGCATGGATCCGTTGGCAATCCTCACCCATGCCCGATATCAAAAGTCAAATGCTGCCGAAAGCTTCTTCGGCAGAAAGCGAGTGGAGATTTTCGCCCGCCTTCGGGCATGTACAACCGAGTATGGGCGGTTCGGCATGACTTCTTCGAATGCGCGCCAAGGGGACGTTATTGCTATCATTCTCGGACATGACGTTCCAGTGGTACTGAGACCAACTGCAGTGCAGGACCAGTATCGCTATGTGGGATTATGTTGTGTGAGGGGTCATATGGAAGGCGAAGCTCTTGAGTATGCTCGCAGGAAGGCGAACCCGGGTGTTGAGTATGATAAGAGGGATAGGGCATGGCTCGAACATTTGCATGAGGGGCCGTTACCTTTCGACGTTCAGGATTTCATCCTTGTCTGATGGATCTGATTACTTGGAAAAAATCACGCCAGGTGCAATGACTTGGTTGGAATGAACATGGCTTTTACTTCGGTCATGACACATAGTCCTTAACAGACAGAAATCTGCAAAGCCTTCAAAACTCAAGCCCCGATGGCCTTCTTGATGGCCTCGCCAACACCCTTTGCACTCGCGGGATTCTGCCCCGTAATCACCAACCCATCAACAACAACCTTCTCGCCCCACGGCTCATCCGCCTTGACAAACTTCGCACCCTTGGCAACAAGCGCATCCTCAAGCAAGAACGGCATCGCCTTGCTCAACTGCACCTGATCCTCCTCCACATTCGTAAACCCAGTCACCTCCTTCCCCTTCACCAGCGGACTCCCATCAACATCGACATTCGCAAACACCGCCGGTCCGTGACACACAGCAGCAACCGGCTTCCCGGCCTTGTAAAACTCCTGGATCAGCGCAATGCTGTCGGCAGACGTCGCGAGGTCGAACATCGGCCCGTGGCCGCCTGGGTAGAACAGCGCGTCGTACTCGCCCGCTTTGCCGAGGAACGACTTGAGCGGCGTCGTGTTCTCCCATACGGCTTTTTTGTTCTTGAAGAAGGACTGCGATGAGTCGTCTTTGAACATCTCGACAGAGGCCGGGTCGAGTGGGGCGACGCCGCCCTTGGGGGAGGCGATTGTGAGTTCGGCAACGGGCTCGAGCACGTCGTATGGGTGCGCGAATTCGGGCTGTTTGGTCATGTCAAAGTCAGAATCATACAGATATCTAGTGGGAAGACGGGGCTGGATATTGTTTGTGTGATGATATGACGTACGAGGTACCATCCTGTGGGCTTGTTGATGGACGGGATTGTGTCGTGGGATGTGAGCACGACGAGGACTTTCTTGGGTGCCATTATGAATGCTAATGATAGTAAATTGTCAATTGAGCACGGTTTGAGGGTTTGATTGTGGTATGGGAGTGAATTGTCACAAAGAGATTGTGCTGATGATGGAGAGATAATGAGATGGAATGAGATGCCCCGCAGAGCACTCTGTTAAACGACCCCCCTGCTATGCCGTCATGGTGGAGCATCTCAATTCGACCATCAATATCGTCAAACACGTGACGTCTGATACCCTTGTCGCTATACACTCATTTCGTACAACAACAACAAACACATGCCCAGTCAGGAGAGCTCCAAGATACACACTCGCTCCTTCCAGACACGACTCAGGCTACAATGCAACACCAGAATTCTGAAAAATAAATGCCTGAACTCGTCCCGTGACCCACACTAGCCCCGCCACATCTTGCCCTGCGGAATGACATCATACCATTCCACATCCTCCCCGGGTCTTGGCACCGAACACCCGGTCTCGGCTTTTAGACTCTTGAACTGAGTCTAGACTCTCGATTCGACCTGCTCGTCCGAGCATTTACACGCTTCATCTCAAAGCGCATCATAGAACCATCATTCGAACAGTGCCGTGCTCATTCCAAGCCTTGGCAGCAGGAGTTTAATTGCTCCACTGCTATATCCCGCCACTGGACACGCTGTGGTGTGTCTTGGGAGACAGATTACCTGGAAGGTTAAGGTTAATAGTGTGTTGAAAGGCTGGACTCGTTGCTATTTGCCACGTTGTCGTCGTGCTAGGCATGCGTCAGCGGTTCCCTTGAGTTCTTATACATGTCTCCTTTAGGACTTGTGGGCTGTGTGGAGGTCATGTGGGTAGACATGGCCAAGAGGTAGGCTTTCTTGGGACGCCCGTAATATGTTATTATAGTCTGGGCATATGGATGGCTTGGCGGCGTTCATGCGCTGTAGGTATCGGGCGTCATATAGGGTAATTCTAGCGCGTCTCCTTTCTGGTGAGTGTCCATGGATGATCTCTGGCGGGCTTCCGCTCCGCTGGCCAAGTGTGCTGCGCCCCTGGGCATTCGTGCACATGTCGGGTGCTAGGTCTTGGCCATCATGATGCCCAGATCTCGGGTATGATGTGGTGGCTTGGAGGTGGGAGGGTGTTTGGATTAGGATGGGTATATAAAGGGGATGGTATGCCGTGATCGGGAGAACCATCAAACAAGTATTTCATCCTATCATTGATTGGAGATACCAGAGACACAATATACATACCACTCACACACCACATCGGAACAAAAGTAGCACTATATCAAACACTCATCACATCTCCTCAAACACAAAACAAATAACTTGCCTCACCACCACAACACACCCTCAAACCACAACTCACAATGGCATACTTCTCTGCCGGCCGCGACTTCGCATCCACATTCAACAGTCGCACTGGCAGCGGTCGCCGCAGCCTCTCCCAAGGCCGCTCACAATCGCGCGCTCGCGCCTCCAGCAGCGACTCACGCACCCATACCACGTCACAGGGTCCCAAGATCAAGTCGCAAAAGTCGAGTTTTCTCGGGCGGATGTTTGGGCGTGGGAAGAAGAGCAAGACTGTGTATGTCTAGCTAGACACAGCAGGGGGCGATAAAGGAGTTCCGAGTCTTTAGCGTAGCATAGGAGGGATCGTGTTGCATATTTCCTGTATCGAGTTTTTGAAGTCGTACATATATCCATGGAAAGATAGGGTTACTATCGTGTAATATAATTATTCCTCTTGCAATGGGTTTCTGACTTGTGGCGTTCTTCGCTGCTAGTGCAACATGTAGTATGCCTTCGAACATATACGTTTCTTCGAGTAGCACTGTAACAGCCATATGCTTCTCATGGCTGATAACAAGTCTTGTTTGGGAGAAATTAACCGGGTGGTATTTGTCATTAACTATTATCGACTGCGCACTTCTCTGAAAAACGGTCCGCCACATGACCTCCACTAACCAAATACCTTCATATCAGACTCGGGTATATCATACTGATTGAATGAAGAAAAACAGGAGTTGCAAAAATCACTCTCGCGACCTCGTCATCCTACCATTTTCACATAGCTCAGGCTGCTGCAATCGCAGCAGAAGCGTTGCTTTGCTCATCTGATACAGCATGAGGTGCAACTTCTGATGTACCAACTTCAGAGGCTGCAGGGTCAGACACGGTGTGCGCAACGTTACTTTCTTCGGCACCTGCAATCTGGTACTGTTGTGGCGACTGCTGGATTTCCAGACCTTGCCCTTGGGTAGTGGTGGTACCGGGCATACCAGAGTTGAGTACGCCGGATTGGCTATGAATAGGTTCAGCGGTTGGCTGCCAGCTTCGGAGCTCATCTTCGGCATCATTGAGGATCTGGCGCACTGCATCATTGCCGTCAAATGTTGGGTGCACGTCACCAGGAACAATGGGTGTGTCGTCCAGAACGTTTATCAAGCGGCGAGCCTGCTTGGCCAAGATCAACTGCTTCTCAGCGCGCTCAATAGTCGCTGCAAAGTGAAGGTCGTATGCCTCCTTGAGCTTTTGTCGTGTCTATGGGCGTGTGAGCACAGCTAAGCATATCGCGACTGTATCTACGTACGATATTTGTAAGCTGGGCCTCTGCGACAAGGCTTTGCGCTTCAGCGCGGACGAGTTCCTGCTCCAACTGCACAATCTTAGTGCTCTGTGGCTCCTTATACTTTAACTTCTGAATCTCATCGGAGATCTGTGTAATAATAAGTGAATGTTTGCGGTGTTTGCGTCTGATATAAGCATACCTTGGCCTTGTGGTCTCTGCTTGGCTGTACAGAGCTCTCGGTGTTTCTAATCTGCTTCAAGACACCTCGTGAATCCTCAAGGTTCTGTGCGTAGATATCCTCTTGCTCCGCAATCTCGGCCATGAGCACACCCAATTTGTCTGAGATCTCCGAAACAGCATCGTCGTTGGTGGCCTCACCCCACTCGGAGAGCTGGGCAGCAATAGTGGCTCGCTCGCGTCCAGCGGTCTCGACAGCACCAATAGCATGGTTCTCAGTCTTGATGAGCTTAAAAAGCTTCTTGCTCAGGTCCGGCTGCTGTATGCCACGAAGGCTCGCCATGGTGAAGCGATGCTTGGATGGACCCTTGTCGGCGCTGGAGCCGGAACCCCTGCCGGATTTGATTGAAAGTGATCGATGCCTATGGTAGCAAATTATTAGTATTGCCGTCTTGAATATACAGGTCGATGCTCTGCGGGCGGTCAAATGGTGTGATTCACTCACATGGTTATTGTTCTGAGGGGTGATAAGTCGAAAGCAAGGTTATGTGAGAGTTGACATGTAACAGGGATACCACAACAGGAGAGAGGTTTCAGATTGAGATCAAGAAGAAGACGAGGGGTCGCTCCCATAATACGTACAAGGCTTCCCAAATGACGTCACCAATCGGCAACCAAGGAAAGGGTCCAAGAGAACAGCGCTAGCTACTTCAGGCTTAGATTTAGTCTACATATTCATCTAGTGCTCTGAAAATACCACGAGGAGACGTTCTATAATCATGATGATTTATTCACGGCCTTCTACTAATGCTGTTGCCCCGGAATGAACACTCAGCCAAGCTTCATGATGCTGCCGTCGAACGGATAGCCCACGAGGCCCATCGTAAGCAGTGTGCTGTTCTCAAGCTCCTTAGACCTGGCTTTGAGCTCATCAACATCCCAGTTCACCCACAAAAACTTGCCCTTCAAAAACTGTGCCTCAGGACTCGCAAGCCAGACGTTAAAGCTTGCCGGTAGAGACACTAGCATAGCATTAGATATGTATTCGGGATGTCCCATCTTAGCCGGTACTCACCATGGTCCTCGTAGCCTATCATGTCCACTCCGCCGGCTTCCTTGTTCATGTCTGTGTTTACAACACCAGGCTGGATATGGAAGACGCTAATTTCAGGGTTTCCGACGGCCAAGGAGTCCCAGAGTCGGAAGACTGCAAGTTTCGCTACGTTGTAGCACGAGAAGCCGTCTCCAAAGTTATGGTGTGCCGCAGAAGAGTTGATATCGATCGCAACCGCGCCTTTGGAAGCATGGCGTATGAATGCCTGTGCAGTGTGTATAGCCCCAGCCATGTTCTGCTGGACTGTATACAAGAACTTCTCGCTGTCCGCTTTGGCTACCGGGTCTTGAGGCCCAATGATCGCTGCGCCGCTGACCACGACATCAAGTCCAGACTTGCCGGCAAATTTTAGGAAAGCTTCATCAACCTGGTCCTTCTTGGTCACATCGGTAGCGGCCACGAACACTTCAAGCCCGGGATGCTTCTGCTCCAATGCGGCTTTGGTCTCAAGAAGTGGCTGCTCTCGTCGACCAAGCAAAGCGATTCTAGGTGCGCCGGCTGCCGCAAAGTATTTGGCAGTCTCCGCACCGATCCCCGTACCGCCTCCAGTAATCAATACCGACTTGCCCTTCGCCGAGAGCTCCGGCCTCTCAGGGTTCAGGGTTGGGTAGGTGGTCGAGTGGAACTTGGCTGTCGGAGACGTGAACGGAGCCATGGTATGAGAATGGGTATGAATGTGGGTGCTGAAACGATTCAAGTGCGAATGTTGATTGAATTGGCCTGGACCTCGAGGATTTCAGATCCTCTTTATACACGATCTTGCACCGGAGAATGCAAAGTGTAATTCCATCTCACTCTATCTCTTGTTACGTCGCAGATGCGACTCACGAACCAAACCAGTGGCATCTTCTACGCACTCCGGCAAAAGCTATCGTGGAGCACGTAGGGGTTGCATCATCGTGAAATACCGATATGATTTTCAGGTCGTGATTAAACGATATATCGGCATTTCACAGCAGTGCCAACATTTAATTAGTCTGAAATGCCCGCCGCTAGAAATACCTACGAGGATTTGGGGGCCGAAACCACAGAAGCTGTTGCTGACAAATGGATGGCCACGACAAAGGTCATGAAACTCCGCTAACATGTGACCTGACTTCATCTTTACTCTGGACTGATCTTTTTCCCCTTGTTTCTGCAATATGCTTGACGAACAGGGCACTCCTCCTGTCCTTCGATGCACCCTATGCACTAAAACTTTCGAGAAACCTTCGACGTTGCACAGGCATGGCTACTACTGTAGATCTAGGCAGTTTGGTGCAAAGACTCGAGTACGATCTTGCCATGCATGCGCGCAGAATAAGACGAAATGCGATAATCGACGTCCAAGATGCTCGAGGTGTATTTTGAAAGGTGTCGAGTGTCGATATCCCGAGCGCACTACCAAAGCCGAAAGACCAAAGCCTGGTAATGGACGAGCACTTCCATCTCCAGCCAGCACTACAGGCACACCTAGTATGCTTTCGGACCTCGACCAAACTCAAGCCCTCCCTGATAAAGCGACGGAAATTCTATCCATCAGTGGCAGCGGTATTGCCTTGGACCTGCCCGACGTAATACCAATCGCGGACATTGACTTCGACGACCCTAGCATCGATCCGGGTCAGTGGAATGACACGATACTGGACTTTGGTGACCTGATGGGTATGGATAGCGAGGGTGACGCATCCACTTCGCCAAGTTCGATCACAGCAGCTAGTAGTACGGAGATCTTGTTACCACAGACACAAGCCTGGAACCATATTGTTTCCATCCCGGCTCAGCCAAGCACCAATGTTCGCTCGATCGTACAGCGAATACCCATGACAAAGGGCACACAGAGAATTGCTAGCTTGATTTTACATAATCTGAAATCGTATCCTCGCATGATGCTGCATCAGAGCAATCCTCCACCATTCATCCATCAGCATTCGGTTTGCTTTGGTGACGAAGACGACACCCTTGGTACACTAAATACCTGTATGAGCCTACTGCATATGGCAAACAGTGGCATGAAGGACTGTCGGAAGCTTTTTTGGAAGTACGTGCGGATAGAGTGCGAAACTTTGAGGTCAAGAGTACGTGGTATAGTAAGACACTATTGAAATGGGTACGGCTGACCATTGTCATAGTACCAGGACCTAAACAAATGGGAACTACTGGCAGCTATGCAGGCTCTATCGATATATATAATCGTGAGGCTTGAAGAAGGAGAGACTGACAGTAACAACTGCGACGCTCTTTTAGTCGCTGCCACCATCGTAAGCTCTAGTCAACATTATCAACAGATTGAAAACTCACAACTCACAGGTGATTGCGAAAAGATTCAACACTATCTCTGCCGGCACAGCCCTTGAATCCAGTACTACCGAATTCGACCCTAAAGCGATCTGGAAGGACTGGATCTTCGAAGAGTCCCGCCGACGGTCCGTCACCCCCAGTCTTTCTCATTTTAAACTAACGTTTCTCACCTAGCCTCTGTATAATATACCGCGTCGTCAACATGCTCGTCTACTTCGAGCCTGCCGCGATCTGCGAGCTCCAAACCGACCTCGCTATTGCTCCGCTACCCTCGAAGAAACCCCTTTGGGAAGCAAACAATGAAGTCACATGGATGCACGAGTCTGCCCCAATGAAGATCGACTACGGACTTGCAGCCAATGGTGACTTGGTGGAGTTGGACAACGACGCCTTGCTTTGCGGTGATCAGCTATTGGTGCGCAAGTCGCCTGACTCGGGTCTACGCTCTCGCCAGGTGCGTGAATGGGAGGAATGGTGCTCGGGTATGGATGGACTTGGGTCGCTTGTGATGCTTGCTGCTGCACTAATCACGTAGCGCTTTGGTATTCAGAGTTGTATCCAGGATTACAGATATCAAGCTTGCCAAGTTGAGGTGCGCCAGGCAGGATCTCGACCCATGAATGGAGTCAAGATAGCCACATGGCTATCATCTTTCGGACAGGTCCTTACGCGACCTTTAAACGCATTTCTGTGCAATGTGATCTGTCTACAGAGGGATCCAAGATCTATTTCAAACAACGATGTATGCACGCCAAGTGACATGAATGACCGCAGGCATACGACCTTCCAGCACTAGGCTTTCCCATCCCTTAACCACGAACCTACACTCATCCACCGTCCCATCTCGTCTCTTGATCGTTCCCTCTCAGCACAGCTCCATATCATCGAATCTTCGTCCTCGTTGCGCTCTATACTTAGTACTGCAGTGTCACGTACCAACAGATAGGAATTGGCGTGTAAGTAGAAGTAGAATGATCAAAGGGATCCTCAAATAGGCTTAGCTGATGCGATCCCTCTGTTCACCAGTAGTTCTGTGATGCATATGCACAGCAGTGGAAAACCTAAGCTCTTTCGTAAAAGCGATCCCGATGGTATATACATTATCTAAAAGATTTTTGTGATTCATAATCATGTTTTCATTCGATGCGAAGGCTCCATCGCTACTCGAGGATTTCAAACGTGATATTAGAGATATTCCGGTTACGTTGAGAGGTTATCAGTGTAGTATATTATCTAGTCAAGAAAGTACAATAGCATCGATCCTAATCCCAGGTTTCTAAATAGGGATTATACTATGATCGCAATCTTCATATGCAAAAATTTGGCGTAGTAACATTGCAAATTTCCACGACACAGCGAAGAGACAGCAGTCCAGCTAATCATCTGCGACACCTACTCCATTCCATCCCGTATAATGTCCGCAACAAGCTTCTCTGCCACCGCATACGTGACCCCCTGCGTATGCCCTGGCGCACTATAAGGCAAGACACTCGCATCCACGACTCGCAGCCCCTGCACCCCAAACACCCTTCCCTGACTGTCCACGACCCCGTCCTCCGCGCTCTTCCCCATCCGACACGTTGACGCCGCATGATGGATCGCACTGAGCCCCTTCGTCATGATGTAATCTAGAATCTGCGCATCGGACGTAACGTTTGCACCTGGCCGTACCTCGTCACCGAACGCGGCTACATGGCTTGCAATTGTGCGCGCACGTTTGAATGCCGCGATGGCAACCTCGCGGTCTTCGGGTGATGCAAGCCAGGGGATGTTGATGATGGGCTGGTCAGCGTTGGATGCAGATGCAAGGGTGACGCTGCCGCGGGCTTTTGAGGCCGTAAGAAGGACACCGACGTTTCCGAGACGCGTGTTTGTGTTTCCGGCTTGGAGGAGACTTGAGCTACCCGCTCCAAGGACGTACTCGGCAGTGGGCCAATCGGAGGGTATGCTGTCTAGCCATTGCAGTGTCGAATTTGACAGTCCTGTGCGTGAGGATTTGGGGAGGACTTCCCAGCCTGCAAAGTCGCCGGATGGGGATGATAGAGGCCCGGAGCCGTTTGTGAAGAATTGCTCGGAGGCGGCGGCGAAGGTGGCGGGGTTGGATTCGAATGTTGATGCAGAGTCAACATTCATACTATGGGTGATGCCGCCTAGGTTTGGGGTGTCGTGCAGGTTTTGCCCGACGTGTGGGAGTGCTGCGACGATTGGGATGGAGAATTGGTTGAGGGTGGACTCGGGACCGACTCCTGAGACCATCAAAAGTTGCGGAGAGTGCATCTGCGAATGTCAGTGTATCCATCCGGTAAGAGAAAAACATACAAAAAAGGAGACGTACGGCGCCAGTGGAAACAATGACTTCTTTCCTCGCACTCAGCATGAATGACTTTATGCCCTGCACGGTGACGTTCACACCAGTCGCTTTCTTGTTCTCGTCAAACAATATGTTTCGCGCCATGCAACTCTGATACACTTTCAAGCTTGTCTTTTCCAGAGCCGGGCTCAGGAAAGATGTCTCCGTTGAGCTGCGCGTACTGTCCTCCGGGTTCAACGTGAACGACCAGTAGCCATATCCTAGCAAATTTCCCTGTAGAAAGTCTGGAGTAGCATTAAAGCCCGCAGCCGCATACGCGTCTGGTCCATACGAACTGATCGGCTGAGCATGTTTCGGAAAGCTGAGTTGCGCAGGTCCGCCTGGAATATCGTAGGCCTCGAGACTGAAATTCGCAGTTGCGTTGGCGGCGCGGAAGCGTACATCAGGAGGCGTAAAGGAGAACGACGTCTTCATGAACGGAAACATGTTCTCCCAGTTCCAAGCGTCGTCGCCGGTGGCGTCCACGATAGACTGGTGCCAGCCCTTTGTTCCCCTGCTTAGTGATCAGTTCGATGCGCGGATGCGGCCATGGTCGTGAATAACGCACCGATGATAGATCTGCTGGTTTCTCGCGGAACTACCTCCCAACGTCTTGCCTTGCGCATAGAGGAAACGTCGTCCCGCACCTGCATTGACTGGTTCTGTCACCAGACCCCAGTCAATCAAAGGATGCCAATCATCTGGATCCGATCCAGCAAATCTCGGCGAGTAGTGCGGTCTGCAAGCGAGTAAGCGCGCGATCCAAGAAGGTTCATGAATCCCGTTCACATTTGACTGTAGTTGCCGTTCGAGATCTCGTAGAACGAACCAGCCTCCACCACTGCGACCGTCGCGTCGGGGAGGTTTTCTGCCAGTCGTGCTGCAACAATCGAGCCCGCAAGTCCTGCTCCGACAACAACATAATCATACGTCGCGTTCGCGCCCGGAAGTCCGAAAGAGTTTCCAGAAAGCTTTCCAGGTGCGAGATATTGGTTGAGCAGGCTCGCGCAGCAAATATTTGCTATGCCGAGGGCTGCAATCAATCCAGTGAGTGATTTGGATGCATGCATGATGCGGTTTAGGTCAGTAATGGATGCTGCAAACGTGACAAAGCATCGGAGGCATGCGTACCATTTATCATTTGGTCCATTGTTACACTATGAGATCATAGCGTATGGCAACAACTAGTCAGATTCTTGGTACAGCATCGATATGATCCGCTCGCGGCTTAGTAGCCGTAGTATGTACCTACTATACGATATTAGGCTAACCTATAGATGCATTTTAGATCTAGGGGCACAAAGATCAGCGCGGCGCTCAATGAACAAAGCTGGAATCCCACAAATACGTATGAAGGTTGATCTAGCGGTGGGGACTAATTAGGCATTGCTGCGTGCCGGTCGTGCATCTGGAGTGTCTAAATCGGGTGATGGTGGACGATGCCTGTGATTGGTGCACATATCAGGCTTCTTTAGCGTAGCTTCATGGATGAGACAACTTCGTTATGCGTATCGCCTTGCACAACAAGCACTTTTGCGAGACTCATTCGAAAAGTGAGGGTCCTTGGTACGATTCATGTATGGACGATATCTATAATGTACAATGCCTTCAATCGGGGTGAAATCAGTTCTAGCAGCCTGTCATGATGTCATCAGACCGCTTCTCATGCCTCCTAACGATGTTCTTGACGGGATCCTAACTTGGCGTTGATAAGGCACCTTAGTACCATAACTCTCTTCTCTCGCCCTTCTGTTCAACTCCCTTCGAGCTCTGCTTTGACGAGTTTGATTTCCTCATTCCACGGGGCAAGGTCAAGGACGCATTCTGCCACCTGGCTGCTTTGTACATTTTCTACGAGTTCGAAACTGAGGTCGATATTTCGTGGCAGAGACTGCAACAGTCTTCTGACTGCTCTGACCATCATCTCTTGTATCTGAGGTCCGGAATCATTATATAATTTATGAGGAGCAACAGCTACAACGACTTTCTTAAGAGACCCGAGTTCCTGGAAGGGAAAGAGCGGTACCACTGTTCTCTTGAAACAGAATAAATCTCCATAGACTTTTAGAGACGTGATGTAGTTAAGGGATCGAGACTTGAAGCCCGAAAGGTGTTGTATGTCGAAAACATAGGCGTCTACCCCTATTGTATTCTTGTATAGTATTGGTGTTGCTTCCGTATTGATCATACGACAAGTCGCCAGGAGACACACTCCATTGACGTATTTTCGTACATTGTGCGGCGACCTCCCCCACTTTATGACGAAGATAGGCTCGGGAAACGGTCCAAAAAGCTCTTCATATACCCGGATTCGGAGCTCAGCGGGGAGATCCATGAATCTGAAAATGTCCTTTGGCGAGTCTTCCAGGGCGGGCTCGACGCAATCTTGGATGCTCCCCTTGAAGGGATGTAGACACCCGTTCAATCGTGGTCTCTTGGGCGGCAGGGCTCTTGGATAGTGCTGGAAACGCTTCATGTTTTAGAGGTAGAGTGACTCGTGTCGAGAGCGTTGAACCTGTCGCTATACACGTAGATAGAAGATCAAGGCTTGTTTATAAAAAGATGGATAGCTCCCTAATGATGAGAATAGGAGTGCCTCAAAGAATGAAAGGTAGTTTAGGGAAAGATCCAGGGAAGAGAAAATCAGGAGCTCAATTTCACCCCGCTAAATTGCGTGTGCGGAGGCACGGTAGCATCCTGCCTAAGGCCATCAAAGTGTATAAATCAGCAGAGCCTGATTGGATCTATCAAGCGATACAATGCTATCTTTTTACGCTGGCGGTCTACTCTAGAACCTTCTCATGGCTTCGTATTCCTGTCATAGACAGCCTCAATTACGCTCTTAAGAGGAGAGAAAACATCGAATTGTTGAGCTGGCTACAAGATCTTTTGAGTACATGCTATTGACCTTATCATTTGTCCTTGTCTTGACTATGAGATACATGAGCAGGTGTCATAAAGCGAACGATTTTACCTTATATAGGCACTATCAAGTATGCTCCTAAAGTAAGAAAAAAACTTTGGATACTTAAGCTGGCTACAAGATCTTGAACTAGATACTCCAAAGCTAAACATTTTACCTTGCCCAGGCTACAAGAAACTTGAATATGTGTTATAAATATAACCATGTTACCTCGTCTATGTACCATTATTTACGCTTTTGAACTAAAGGAAAACAATAGATAATTAACCTAGCTATAAGATCCTTAGCTGTATGTTATGAAGCTAACGACTATACCTTATCTAGACTACGAGATACTCGGATTCGTACTATAAATCTAGCTATTTTACCTTATCTAGATACTATTAGTTACGTTTATAAACTAAATAAGAACTTTAAATAATTAAGTAGACTATAAGATCCCTAGATATGTATTATAGATTTAAAGGTTCTAATTTACTAAAGTAACTTTAATTATATAGTTTAGGTTAAAGAAGAATCTTATAAAGTTAGAATAGCTATAAGATTCTAAACTTAGTGTCATAGATCTAACTATTTTTTCATTACCCAGATACTTTTAATTACGCTCCTTAAGCTAAAAGAAATCTTATTAAGTTAGGATAGTAATAATAAATCTAAGTAGGTAGCTATATTCCAACTATGTTACCGTTAGTAGGTAGCTTTAAAAATGTATTTCTAAGTCAAGAGAAAACATTATATAGTTAAGCTAGCTACATGCTTCTTAACTAGGTATCATGAATTAAATCGCTTTATATTATTTAAGTATCTTTTAATCATGCCTTTAAGCTAAGAGAAAACCTTAAATTGTTAGACTACCTATGAGAGTTTTAGATTGACTTTATTTACTAAGGTATCTTACCTTTATCTAGGTACCCTTAGTTCTACTTCTAAGTAAAAAGAAATCATTTATATTTTAGACTACTTATAAGATATTTTAGTAGATATAATAAGTGTCCTTACTTTATCTTACCTAGGCACCGTGTATTTATACTTATATACTAAGAGAAATTATTTAAATGTTAAGCTATCTATAAGATCCTTAGCTAGATATTCTAAACCTAATGGTTATATCTTGTCTAAGCTATTAGAGTGATAGACGCCTTATATTAGTAAATTATATAGTGGTTAATTAAGACTACTCTTTGAGACCTCTTTCTAATAGTATATTCATAGAAAACGATACTTGGCTAGCTTTCTCCTTGCATGTATTCACTAGTAGCTTTAGATTATCTTATAGTTAATACGTGTATTCTAATCTAGCTACACTTATTTAGATTGCAAACGTGGGACCCTGATTCCTAACCACTTCTACGTGGTCAAGTTCAATTACATAGAGTGCTTAGAGTAATGTAATCCGTACCCTATTGATACGGGGTAGTACCCTCACCTCCGGCATTGCCCTTTCATTGTCCATTAAACCTGACTTTACGGCTCTGTAGAAATCACAGAGTTCCTCAAGGTATGCTGGGTCGTAGAAATGATGCGGAGCTCCCTCTGTGTCGATCATGACAGGATTTCGAACAAGTCCGTTCACTCCCGGTGCCTCAAAGGCAAGATTCACAGATGAAGGGACTGTGCGTAATAGATCCAGCATCAGCCATTTGAGCTTTACTGCTTCTTCCGATGCCTCTAACGCCAACCAAGGCATTTGGAAGCTCCACTTGTAGACAACCACCGCTATTTGCTTGAGGGTAGGTAGAAGACCTAGATCCAAGAAAGGGGCACCGTTCCTTCTTAGACCGTGTTCTAGAACGATGTCGATGTCTACATGGACCCTAATGTAGGTTATACAAGCAAGTGCAGGCCTTGTAAATCGGGTTGTGAGATCTGTCTGATTCAAGTGGCCGCTAAGACACACTGTGTTCTTCCAGAAAATATGGATAGCTTCCTTGTAGATTTGGCGACAAACTCGGAGGATGTTGAAGTCTCTACATCGTGGCTTTCGTGAATTGAACGTGTCAATAAATCGAGAGGGGATGTGGAATCCCTCGTGGAGCGGTCCGAGAACAAACTCGTACACAGAAACGCGTATCTCGGCTGGAATTTCTAAGAAGCAGACCATTTTTCTTGGAGGCTGTGTAGAGGATGTTTCGAAGAATGAGGATCCTTTTTTCACTGCCCTGCCGACACCAGGGACATTGATATATTGATTGGAAGTTGTTCTGGTGATGTAGCTACCGAACTCTTGAGACGTATTCTTCATCCTAGCGAGGTCCAAGGCTAAGATAGTCGTGTCTTTCTTGACATTTGGGTTCGTGTTAATAAGATTCGTGCTAAGGTTCGTTGGAGTAGGTATGATGGATTCAGTGTTGGCTGGCATTGTGATGAGAATCTCCGTATCGATGGGCTCCTGTTTGTCGTGTCTCTGGTTGATGGCGGACTGGCATGACAGCTTCTCACCAACAGCCTGCTCATCTTCATCAAATTTAAAGCGGACTGCTTGCTGCTCTCCTCTTAGATCGTTGCTCGAGGCGGATCTCTTGGCCGACATAGGCTCTGTGATCTTCTTTGGCTCGTTAGGCACCGGGGCCTTGGGAGATGCTTGCATGCTGATCTGTTGCTTGTGACTTATTCGAAGAAATGTAGCTCAGTGAATTGTTGCTATCACACTTGTTGAGGTATTAAAGGCGATGCAAGACAAATTCAGGGGCTCTACGAGGGAGAGATTGATGTGATCGATGATTGCAAAGATCAAGGGTGTCAAAGAAAGAAATTGGGGATTTATGGTAGAGGACAGATGGAACTTGAATATTTGGAGCAAAAGTTGGAGCAGGGTCCGGGAGAGAAACACATAAGCAACTGAGTTTCACCGTAGCTTCTAGTACTGTGGGGCATCAAATGTGTAATATGGCCTTAGGCACGCGGCAACGGTGTGTGGCCTGGTCTGTTTACGAGAGCTTAGCGAGATTGACATTGTTTAGGCTGTAGGTCTTCTTACTGTACTTAAGCTCTTCCAATTTGGGATACTCATTGGCGGAAAATAAGGTAATTTCCAAACCCTGTTCTTAAGTTGAGAGGTCCCAATACCAGTGGTGAAGAGTTATACACGCAGTCAAGGCATAAATCTATATCAAATGTGGTAGCGGAGGGAACAGGTGTGAGAATGCAGATTATGATCAGAGAAACCATGGGTCCGCCGCGGGACACATTGCAAGACGACGATAGGAGGGTATAGCATTCCTACCGTTGAAGATTCCAAGGCTTGGTGGAGCTTTGTATTCTAGTAATTAAAGTACAAGACATGTGAAGCATGGCGTTCTCACCACTTCCAAGATCAACTATACCATTAGTATACGAAGAACGGTATAGTTATAATATTGGGGAAGATCATAGATCCTGTCTCACATAACCACATGTAGAGAATCATGGAGTGTCTTCTATGGTAGATTCAATGCTTCTGTGCTATGATTAAGTAGCCGTTTAATGATCTGAATGTCATCTAAGGCTCCCCAGTATGAATTATAGTTGGCGTCCAATCCTCCAAACAGAGCTTTTGATAAAGGTACAAGTTAGAGCTCTATATCATGTCGCGGTCCATACAGGGTGCCATGTCTCCAAGACTCGTGAATAAGCGCCAGAAAGGGAACTGAATTGCCTTCATGATATACCATAAAACGAGCGCACAGCCGTGACAATGGACGAGTGTATAGCAGTTTTTTAGAGGATGCTTACCATGGCTCGCCAGGATAAGTAGAGTTGCAAGTCATTGTAGGGAGGGATCTCTGCCCTCTTTGTATCAAATTGATATCGGAAAGCTAGTAACTTCACACAGCATGGCAACAGCGTTGAGACTAATAGTTCTCACATAGAGTATCCGTCCGATCCAGGCAAGCCTATCAAGACAGTGTTATTACCTAGACATGAAAGTAATGAGGAGCTGGAAAGCTTGTTTAACATAGCTTGGATGCAAATATGCGGTACGTATTGATATCCTCAAGTTCTTCCGAGGGCCCAGTGGCATCGGTGTTGGTTGGTATACGACTAAGGATTCGGTCGAGGAGGTAGGAGTAAGGGATACTTCTTTCGATTCGAGGGCAGGCTGATTGCTACAGATATAGCTGCAATAGGACAATCTCGGGGATGTGTAAATAGGCGATAGATGTTAGCTTGAGATCGTTTGCTTCGCCCAGTGTATAAACAAGCTGACCTGATCAAGCTAGCGTTGATTGACTTACAACTCACACCAGCGTCGATTGCCCTCTCGTGACCGACAGACGTCCCATGTACGCAGGATGAGACATACAATGACGAATCGACACCGTGGACGAGACCATTACTCTGCGTAGGAGCAAGCATGAAATGGGAAAGGAGCACTATCACTGCTACACCACTCCATCGCGCGTCATCGCAGAACAACCAAATTCCAAAACACATCAGAGAACGATACTAACATTGTCAGCAGATACAAATCCAGGCCATCCTCCATGCCGAGTCTCCTAGTGCGACCTCACTTAAAGATGCTACCCTACCGAACCTAATATGCCTCGCCACCTCTTGAACCAATACTGTGACTCTACCACACAATGTCTCCAAACGATATCAAGACTACAAGTCAGTTCTTCCTATCAATCCTTACGTCCACCAGACTATCGAATACCGATCAGCATATCATCCTTAGATCGCGCAACACACGCGCCAGTCTACACACTGCGCTTACAGAGAGATCCAAAGAGAGGGAGATGTGCCATGGCCGTAGCGTACGACGTTCCCCTGGGAAAAAGGCAATTCCCACTGCGTCCCCGCTCATGCAAGAATTGTCATTTCTACTAGAGATCACATATCCACTGCGCATGATGAACGAAAAATAGAAAGAGATGAGAATAAGATCGGTGTTAGATAGGGAAACGCCTAAGCTCTTCCGGAGGATCGCTAGCATAGCTCTTGGCCAGGCAAGATTGGATCACACCCCCTGAGATGATACCCGCAACTATACTTGAAGACTACTAAGATGAAAGAGAAGAATGTAAGACTAAAAGATCTATACGGTAATGTTTAGCACGAGCTGACTATCGAAAAAGAGGACTCTACTGGTGAAAAGCTATCGGGGAACTGAATACAGGCTCTTGAGGCTGTGCTTTTGTGGTACGATGGCGGCCGCGTGGCGTCATTGACCTTTATGGCCAGATCCTACAGTATGCTCGCCAGACAATACGCATGCGCGGAAGACAACCTTCCGCTCACAAGAAGACACAGCAATATGAGACAAAAGTGCTCATTGAGGGGTGGTGAAAGGAGGCCGACTTGATACGCGCTTGGCAACGCGTCACAATCGCGAGCACACGTGATGCAGAATGAACAGGGTGTGCATTTAGATGGATGTAAACCATACCTGTGCCGTAGAAGCTTATAGCTCAGAAACATACATCTAGAGGATGTTGTCTGGTCGCATCTGTGGATATTGTGTCGTCCTTGATGAGTATTGCCCGCACAGAATGAAACGAATCACGTGCTGTGTATCTATCTGTTCCCGGATTGCTCTTTCAATCCCGTTGAAATGGCCTCTGAGCCTCAATGATTGTTGTAATCTCTTGACTCGCTCAATATAGAATTGGTTCCAACATCATGGTTGCGACAGCTTCATCACCGACGACCGCGCATCTCCAACCATGCCAAGACCAACCGACAGCCTCGCATTGGCTGTGATACTGTTAGACGCCCGTGGCATGCTCTTGGGCACTTACCCACCATGGATCTTCCTGTCACCAACGACACGATTCGACCAGGAGTAAGGCAACACAGCTACGGCGGCACTGGTTACACACGTGTCACCGACGAGGAGCGGAGTATAATTATTTGCCTTGGCAACGACAGGCCCTTGGCATTGTTTTTCATGGGGTCAATGATTCAGGACCGACTAAGGACCGCATCGGTCCCTGGCTCAAGGCTGCACAACGATTTCCTGATCAAGCAGGACGTCTAGGGTATATGTAGAAGATAATAGAATGAAAGACCAGTAAGTAAACTCGGGTAAATGTTCGAGCTAAGTGTGCGAAAGTCATTCTCTTTACTATAACCTTGATTGGACCGTTGTAGTACATTGGGCTTACTCATTCTATCTTCGAAGCTAATTATAAACGGCCCTCTACGTAGTAATAGTTATATAGGTTACTAGTATCATGCATTCGTACGATTAGAACATACAACCAAGTACTAGATGTTCTTTGAGACTGGGTTATCTTAAAGAGTTTAGACTAATTCACCTAGAAAGAGAGATCGGATTGCTCAATTACCATTTCTCTGATGATATTCATGATGAAAGAACTTGGTAAGAAAGGTAGGTTTTGCATTAAATCCGAAAACTTCGGCTATACTTCCCGATTGGGCTTAAGCAGTGCGATGTTTAATACCTAGCTAACCTCTCTCAATGTAATGCAATCTCAGGTCTGTCCTGATTTTTGGACTAGACGACATGCACGGAAACGGTGTCGTATGATGGGTATTAATAACCGCATTCTCGGGAGGCGTCACAGCAGGATTGACGACGCCGCATTTGCAAAAGACTGGCTCTTGGCAGGGTCTCGAATGTAAGGATTACTGTATTACTGTCCTGGCCTCGACCTCCATGATTCGAAATCAAAGTTCCCACAGTCGTCACAATCCCCGGACCGGAGACCACACTAGTCCATGACATTTGTATGGAATCTATAATGTCGACGACAATCGCTTCCACTGGCTGACCTATGACCTCTCATTCGTGTCTTTGCTCCCAAGCGCGCTTACAGGGTCATGTTCCTCCTTTCATAAACACAGCCGTCTTGGCCTTGCCTTTTGCAAGCCGCGGCAATGTGGCACGGTACACGGAAAACGCCCCGGTGTGATGATTGATAAGGCATCGCACAGGAACGGGCCTATTGCGGCTCTTCGATCAGCAATTGCGCACAAACCATTGGAGCATCGGTGGCCTTGTGCATCCCCCACTGTGGGTTCCCGCACGTATCACATTGAGTGTCGTTATGCGGTACACCCTTGCGAGAATCTTGTCGGGATATAGATGGATCATACCAACTCTCAATGTGAATGTGCACTCTGCCAGTACCAGCCTACCAGAAATTCCGGAGATCATGACCTCCGTCGCTGCACACGATGGCAGGAACGTGGGCACCGCACCGGCTACAGAAGACCCGGAACGATCTCCGGATATGTGACTTTGTACATAAGAAAACACGATCCGGAACTCGGCATGCCGCCGAGTTCAATGCCCCTACATACGTTTTCGAACCAAGCTTGGTGGTTGGTCAACTCCTGCACGCACCACGCCACAAATTACCAAATTATCTCGGTCTTGGTGGTCTTGCCGTTGGGTACGGCGCGGGCCTGGCGATGACCCACAAGGCCGGGATGCCTAGTGTATCATACCTATGGGATCACCTTTCGGACACGTATTTTCGTGAAACGGGCATCAGGATGGCCATAGCTTGCTGTGAGCAATGACAATCCTCCACATATCAAGTTCATTGATGGTCGAAGCTCCAATCTACATCGAATTTTCAGATGTCATGCCGCCCATGACCTTCCCAATCAGTATTGTTATTTTATGGGTTCACCTTTCCATTGCGATCCTTTGCTAACCCGAGCGCAAGGCTTCCCATTCGCGCAATCGACTATATCTTTACCTGCACCTTTTGGACACCGGGGTGGATCTACACTCGTGCTGTGTACTGATGCAAGGCTCACGCAATCCAACCACACTGTTGTTGGCATTGAATCTATAAAAGGAGCAGTGCACCACGGTGCATCTTTCCACCTGCCGCAGCTACTTCTTGTGCATCTTTCAAGCCCCACACAAAGATGTTCACCCGATCAATTGGCCTTCTAGCCTTTGCAGCATCTGTTACTGCGGCAGGATGTCCATACATGGGAGCAGAAGAGGCCCGCGATGCCCCAGCTCAACATGCAGGCGTCCATCGCCGTGATGCTACCACGGACACAAATGATTTTCTCGCGCGATACGAACTCGACGATACCGATACCTACCTCACGAGCGACGTAGGCGGGCCTTTCTCCGATCAAAACAGTCTGTCTGCTGGGGAGCGCGGCCCAACTTTGCTTGAGGACTTTATCTTCCGCCAGAAGATCCAGCACTTTGATCATGAACGGGTACCCGAGCGTGCTGTCCACGCACGAGGTGCTGGTGCTCACGGTGTCTTTGAATCGTATGGTGACTGGTCCAACATTACGGCTGCCTCATTCCTGGGATCGCAAGGCAAACAGACGCCCATCTTCATTCGCTTCTCCACTGTTGCCGGCAGCCGCGGATCTGCTGACACAGCGCGTGATGTGCATGGTTTTGCGGTTCGATTTTACACTGACGAGGGCAACTTTGGTCTGTCATATCATCCGGGCTGTGTGTTCAATTGGCTGACTCTTCCCAAGATATTGTGGGCAACAATATTCCGGTCTTTTTCATTCAAGATGCGATTCTGTTCCCCGATCTAATCCATGCGGTATGACTGTGGCGTGACATGCCGAGAAAGTAAGAACTAACGGCTGTTAGGTGAAACCAAGTCCCGACTCCGAAATTCCACAAGCGGCCACTGCTCATGATACGGCATGGGACTTTTTCAGTCAGCAGCCTTCGACGCTGCACACGCTGTTCTGGGCCATGGCTCCAAATGGGATTGTCAGGTCGTACAGACACATGGATGGATTTGGTGTGCACACGTTCCGCTTTGTGACAGACGATGGAGCGTCCAAGCTGGTCAAGTTCCACTGGAAGTCTCTGACCGGGAAGACTGGTCTCGTGTGGGAGGAAGCGCAAGTCCTGGCTGGAAAGAATGCCGATTTCCACAGACAGGACTTGTTTGAGTCTATCGAGAAGCAGCGCTTCCCGGAGTGGGAGGTGAGATATTCCAGAGAATGGTAGTGTGGGTAGTTGAATGCTGACGCTGACATAACAGCTTGCGGTACAAATTATGGACGAGCAAGACCAACTGCGGTTTGGCTTTGATGTCTTGGATCCGACCAAGATCGTGCCCGAAGAGCTCGTCCCCCTGACCAAACTCGGCAAGCTGACATTGAACCGCAACCCACGGAACTACTTTGCCGAGACCGAGCAGGTCATGGTAAGCTTACCTGTGTAGTGAATGCTTGCCTCGCTTACAAATTGCAGTTCCAACCTGGCCATATCGTCCGCGGCATCGACTTCTCCGAAGACCCCTTGCTTCAAGGCCGCATCTACTCCTACCTCGACACGCAATTGAACCGCAACGGCGGTCCAAACTTCGAACAACTTCCCATCAACCAGCCACGCGTACCCTGGCACAACAACAACCGCGATGGCGCAGGTAACACATCCCACAACCCGTACAATCATGAACCCCAAACTAACCTCCCCCAGGCCAAATGTTCATCCCCCTCAACACCGCCGCCTACTCTCCCAACACCCTCAACAGAGCCTCGCCCAAACAAGCAAACCAAACCTCCGGCCGCGGCTTCTTCACCGCCCCAGGCCGCACATTCTCCGGCAACCTCGTCCGCGCCGTCTCCTCCACCTTCAACGACGTCTGGTCGCAGCCCCGCCTCTTCTACAACTCCCTCCCGCCAGTCGAGCAGCAATTCCTCATCAACGCAATCCGCTTCGAAACAAGCAACCTCAAGAGCGACATTGTCAAAAACAACGTCCTCATCCAACTCAACCGCGTCTCCCACGATATCGCCTCCCGCGTCGCCTCCGCCCTCGGCCTCACCGCCCCAGCTCCAGACGCAACATACTACCACGACAACAAAACCGCCGGCGTCGCCGTCTTCGGCACCCCGCTCCTCCGCCTCGATGGCCTGCGCGTCGGCCTCCTGACCACCGCCGCCGACACTACAGACTACACAAGCCTCAAATCCGCACTCGCAACACACAACGTCGACCTCGTCGTCGTCGCCGAACACTACGGCGGCAGCAGCACCACCCAGACATACGCACAAGCCGACGCCACGGGCTTCGACGCCGTCATTGCTGCCGCTGACCCCTCGTTCTTCAGCCCCATCACCTCCACGCCCGAGTTCCCATCCGGACGTCCGCTGAGTATCCTGCTTGATGCATATCGGTGGGGGAAGCCGGTGGCGGATTTGAAGGGGGTGTTTAAAGGCGTGGCGATTCCGGATGGGGAGGGGGTTATTGTGGCTTCGGGTGCGGATGAGGGGTTTGTGGGGAAGCTGGTGGATGCGTTGCGGACGTTTAAGTTTTTGGGTAGGTTTCCGGTGGATGGGAAGGCTTAGGGGGGCATGGAATTGGATGGGATGGGTGGGCTTGTATATTATGGTTATTTATAGGGCTGTGAGAATGGGAGCATTATATATTCTGGGTTTCGAGTCTAGATGTATGGATGGTGTGTGTGTGTCTCTCTATGGACGTCTTACTACTCTGGACATGGTACAAGGTTTAAGAGTAGAGATATAACATCTCTATTATCTTGACGACTTATGTATATTACCAGCGTCATCTCCAGAGAGCTCAATAGCTAAAATCCTTATATCGACACGTCCACTCATCCCCCCTTTTCATAATCAACACACTCTTATACCTACCTCCCAAACCTCTTCACCCTCACCGCATCCCCGCTCTCCAACTCCACCGCACTCCTGCCTCTCATCCTCGTCGCCCCCTCCACCCCCGGACAGACCGGCCTCTCCACCTGCCCCCCAAAAACATCCCCAACCCAAATCCTACACCCAAAAAGTCAGCTCATTCATTCATCCACACACAAGCACAGCACACAGAAAAAAAAAGAGAATAAGACTCACAAAACCCCATTCGTCCACCCAAACCCCTCCACAACCTCATACTCGCCCCCACCCCCAGCAACCCCAACCCGCTCCTCACTATACTTCTCAAACATAACCCCTCTCGTCCGCCCGCCCTCCACACTCCCATCCACCTTCCCCCCACCCGTCGCCTCCCACCCACAAAACGTCGCATCTACATACCGCTGCGCCACACGCCGCGCGAGGTCCTGCAGCCACGTCCAATCCGCCCCTGCGTCGCCCACCGTGCCGCTGGTGGGGGGCACGTTCAGGATGCCGCGCATGACGATATATTGCAGCGGGGGCCAAGCGTTAGGTGCGTCCCACTGCTGGCTTGTAAGCGTGTTTGTGCTGGCGAGACAGCCGGGGAAGGCGGCGAGGCGGGCGGCGATAGGGGCGAAGACGCGGCGCATTGTAGTTGGGTTCTGGAGGATGGATGCGGGGGCGGCGGATGTCCAGAAGGGGGTGAAGTGGGCGAGGGAGAAGGAGAGGGAGTGGCCGGCGGGGACGTCGGGGGGTGGTGGTGTGGTGTTGTTGTCTGTGGCGCCGGCGGGGGTGAGGGGCGTGTATGTGTTGCGGGAGTGTGAGGTGAGGTTGTAGTCGAAGTAGGACATGTAGCGTGGGTCCCACATGAGGTCGTACATGGCCTGGCTGCGGGCGGCGGCGCGGACGGACCATTTGGATGCTTCGGCTGGGGAGCCGGTTGTCGTGAGGAAGGAGGCGATGGCGACTTCGTTGGCGTAGAGAATGCTGTTGAGGTCGACGGGGATTGTGGAGATGGTGTTGAGGCTGCGGAGTGGGAAGGAGGTGTTTGTGATGTCGTCGGAGGGGTTTGCGAGCCAGCGGCTGCTGTAGTCCCAGCCGGACTCGGCGCCGGAGGCGAGGTTGCTGTAGAGGGTGGCGCGCTCGGAGTCGGTAAGGTTGTGGAGGGCGGGAAACTGTGCGCCTTCGTCGTTGGTGTAGGAGGTGTTTGTTGCGGTGATGTAGTCCTCGCGGTAGCTTTCCGGGCGCGGTTGGTTGTTCTGCACGGCGTAGCGATTGAGGGTGTATGTCTTGCCATAGGCGTCAATGTCGACACTGCGATTAGTGGTGAAAAAGTCGTATTCTCGGATCAGTAGGGGCAGAGCGCGTTCGAGGATGGCGGTATCGTTTGTATGCTCGACATACACCTTGACCATCTGTGTGAGCAGCGGCGGTTGGCTGCGATTGAGATAGTACACACTGGATACATCAGCATCCCCATATTATCACGTCTCGGTATCTGGAACAAAAAAGTCACAGGACAAGAAGAACTCACCGCGCGCCGTTCGGCACAAACCCAAGCTGCTCAACAAGATCGAGGAAGTTCTCAATGATATTCCGCGCTATGCCCACGAAACTACCTCCACTCCTCAGCAAGCCCTCGATCACCCAAAACGAGTCCCAGTAGTACGGCTCGCGGAAGCGTCCTCCGGCAACGACAAACGGGCGCTCAACTGGAATGAACGAGTCAACACACCCGTCACACATGGACGACGAGGAGGCATTGTATCGCCGAGTCAGCGACGGCCATATACCCACGACCTGCTCGATGAAAGCACGCACATCCGGATCTCGGACTCGTGCGAGAAACTGTGCATCCGTACGCAACTCGCCCGCCGGAACCTCCGACAGCTCACCCCCTGCCTGGCCAAAATAGGTGTTCAGGAAATCGTGCAAGGCGGTGTCGTTCTTCAATGGCTTGGACAAGTTCTGATATGCAGCCAGAACCTCATCTAACGGCCGAATTGTGGGAAGATCGACAAAAGTTTTTGAGTCAGCAAAGGGACGGGCGAGTTCGACATCATGGAGCAGGGATCCGTAGCAGTATATTGGCGAGTCGCAGGGAGCCGTTACAGAGCCGTTGATGAAGAGGGCTTGCGCGGAGGGGAGCGCGGCACCAATGAGGCCGAGGAGGAGAGACCTCATGGCACGCGTCAGTGTTTGTTGGAGGGCGGGTCCCAAGCCTGTGCTGGTATATGTTATGCCACTCTGGAGGAGGGCAGACCGATATATGTGCTGGTGATAGAGTCGGCTCCACGAGCGGGTCGTCCGGATATACTAGGAGATGAGGCTTATTCGTAGTATTGGTACAGACCTAGTACATGCTCTAATAACAACGAAGATGACAGACAGCGGCCGAGACTGCTCACCTGACGGCCCTTGCACACATTCAGTCTGCCAATTGAACGTCATGGCTGACGATGACAAGCATCCAGCCAACGGGTACGTAGCATGTATGACAGACGCAGAAGGTGGAAAATGCACGACGCCGCCTCCACACGGGGCCCACGAGCCGCAACACGAAGAAGACGATGGATGCATCGTGGAATTCAAAAGGCGGGGGCTTGGCATTTGCGGAGCGGACTCGCGCCAATGGGAATGTCGCATAGCCGAGTGATCAACAGATATTGGATTGCCAAGTATCGCCCTGGTCTGCGCTTTGCGGGGGATGTCAGGGTCAGGCGAGAGAATCGCCGAAATGTGCATGTTCCGTCTGACGCTATGATATGCTATGCTATGACACGCTTCCGTTCTATACCCATACTCGTCGGCCGTCTAATAGTTGTACAAGACCAACGCTCAGCCTTGCATCTCAATGCCGCCGGAGATGTGCAGCGTTTCACCCGTAGCATATGAACCTAATGGCGAAGCAAGAAGGATATATGCGGTGGCTACTTCAACCGGCATGCCCGGGCGGTTAAGCGGACACTCGCCAACACCAAGAGCGTTCATGGCATCTGGAGGGTTGTTCTTCGTGGCTGGTTGAAGCGGAGTCCAGCTATGTAGTGATGAATATCCATTCGGACCATGGGCGGAAAGGAGAACTCACATGATGCCAGGTGCGACAGCGTTGACTCTGATGCCGTTCGCAGCCTGCTGTTGTGCCAAGGATCGCGTGAATGTTGTGATGGCGCCTTTGGTTGAGGAGTAGTCGACGAGCTGCGGATTACCCATGTAGGCCGCGACGGACGAGCTGTTGACGATTGACGCGCCGCGCTTCATGACTTGCAGAGCGTACTTTGTCATTGCGAACATCGACAAGACGTTGGTTCGGTACGTCTTCTCGACAACGGCGAGGTCGATCTCACGGAAGTCGTTGCAGATTTCTTGCATGGCGCCTGGTCATCATCAGTTTCTAGATGCGCCGATAATTGACAAAATCTCTCACTGTTATTCACCAGCACGCTTAGCTTCCCAAACGCCTTCATATGCTCATCAATAGCCTTCTTGCAGTTCTGCTCCTCCCTTAGATCCAGTGCCATAGGGTTCGCCTTACGACCAGCCTTTTCAATTAGCTTCACAGTCTTATTGGCGTCCTGTTCTTCTTCGGGCAGATGCACAAAAGAGACATCAGCACCTTCTCTTGCCATGAGGATAGCCACAGCGCGGCCAATGCCACTGTCTCCACCCGTGATCAGCACAGCTTTGTCCTTCAGCAGCCCACGGCCCTCATACTCTTTCAGATATGGTTTCCCATCGTCGTCAAAGAATTCCAATTGCGTCCAGTTGGCAGACGGATCGAGCTCTGAATCGAGGCCCGGACCACCCTCTTGGTCCTGCGTCTTCAACTCTGTGCTTGGGTAGGCTGTGATTGGCTTTTGGTCTGGCATTCTAGCGACGATGAGTGTGCGGAGTAGCTTGGTCAGAGTCTTGGGTGTTCGCTTGTGGGTTCTGGCACCGGGCTTTGGTCTGTAAGACGTAGGTTCGTCGAATCGAGGACGAAACTGTTGGAGAGAGAGAGAGAGAGAGAGATCAAAGGGAAGATGTTCTCCGTACTTAAGGATTTTGTATGTTACTGCAGCCTTTCTAGCACCTGGGCAGAAATATCTGGAGCTCGTCGGACGATGATATCATGGTTAAGTCACTCCTGATGGGAGGGTACAAAGACGGCCATGCTCGCACTGACATGCTGAGGCATACATTGTCGAGGAGCGACAGATCTATAGTCGTCCGCGAGGCGGATATATGGCGTAGTAGAAGTATATCCCTTTTATCACGTAGGCATGCAACGTCCACGAGTGTCGTAGTGGCCGCTGCAGGGAAAAGTCGTTTGATGCCTGAGAGCAAGGCTGTAAGGCAGCAAGTGTATCCTCGGGGAGGTCTCCGAAGTCACTAATCCTGAATAAGACTAGTGCAAAGTACGGCAGACGATCAGTCCTAAAGATGCTAAATGCCGGGCAGGACCAATGTTTAACCAACTGTTCTATTCCTGTGCACACTTTATTGAATTTCTGATCGATGTAGTTCTCTCAAAGTCTCCATCATAGATATCTACTTCATCTTTGATTCTCATGACCCTTCTGAGTCCTGATAGAGGGCTCATTCCTCAATTGTTTGCGTATTTATATACTAGCTGATGTATAAGTAAGCAGCGCCTTTGGCTAGACGGCCCCCCGCAGTTTCTATACATTATTCTCCTCGGAATCGCCAGCAATATGCAACCAACGGTCATCAATTACCATAAAACGACAGGCCTCCATAAAGTCACAATTCTCCTAAGAGGCTAAGACCAAGGAGGAACATAGAGGCGTTAGGGTACGATACTTGACCGCAGGCAGACAAGCAAGTCCGTTTCATTCTGATTCCTCTCGGCGACACGTCTTGCCTGGTCCATCCAAGCCAGACTATTGTACTTGCAAGCCTAGTAACTGGACACAAGATTTTAGGTGAGGTAAACCCTCCCTAGTGGCTGCTTGATCCTGTTATTTATCTACATTCATGGTGGGATCTGAACAACCGTCCTTGTAGATGTAGAACGATGTTACATTTGCGGTGTCCTGGTCTAGTCTAGCTGTCATACCTACGATAAACAAGTTCTTTAATATATCAAGCGTACGAGCACACACTATCTGACCATTCAAATCCTCCAGGCCATCCTGGGGATCTTAGAACGATCATTCAGGACCTTTCTTCCAGCCTCAACATCGACAAACACCATGACTACCCTTCCGTCAAGACCCGCAAATGGACGAGCCCGCATACGCGATATTCTCCCAAACCTCTACATCGGCCGCTACACACCCGGCCCTCTCAATTCCATAACCGACGTCCCAGGCGTCCTCGTCCACACCGAATCCATCATATCACCGCAAACAACCACCAAAGGCGCCGTCAACACCGGCGTCACAACCATCCTCCCCCGCAAAGACTTCTTCCACAAAGCATGCTACGCCGGCATCTTCCGCTTCAACGGCTCTGGCGAGATGACCGGAAGCCACTGGATCGACGAGACGGGTCTGCTTCATTGCCCCATCATCATTACCAATTCGTTCGCTGTAGGTAACGCGTATCAGGGTGTGTATGAGTATGCGATCAGGGAGTATTGCGACAAGGATGGACGTGTGGATTGGTTCATGTGTCCTGTTGTCGCGGAGACGTTCGATGGCTTCATGAATGACCTGACGCAGTTCGCCGTCAAGCCGGAACACATTGTGCGTGGGATCGAGAGAGCCTCCGCAGATCGGGTCCCTGAAGGTAATACTGGTGGCGGCACTGGTATGCTTTGCCATGGGCACAAAGGAGGTACTGGAAGCAGCAGTCGCATCGTGGTAGGCGAAGTTGATGGTGTTGATAAGAAATACACTGTCGCAGCACTCGTTCAGGCAAATTATGGTCGACTCCATCAACTCCGTATCTCAGGCGCGCATGTTGGAATTCACTTTGAGAAGATTCTAAATGCGAGAGCTGCAGAGGACAAGAAACTTGCCGACGCCAAAGCGGCTCTTGAGAATGAGAAGGACCGCAAGGATGGCAGTATTATTGTCATCCTTGCGACGGACGCTCCGCTGTCTCCAACACAGCTTCAGAGGCTTGCAAAACGAGCAACAGGTGTGTTTCCCCAGCCTTTAGAGTATCAGATGGAAGAAATACTGACGAGATCTCAGTCGGCCTGGCACGCGTCGGCGGCGTCGGCCACAACCCTTCTGGCGACATCTTCCTCGCATTCTCTACAGGCAACGAGATTCCAGTCCAAGGCGTGGGTGCTCGTCATCGGCATGTTGACCCATTCAAGCCGTCAGCTCTACGTCTCGACATCTTGAATGACGAGACCATCAACGCCCTCTTTGAGGCAGCCGCAGACGTTACGGAAGAGTCAATCTATAACGTATTGACCGGTGCGGAGACGATGGTCGGGCTTGATGGTATGTCCTCTTCTTCACAAGTGCAAAGATGCACTCACTAATGAGAACCGCAGGACATAGGGTCGAAGCACTAGATCTTGACGAGTTGCAGCGGTATATGAAGAGGTTTATAGATGATTGAGATTGTGTTTATAGTCTGGTATATCTCGTATATATCTTTCCTCACATGCAATATATCACCAGTCATGGTGGATAAACAACTTCTTACAGATGCTTGTTCTCAGGGATCGTCAGGGATTATGGTTCGTCAGTTCACTAGTGGATGGTGTGATGGAGGGGCTGCATGGCAAACACAACTTCCCATGCAAGAAGTCCTGTTATCATTCATCTCCATCCACTCACATTTCTTTTCGACGCCATACCACGTTTTTGAGTATCAAAGTACATCGGCCGAAGGTTCCACGTTTCCTCGAGCAGTTAGTCTGGTGTGCGCAATCTGCGTCGTCGTACCTGGTTATCGGAAACGCACTACCGGGCTTGATATCAGTTCTGCCTAGACGGCCATAAGAGTCTTGGGTCATGCTTGTATTCTCCGATTCGATGCTTGTTCTTCTGGTGATTAGCTTCCTTTCTATGTGTTCTAGTGTTACCGAAGCATGTCCACAGCTGCTTGATACCAATTCCGGAGCTGCGTTACAGTCCATCGGTCGGTAGTTCGACAACATACTATATTGCTCTATAGCAACCACGTTCCTATCCTCTCCTCCCTCTTTATCATGGCCGCCATCAATGAGAAATCCGCCAGCCCGTCCAGCCCACACGAGCGCGACACTCCTATCACCTCCTCATCATCCACCTCTTCCAACCCCAACATCGACGAGAGCTACCAAGTCTACCGCTCCTCCGCTCCCGAAGACATCTCCGCAACCGAATCCAAACGCGTCCTCCGCAAAATCGATCGCCGTATCCTGCCCATCCTCGTCTTCACCTACCTCCTCCAATACCTCGACAAAAACGGCATCAACTATGCATCCGCCTACAACCTCCAAACAGACCTCCATCTCAAAGGCCAAGACTTCTCCTGGCTCTCCTCCATCTTCTACTTCGGCTACCTCTTCGCCCAATACCCCTCCGGCTACGCCCTCCAACGCCTGCCCATCGCCAAATTCCTCGGCGCCACAACCCTGGGCTGGGGCATCATCCTCATCACCACCCCCGCATGCACCTCCTTCGCCGGCATCGCCACAAACCGCTTCCTCCTCGGCGCCCTCGAAGCCGCCGTCAACCCAGGCTTCGTCCTCATCATGAGCATGTGGTACACCGCCGCCGAGCAACCCCTCCGCCTCGAAACTTACTACTGCACAAACGGCATCGCGACAATGTTCGGCGGCCTCATCGGCTACGCCGTCGGCCACATCTCCACCGGCCTCCCGCGCTGGTCCTACATCTTCCTCATCTTCGGCGCCCTGTCCGTCACTCAGGGTGTTGCAACCTTGCTCTTCCTCCCCGATCTGCCGTCGCGCGCCCCACATCTCACGCCCGCAGAGCGCAGCATCGCGGTCGCTCGCGTCGCGGGCAATCGCCAGGGCGTCAAGAATAGCGTGTTCAAGCGCGAGCAGGCACTCGCGACGTTCGCCGACCCGAAGACGTGGCTACTCTTCGTCATGGCGGTGGGCGCACAGGTGCCGAATGCGGCGCTGACGAGCTTCACGTCCATTATCATTGGTAGCTTCGGCTTCGACACGCTGGGCACGCAGTATCTGCAGATTCCGGGCGGCGTGGTGCAGTTTTTGAGTCTGATTGTGGGCGGGGTCGTGTGTTCACACTTCCCGAATACGCGGTGTGTGGCTATGGTGGTGGCGAACTCGATTTGTATCCTGGGTGCTGGGTTACTTGTAGGACTGCCAGATGGCAACAAATGGGGCAGGCTTGTGGCGGTCTGGTTGTGCTATTTTCAGGGGTTGGGGTTTAGTATGAGTTTGACGATGGTGAGTAGTAATGTGGCCGGGTCGACGAAGAAGCAGATTACGGCGGGCACGTTGTTTGTCGGGTACTGTGTCGGGAATATCATTGGGCCGCAGACGTTTCGCAGTAGTGAGAAACCGGGGTATCACTCGGCGTATATTGCGATGTTGGTTGGGTATGTGGTCAAGTTGCTGTGCGTGATTGTGCTGTATGTGTATATGTGGCGGAGTAATAAGGCGAGGGATAGAGAGGCGGAGGAAAAGGGTATGACGAGGGAGGAGGTGGAGAAGTTGGGCATGGAGATGGGGATGCAGGATAAGACGGAGTTGGAGAATATAGGTTTCCGGTATACGTTGTAAAGGGTCAGGGAAGGACGTTTGAAACACAATACAAGTGGTGATGAGACTTCAGGAATTCTAGATCCTTCAATGCTTTTTCTTGCCTATTAAGTCTACCTGTTCTGTGTAGAGATCTACTCAAAGCATTACATACGCCTTTCTACCTTATTTGTCCCTTAGTAACTTCCAGACGTCGTATGAATTGTAAAAAAAAAATCGTGTATATGATTGCTACTGCGTTATGACAGAAAACGGCATACAGGCCCTCCAATTCGCGCCTAGGTAAGTCATGGCTGCTTTCTGCTAGACCAGGGGAAGTCATCTACTTGGTTACCTCAAACTATCAGACGCGGTAAACTATTTCCGGTAAGGGGATGAAAGTGACCTTAAAACGTCGTACAGAATATCTGTTTAGGTATGGCGCCCTCATTTGCGAACTGCTGACTTGAGACTTTGGGTCACAGACATAGTGCTCTACCCAAATACCTGTACCCGAGAAAATGAGGCTGGACCCTTCCAAGGGCGCAGTCAACAAAGGAGCAGTGAACACAATTGGACGCTTGACAATCTGCAAGCTCCACTTACCATCGAAATTACCAAATCGGACAACACGCTAGACCGCGACCTTCACTTGCTACCCTCGGAGCCAAATACCGTATAGGATATGTAAGTTAGATTCCTAGCTTTCAGCCTACCTTAGAGTAAAGTTAAAATAGCAGCTTACTTAAAGAAGCATAGGGATCTCAAAGTCAACTCGAGGTGTGGAATAAGGTCAGATCTCGGAGCTATCACATTCTACAAATTTCGGATGGTAATGGAGCTTACACTGCTTAGTGCAGCTCACGCCTTATCCTCTACCAAAACGAACGATATATGAAGCTACCAATATGGACGAGGCCAATGTATTTGTCATACTCGACAATCAATTTTACCGACATGCTTGAACAAACCCGAGGGCACAGTGAAGAATTCCCTGCCATGCACAGCTTGGTGGCTCTTGGGACGGTTTCAGATCCCATACATGAAAAGGCCAATAGTGTTGTAGTTCTAGCTACTGGGCACAGATCGGTTACATCAATCACTGGATATCATACTGTGCCATGTGTGTACCTGATTCGGCTACTACAAGTACACACCCAATGGTGAACGTAGAGATGTGTTCACATTTAGCCCACTTTACTTACAAAGTGTCCGTACGAATAGGTGTCTCAATGCTATTCTAATGGAATTTATAACGAAATAAATTCTCGCGATAGGCCTAGCTCCGCCTCGCTTGGAACACGCAGGTGCTATTTTGCTTTCATAGCTAGATAGCATTTGTAGAGTCGAGTTTTCTCGAAAGACTTCGTATCGCTGCATCCCATCTTGAATTTCTCCCTCGCCACACTGGCTACGAGCTCATACCTGCCTGACCATGACGGCGTTGAAGCCACCGGCCCCTCTTATGGTGTCAGCAACTCGTCCCGCACAGAAAACATTCAATTTTCAGAAGCTCGCGTTGGAGCTAAAGTACGAGATATATGAATACCTTTTGTTACCAAGCAAAGACGCGGTCTTTCTAAAAGATCACTTCAAGCCAAGAAAGTCGTTGGAACAAGATTCACTCAAGGTAGATGTAAACAACGAACATCACTTTGAAATAGCGATCCTCCTTGTCAGTCGGGAAGTCTACTCGGAAGCTCTACCAATTCTTCAGAAGAATCTGTTTGCCTTTACAGATTTGACCCTTAGGCGCATCAGCCTCCCTAGATGGAAAGCCCGCAGCACCAAAAGCAATAGGTTCGAATCGCTGGCCAACATTAAGAACCTCAAGTTATGGCTCAGGGTCCCAGGGTTGAGACTGGAGGAAGTGAGCAGCATCATTCCTTACATGCCATCCCTGCAATCCCTCACTATTGGGCTCTACCTGCATAAAGATAGGTTCGTTACAGACTGCCACATCGAAGCAAAAAAGGCAATGTTCAACGATCCTCGTATCGACGGCAAGAAATGCCCACAGCTGGGGCTGTACGAGCTCACGGGCTTGTTATCAAAGCGCGTTACAGTCAGAATCGCCAACTCCTCCCCCAACTCCTCCCCCAACTCTACTGAGAGCCTTGACGATGAATTCCGGCTGGTAACATCTGCAAAATGTTATAATTGGCAACGCTTCAATCTCAAAATGCTCGAAAGCTTTGATCCGGCACTTGCAGACTATCTGGCGGAACAGTACAATCGAAAGGGAGAAATAACCGACCAGAAAGAGATGACGTCCGATATAGAGTCAGACAGACCCATAAAGGACAATGGAAAGTCTGCCATATCGCTATTGCATGACAGGATCAAACTGGCCAAGATCGATCACATTTCGTGAGAGGAGTGGGACACTCATATCCTTGAAAATAGTCGATGCCGGTTGCAAAACAATACCAATACCTTCACTGAAGATACTCTCTATTGCCGGGAAAAAGGGAAGAAGAAGCAAAATGCGGATAACTCACCTTGCCTTGCAGACTAGCAAATTTAGTCATGCAGTCATCTTCAATACAAATTGAACAAGGAGTCAAGCAGATGAGCGGAAAAGAAGCGTAGGCATCAAAATTGGAAGACTTCCCCCCTTATGGCAACTTATGGAAATTAGAATGGTTCTATATCACAAATGAAGCATTGCACGTAATATGATATCTGCTATGCTTGCAATGAATGTGAAGCACTGTCCTGCCCATGTTCAAATCGCAACTCACTGTGCTTTTCCTCAACGAGCAGAGACTTACCTTTTGTGCCATTTCTGTGATGATATGCTAGTGATATGCTAGGAATGAGCTACTAAAGACTATGTTCTCAAGGTGACCATGCTTGATATCTGAGACGTAGCTCCATACCTTGTATACGGTACACCATCAAACGGGCTACCTCCTTGACCTCCCAATCATATATTCTAGTCTAATCCTTCATAGAGTTCTCTGAGTCACGTACGCCGGCAGTCCAGATCTTGTAACATCTTACTCCGTCAACAACCGATTATGATAAGCTCAACCGCAAAAATCTGCATGATCCTGTCTTCATAACCTTCACCTGAGCCCTCTCCATTCCTCCATACGCTCACTTAGCTACCACCCAGACTCAAACAAAACAGTAGCAAAAGCCATCAAGATCCTCTATAACATCTCAAACAAGCCATTCTTTCAGCAACTAACTGATACCACAGCGGATCTTTCTGCTCGAACACGACTGAAATAGCACAGGCTTTGCCATGAGAACGAAGGGGTTGTATGTCTGGCAGAGCCAATAGATCTAGCCAGTCACGACAGTGGTATGAGCATCAATATACTGCGAATTTCGTCTGCTATACTAGATATGGACGGAGCTTGGGTATACTATGCTCATATGTGAAGACGAAACCAGAGAATCAGCACTCCTCTTGAGTCAAAGCTAAAGCATTACTCTACGAGCGATAGGTCGATCTCAAGCCTCATGAGATCTCGAGCTAGATATGTTGAGCACTTCATGCATGAATCGACGCAACGACGATATTTTTGACGAGCTACCGGTCACAGTCCCGCATTGTTTTTGTTTCTGTGATGTACAAGGTAGGTGAGGTCTTGGGAGAAAATGGTGTTGCCGGAAGGGCGATGCCGGATAGGCATTTGGGCACCTGTAGATTTATAGATGAGCGAGTTCTTCAACATCCAGGACGTTGGGATTTGGGACGTGGCTAAACGGTTGGGATGTCTTTGTATTTCCGATGTTTGGGTCCGTCGGACATTAGGAGGCTTCGTTGGCATAATTACGCAAGTTCATGGGACGCATGTTCACCGTTCGCCATTTGCATGCAGCCGACGTGACCAGACGTTGTGCGTGGAGGCTTGCGCAGACGTTCGCAAATTGGAATAATTAGAGGCGTAACGCACATGTAGTCAAGCGTCCGAGATGATTTATTATTGCTTATATATCTAAACATATATCTAAATAAGTAGCCAAGATGCCACGGCCAGTGCAGCCACAAGACTAAACGTCGCACTACTACCGACACGACCTGCTGCACCATCGTCATCGCCATGAATACCTAGCGCTTCGTCTTGATAGCCGAAAGTGACGTTCTGTGCTATGCTTGCATTGTAGCACTGGCCGTTCTCGATATCAAGATTCGACAAGTCATCTGGAACGTTGAAGAACATGTACATCTGTTGATTCAGTCCTTCGAATCCGGAGGTGTCGTAGGGGAACTTGTCCGAGTCGTCCGTTGATGATGTGTTGCGCAGGAAGATACATTGCACTTGATTCGGATGACTGTGGGCCAATTCAGGGTACGCTTTCATCACGTCGCTATTTGACGTGTCGGCGACTAGGACGAACTTTCGTTCGGGGAAAGTGGCAAAGACCTTATCTAAGAGGAACTTGCGTATAGACAAGGTGGCGCTCACGTCTGAGAAGTTGAGGGGGCGCGTGTCAAAGCTACCCCCAGGGTAGGTCTTGTAGATGAAGTCCATATAGTTACGCGTCGCTTGTTCCTATAAACGAGTAAGAGATTACTCTTCTGTTGTTATGGAGATACTCACTGGAGTTGTGGTTAAATAGTGGAAATGACCATTCGGTATGCTTTCTGACCAGTTAGCATAGATCGAAGGCATATTCATCCAAGGCGTAAAGTCACGTGCAAAGGAATTGAGCAATCCTTCCTTTGGGTCGTAGATTTTAGTAACACGAAGGATATCATCGATGTCACTGATGAAGGTTAGACCCGTCGGCGGAACGAGATACGCAGTAGCGTTTCCTGACAAGGTGCCGTCGGTGTAAACATTTAGACGTTGAATCTGTTCCGTCTCGTTGCCACCCATAAGACCGCTCCCAGAAACGTTCTGAATCACCACGAAAGAGTCGAAATCGCCTTGGGCCGTGGTCTCATATGGGAATGAAACATTCTGGGATCCCCCACCAGGCGTGACAGCACCGCCGCCACCGGGCTCGCCGTCTCCACCAGCGCTCGGCGCAGGCTCGAGATAGAAAGAGACATTCTGGTCGCTTTGCTGGACAATGAAGATTGACGCTGTCAAGTTTCTTGCGTTGGCCTTCTGCTCGTCTGGCAGATCGGAGATGTCCGTCCCAATCAGAAAGACATTAGCCAAGTCATCAAGCTTCTCTTGCGATATGTTGGGCTGCTTGTATACATTTCCGTGGAAACGAACATTCCAGCCCTGATCTGTCCAATTGGCATAGGGAGGTATGTTCAGGACCTCTGTAGGATACGCGTCGAGCTGGCTCTCATCGATTCCCAGTGAGCTGAGCACGGCATCTCCAGTCGGGAAATTCTGGAAGAACTCTGGAATGCCTAGTAGGAACACAATTAGACCGCGTTGTGGATACTGCGAGAGCGACACACCTGAAATGACATATGATGGAATGTTTCCAAGAGCAGACTCTATATCCGTGAAGAACCCTGCTGCATCACTGATGATATTTCGACGGTAAGCCTTCCCATATCGCGCTCCATATTGTCCATAAATACGAGGATTGAAGTCTGCTGGAGTAATTGCTGGCTCTGGCACGGCCACTGGATTTGGTACAGCAGTAGGTTCAGGAACTGGCGAAGCTACAGCTAGACGACCAGCTAATGCTGCGGCGATGAGCAGAAAGTAGCGACTGTTGCACAACATGGCGAATGAAGGGAAACAGGGAGAGTTGGAAGAGACCAGCCTGCCCAGGTGTCACAGCAGAGAAGATATGGCCAGCGGCATATGCGTTGAGGTAATAGAAAACCTGGTGAGCGCACGGCACACGAGCATTGTGGCGTTCCACAACCAAGGTTCGGCATGTTTGTAAGGAGAAACCATGACATCATTAGAGCTGCTGCCTGAGGCACGAATGTGGCTGTGCAGGCGCGCTTGACACTGAGTACCACAGAGTCAGCCACAGTATCGTCGCCATCAACCACGGCCTTTGTGGCAGCATCAACTTTCTCTCTTCGCATCTATTCATTCATTCGACAGGCACGATTGATCATCATTTCATTGTCAATTAAGTACAGCTATAATCACTCAGTAATCCAACCCTCTGTCAATACATAGCTCCATTAACATTATAATGAGCCCTGCGGTCATCTCGCGTTAAATGGCGAAAGAAAACTATAGCCTGGACAGACCCGCGATCTCTCTTGGAGCGTGGTAGTTAGGTACTCTCATATCCAGAGCACTCCCAGAGTATCCGAGATCTTCAGCGGTCAGCATGGCACACTTCTCTCCAATCAGCAATGCCGTCGAATACGTGTTACAGCCAACATTGTCCGGGCAGATTGACAAATCGGCGACCTTAAGGCCCTTCACGCCATGAACATTCAATCTCTCATCAAGCACACCATGCTTGACAATCGAATTGCCATTCTTCGGGGCCATAGAGCACGTGCCCAAGCTGTGCCAGGTTGTCTCGACGTGGTGCTTGACCCATTCTTCGATCGCACGAATGTCCTCGTTCGTATAGTCGAGATCATACTGTACTTCTTGCTGATTAGAGTTGAGGAAGGCCTTGTCGGGTGTCTTTCCTGCTTCGACTCTTTCCGTCCAGGAACCTTTTCTTGTTAGCCAAGATCTCTCCGTCTGTGGCCGTGACTTACCATGCTGGATGTTCGCCGTGATATGGTTCGGACCGGCGTAGGCATTTGTGGTTGCGACGTCCATATCCATCGCACGCGCCTTTGAATCGTATCGGAAGATAGGATGATGGCTGGTCACCTCACCGGCGTACGCGTCCATGCGCCTCGCTGTCTCACGAGACTTGATGTATCCCCAAACCATTGGCGCCATATCACGTGCGTCATTCATGAATCCAGCGTCAAAGTCCGGCGTTTCGTACGGATTCGGCGATTGAATATGAGTGGATCCACGAGAGAACGGATACTCGAGGAAGTGGAACATGGTGAAGTACTTGCCTGGTGGGATCGTCATGTGGTCGCCAAAGAATGAGGCTATAACACTGTAATGCATGACCGGCTTGTCCGGTTTGTCTTTGAAGTAATCCCATCCCGCCTTGCTGAACTCACTGCATGGCCATTTGTCCATCGTTTTCAATTCCTCTTCAGTAGGACGAATCTTTACACCGGCTTCGATGCCATTGGTCGCCAAAGGTCCTGTTCCATTAATGTTCCACTGGTCGAAGACCCGCTTCTGGACTTCTGGATCCCCACGAAGGAAATCATCTGCCGACTCGATGTGTGGCTTAGCTCTGTAGGGTGCAAAGGTGAGGTAGTGATCTGCATCATCAGCTTCTGTTGTGCTTCAAAATAGCATCTTCACGTACCCTGGAAATTGAGGCCGACGCCTGGCAGGTCAACAAGTGGTTTGACACCAGCTCTGCGGAGCTTCTCCGGGTCACCTGGAACTTTCAGCATCGAAAACTATCGAAAAACGACGGACGTACCGATTCCAGATCGCTGAAGGATCAATGGGGAGCTTAGAGTTCCGCCACTGACAATTATCTGCTTCCGGGCTCTGTACACCTTTGTCTTGTTCTCCTGGGGATGGAGTGGCTTTGTGGGCACTGTCTGTACAGCGACAGCGCGATTGCCTTCGAGAATGACCTTCTCAACCTTGGTGTTGCACGCAAGGTGCAAGTTTTCATAGACCGAACGCGTGCTGTGGATATATGCATGGGCGGAGTCTGACCTTCGACCAGTGTCCCTTCACAACTGTCAGTCCACCACTAGGTCAAGGAGAGCGAGACTTCTACCTATTGATCCATTTCAACCAATGCTCGGCACCATGGCCAGTGACAAGATCTTGAAGGTCATCGGTTACGGGAATGCCTTGAGATTCCGAGGCGCGCAAGAAGTCCTGCATGATTGGATAGGTATAATTGCCGAAGGAGACCTTAATGGGGCCGTCGAAACCGTGGATGTCACGATTCTGCGATGCACGTTGATATGTTTCATGCTTCTTCATGAGAGGTAGCAGCTCTTTGGTGGTCCAGCCCTTCGCCTGGAAGTCGTCGTAGTCCGAAGCGGATGCTCTGGTGTACATCTGGGTATGTCAGTACTATGTTTGTGGCTGATTGATCTTCATTACCATGAAATTGATGCTGGAGCCTCCTCCCAAAATATGGGCAGCTGGTACGATGGCACGACGACCATTGAGCCACTCCGACGGGCGGGAGTAGTAGAACGATGCCGTTTTGCTATCCAGCTTCATGTTACGCGGGAAGATACCAGGACGGAATACCCTGAGATGTGTGAGTACAGTTATCGAGTTGTCCGACAGGGTTGTCAGATAAGGACGTACCATGGATTGTTCAAGTTACTCTCACCAGCTTCGATCAGCAAGACCTGGAGCTTGTGGTCCAAGTTGGCCAGTCGGCCAGCGACCACGCAACTGCGATTTTCTGATTGGCTATAATCATCGACAGGATGGTGAGAGTACATACCCACAAGATCCTCCACCACATACGATGATGTCGACTTCGTCTGGGATAGTCATAGTGCCCTGTTCTTCAGAGGTGGCAGCTTGGTTGAACAGTGAACCGAGTGTTGCTCAGCAAGCAAGAAAAGTTGCATGCCTTTGTCCCACAGAAACCGGACAGGGCTGTCAATTTATATAAGCTGTCCCGGCGGACTATGCTCCTTTGACCCCGCTCGAGGTGATCGCTCCGGTTACATGGAGCATTTCCATTTCAGTACAGGCTGCATGCTGATTTTGTTGCGGGGAGGTGTGAAGCAAGGATGAGCTTCATCAGAGTCCAACCGAATCACGTTACATAGCAGGGCCTGATCCGATGTGTAAAATTAAGTCCTCGAATCGTTGCCGAAACCGGGCCCACTAGCAGGGGACAATCCAGCGATGTGTTCAAACATTGTTGTTGTTTCCTTTCAATTTTGACTGCTACTTGGGTATAATCGGAGATCAATCGTCGCAGGTCAACGTACTATGACTCCCGATATAATTCCTTGAAGAAGTTCAATATTACATTGCTGAAATAGTACGCGATTGTCTATTTGGTCTCGAAACAAATTCAACACCTCCTTGGCACAGCCATCACCACTCAGCGATGCGGGAGGTCTGTCCCGTGTTTGTAGATGCAGTATTCTGGGATCTAGGTCTCTAACTCATCTAACGGCCAGGTTTTTGGTATATTTATCCGAACAGGGACCAATTGTATACTCTGAACCACGTCAATACCCCGCAAGTAAGAGTTGCTCAAGGCTCTTGTATGCCTACCTACATGGTCTAGGATGAGCTGGAATAAAGCCCAGAGCTCCCTGAACAGAGCCCTTTTCTCGAACACCGTACTTCTCGTATATTCAATTTGTTCCAAAATGTATAGTAGACGATCATGTATAAACAAACAATCGAATATGTTCTAGTAAATACACCCACAGTGGCCTATCCCCACATATTGAACACTTTGACAGAGATCAGCCATTGTATCGGTGCATCCCAGAGACTATCGCAACGTTCAAGCCGGTGGCATCTAGCGCAGTTCGGGGATCCCGGAAGCGGCAGTGGCGCCGCCAAGTGAACGTGTCCGGGATCGCTGCTCCACACAAGCCGTTGGGCCTAACTTTGCCCCAGTTTTTCCCCGCGATTCCAGACTCCGCATCCATGCGAATCCGACGTTAGACTTTGGCGTGAATAGCGTCACGATAGCTCCGGTGGGCATGGAAACCGTCAACGAGTTTACCGAGTACGCGACGACCATTCAATACTTTGATGTGGACCGAATGATACTCAGAATACATCCACGGCTCTCCAGGAAAGGACTGCCCTGCTTCAAGATGCAGGTATTGTTGGAAGAGCTGGGATCGCGCACATATTCGCGGGCCAAGAACTGCTGGCTTATCATTTTAGCCTGTGGAAAATCTCGTGACCAGACGGAGATCGATTATTGGACTCCGTCACAGCCAAGGTCTATCATACTATCACTCAGATTAGTTGGGCACTACTTACCCCACACGGATCCCTGCAGGGCACGTCTCACAACTTCGCAGAAGTTGCCTGAAGAATTGAGCCTTCGTTCTGTGAAACAGTGGGTGTTTTGACTGATGTCAGGAGGATTATAATGGTTCTCCGATCGAACATGATCTAAGTATAACTGAACGGAAGAATATGAATAGCTATCAACAAAATGACAATTCAATACATATTAAGGTCTTCAAACCGAAGCACAGTATGTATCAGCCCACCAAGTCTGCATCAATTGCCGCTCCTACAAAGATTACCCTGCATATCCAAAGCTACTCCTCTCCCATAATCGCTTTACTTTCCCTCTCTTCACAGCCCTAACTACCTCTCTAATTGCCAATCCGTTCTAGACTCTTCACCAACCTCTTCCGACCTCTGGATCCCCTGTCCGTATTTTCTTCAACACCTCCACCAAAAACTCCACCGTTTGCATCTGCATCCGAAACTTCCGAACTCATTAGCTAAGACGCGTGTGACGTCCCATACGTCTGGATCGGTGGTCTGAGCTGAGGAGAATGTGGGCTGTGCTAGTGTCGGTCTTATGTTAATCTGAAGCCGAACGGCGAATGGCATTGCAGACACGAGAGCAGGGCTGGGAGAGGGGTGTATGTTGCAAAGCGGCGCAGTCGATTTAGAAGCGAACCTGAGGAATGGTTTCGAGATACATTCGTAGTGCTGCTTCGCAGTTATTCCTCTAATGAGAGCGATTACCTCATTGTCTGCGGTGGAAGCTCTGCATCTTCTTCGCGCAGAGCAACGATCGCTGCATTACACTGCAGCTGTCGGATGGATCAATCTTTCCATTTCATTGGCAACGCTGCATTACTGTACATTTCCCGTAACTCAACAGGATGCGTGAGGTCTGTGCTACATATGCACAGAGAGCAAAAGAACGTCTTGCATGAAGTTCAGCACAGCACAATGGGACGACATCACGCCAATACCTGAGCAAATGCAAAGCCTTCATTCGCAACACCGCTGTGAATGTGTATTCATCAGTGCTGCCCAGGCGCCGCCGAGACTGCAGCGCTTTGTGCTTAGACACTCGGCCTCAGACCATCTATCAAATCACATCGACACTCCTTCATGATACGTATACGAACTCAATACGTAGTGAGTATCTGCGATCCCGAGTCACCTATCAAGGCGAAAGAGTTGGTGTTGTCACGAACTGTTCCCTTCTGTCTCGTAAATACTCAGACTCACCGCCACATGTAAATACTGGTCAGATACCAAGGAATCACACTACACAACGCTCACCTGAGGCTTAGGACACCATGTCCACCTAACTCAGGCACTCTTCCTGTGGTATTCTCTGTGTAGTCCAAGGACTGAAGGGTTCGCTTCGCTGCCTGCCTCAGATTTCTACATGAGACTGCGATAACCAAATTCTTATCACATTAGGCAGCTATAGTAAGTGGCCTATGAAGTTGGCTGTTTCTGCGGCGGTATAATTTTAGAGCCGTGCGCCACAGGGCGTCCATTCGGCCCTAAGTTGTTTGAAGTCAAGCCGAAGGGAGCCAAATAAGGTAGTTGTGGGACTTATCAGTATTGAAGTTACCGTTGCCTACCTTGTCAGAAAGTTATGCTCCGCGGATGCACAGCCAAATCACAACTATGTTCAGACGTCTAATGTGAGAGCAGGGCCGGATATGTTTGTGAATATGTTATGATTTCTTCGTTTGTCGAGAGGTGAGGTAAAACCTTGCCAACTCATGCCATCGAGAGTGTTAAAGGAGTATAGGTCTGTAACTAGCATTCTCATCTTGAAATTTTGCGTTACGAGCGGATATCAGGAGGAGAAAGATGGCGTTGATTCCCACTCAATTCGCGACGCGGGCTCGTGTTCAATTGCACTACTTACTGTTGAACACGAAACAGGAACATTCCCCAGCCCCAATCAGACGCTCGAACCAATATCTTTGAAGACCAAGGAACACATTCCAGGTGCAGCAGCAAATGTATCCTTCATATCTGCAAGGAATCTCGAGCCATCCTCGCCGGGCCCAAAGGTAACCTCGAATCGACTGACCAACAAAGCAAGGATGTGTCTCAGCTCTATCCACGCCAGATTCTTGCCAATGCAACTGTATCGTCCTTGATTGAATGGCACAAAGGCCCTCTTGTCCTTCACCATATGCGCGCGTGTGGTCCATCTGTCTGGTATGAAGTCATGCGCTTGTTCGAAACAGCTCTCCAGTCGAGAGATGCTCCAGCGTGGGCCAGTGATTATTGTTTCTGGAGGTATGATTGTGTTCAGAGAAGCTATCGGCAAGCCTTGTTCGCCTACGATACGGTATCCGCCGGATGGTACTGCAGGATACAATCGGAGAACTTCATTCAAAAAGGCATTGAGATGCGCCATCTGCGCAAGCTTCTCCTGCGAACCAATATCTACCGCCGGAGGCAGTGACCTCCGAAGTTTGCGTTGCTCTTCCGGATACAAAGCAAGTACATAGAATGCAAACACAAGCGTCGTAGCCACAGTATCGCTTCCCGCCGTAATGATCGAGAGCGCGTCGCCACTCAGCCAGTCCCAGTCATAATCTCCGTTTCCGTTGCGCGAGCCCTCAATCAGCCAGTGCGATATATCAAGCTCTTTCACCCCCATTTGCAGGCGCTCTCGCATTCTCTCTTCGCACCATTTGCACATATTGTTCCAATCTTTCATCGCCCCTGGAATCGCCATTCCGACTCGAGCAAGCCATGGTACAGGTGTCAGTGGGCCGAGCATGCTCATACCTTTGCGCATGGTTGCTAGGACGTTGTGCCACTGGCCATTGCGGAGCATGTTGAAGGAGCGGCCGAGAGCTAGGTCTCCCATTATGTCGAATGCGAACCAGTAGAAACATTCGCGAACGTCTATCGGCTGGTTTTGTTTCGATTGCAGGTATTGCAAGAGCTGGTCTCCATAGAAGACTATCCGGCCGTGGTATGATTCCAGGGCTACTAGATCAGTATGGAGGCACATTCTCTCAACGAGCGACTCACCTGAAGCTGTGAAACCTGGATCCCAGACTTTTTTACGACGGTCATGCTCGCTTGTGTTTCTTGTCACATTCAGGCCTCTTGAGGGCAGAGTCAGATCGTATAGAGCAGCCTTCGTGCATTTGGTTCGGGCTCCACTCATGGCCAAGTGTATGTCTGGGCTAACGATGGACAGCTCCTGAGGACCTGTCAAGGCCGGTCAAACACAGACGTTGGAGCTTACATGAGCGATGATACGAATGAGAAGGTCTTAAAAAGAGTATGGAAACGAGGACTTACCCACTCTGACTATGGGTCCATACTGTTCATGCAACTTCTCGAGCAGGAGATGGTTCTTCGCATCCAAGCATTTGTATACATGCCAGAAATTCGTTATTCTTGCAAGTATAGGACCAGGATACCGACGGAGCGGATGAAAGAACACGCGATAGACAACAATGCTAGAGTACAATGCGAGGAAGTGGAAAAATATTAGACTTTCAGTCTCAGCCAGGGACGACTGCAACCTATGGCTTTGACTCTCTGGGAGGACATAGAAGTATACAACTATTTCGACCAGGAATGCGATGGTGGCGTATATTGGCACAAGCCAGGGCGCTAATAGATGCCATTCTCCGCGTATGTATAACGCGTGCGAGCTCAAGCCTGAGATGACTGCTAACACTGTCGTCGAGCTCACCATCCTTATTCAACATGTGGTGATTCGGAGTTAAAGTGAAACGCGACACGGTTAGTTCTGTGTAAGATGTCAGTCGTCGTCATTATTCCTTCGCTCCTGTGGAAAAGCAAGGCTGAAAGCGAAATGCTATCGTCTACGGCGGCTAACGTTACGCCAGACTTGACAACAAGCAATATGCAGCGCCGAATATTCGAGGAACTATGTCCGGGTCACAAATACTATGCGCACACGTAAGCCAGATTGTATATACCGCGTCCAGGGTCTGACCCCGGGTATCATTATCCCTCGGAACCCGCTAGTCAGCTATGTGGTGTGGTAACAGGGGTAACATGAAATGGCCCATTTATATGATTAATCAGACAGACCAGTGATGTTGGAGGTGTTATTTGCTGACATATTGGTTGATCATGCCCTGCTGTGCCACAAATCCCGCCGCGGTCATCTCGATGTACGTGACACAAACAATCCTTCACATTTGTACTAGCGGCTTTAGGCTTAGTGTGCTTCGTCGACTGCGGATACTTATACGGTATTCTGTCGACATGTCTTTTACTACCTTGACGTCCACTATATCATCCAAGACGCCTATCACCGAAGGATTGCAGCGCCATGTCGAAGCCCTGGGTAGACAAGCCTTGGCCTCTACTAGAGACGCCCTCCAAAACGCAAGATACGGTATGAGGTCGGGGATTGGTCAGCTACAATATGGGAGCTGACCCTGTAACCAGAAAAGTCATGCGGCGATCCACATTGCCGACGATATGGCGCAGGTCCACAATGTGCTGATACGCGGCATAAACTCCATATACCTACAAGCCAAACAAGTCCCGGCCGGCAACGGCACCGACGCTGCAGATTTTCTATTCTACATACACTGCTACTGCGACTTGCTGGAGTTACATCACGAGGCCGAAGAAGAGTTTCTCTTCCCAGAAATTACAAAGCTTGCTGGGAAGCCCGAACTATTTCAGCAGAGCATCGAACAGCACCACGATTTCACGGACGGGGTGCGCCGTCTTCACGAGTATGCTAAAACAACATCGCCAACAGAGTACTCAGGGGTACAGGTCTGTAGTATTATCGAAAGCTTTACGGATGCTCTCCAAGTGCACCTGAAAGCGGAGATATCCGATTTGTTGAGCCTAAATTATCTGGACGATGCGAAGCTAATGGACATCTTCAAGAGGAGTGAGAAAGCCAAGAAGCCAGCCAAGTCCGATGAGATGTTCCCACTATTTTTCGGTCTTGTAGATAAGGACTATGAAGGTGGAATCCATCGTTTTCCAGCTGTTCCGGGGTTTGTTTATTATCTTGTGCGCTACTGGTTTGCACGGAAGCATGCTAGTTCATGGCGATTTCTGCCATGCGACTTCTGGGGTCAGCGCCGGGAGTTGGCGTTTGCATAGATCTAGCTGAATGAGATGATAAAGACAGTGGATGCTTTTGAGTGGGTTCGGTCAGGAGTGACTCGAATTAGCGCGACCACTTTGCTCGTCATGGCGATGGTGTAAGAGCCGGATGAGCCCTGTTCTCATACGTGCCCATGGTGAGGTGGCTGAGCGTGATCCAGTCTATATGGAGGAAACCTCAAATTTGACAGCAAGCTAGTAGGGGCATTGGCCGTTAACAGAAGGATTAATCAGCATGGTAGGCGGAACAGTTTCCTGATCTCCTCTAAGGTCTTCGATCCAGTTACAGCTTTGTCTGGCGTGTCCGGTACCATAATCCTACTGTGTTACACTCCAAAGACGGTCTGTCCAATGGATTTAGTAGTATAGTTCGGGTTATACATTTCCTCGAATCCACAAAATCACGTAGCCGTAAGTAGATACTACTCCGGCGCTAATGACAGTGAGAAAGCAGACTCAACACTGAAGATTGGATATTGGGCAGTACTCGTAGACAGATATTACTGAATTATGATCGATACATTCATCTGGAAGCTCTTAAAAGTGTCGCCACGATGTCCGCGTCGTCATTCGCTCCTGATTTTATCCAAACATGGCCATCAGCTATCCTGATCCTATGTGGTGTTTCACTTTCCGTAAGCATTTCGACTGATCATAGTTCAAAGAGAATGCTGGTAACATGAAAGACTAGTACTTAATCTACAGCATTGTGTATAATCGATACTTTCATCCCCTGGCGAAATATCCAGGACCTTGGTTATGGACGATATCGCGAGCTCCATTTGCCATCTCTCTAGCTAGAGGAGATCTCGTACATGACACGCACAGATACCACCAGAAATACGGACCGATCGTGCGCCTAGCCCCCAACGAGCTCTCGTTCATCAAAGCAGCAGCGTGGAAGGATATCTACAGCCACCGGGTTGGTGTACCAGAGTTCACGAAGAATCCGATATGGACGGAGAAGACACCCAACGGAGTCTTCTCGGTCATCAACGCAGACTTGGATGATCACACAAGGCAACGGAAGATACTGAATCATGCTTTTTCTCCTACAGCACTGCTAGCCCAGGAAGATCTCATCCAAAGATATGTTACCCTACTGATCGATAAGATCAGAACTCAAGATGTGACGAACATTACAGACTGGATAACATACTGCACATTCGATATTGTGGGAGATCTCATGTTTGGGAAGCCTTTTGGGTGTATCGAAGAGGAGAAGTACCATTACTGGGTATCCTACTTGTTCAGCAATCTGAAAGCTGCTTGCATTATGTCTGCAGTTAAGTTCTACCCATCCTTGTTCTGGCTACTCATCAAGATGGTTCCAAAGCGCGCCTTTAAAGAGCGTGATGCCCATTTCGATCTCTCGGTGCAATGGGTCCGCGAGCGAGTGGCTACCAGAACCGAAAGACCAGATTTCCTCAAATACATTTTGGACAGCAACGAAAAGGCAGCACAGCCTATGTCAATGCCTGAAATCGAAGCGTCGTCCACAGTACTTGTACTTGCGGGTTCGGAGACTACAGCTACTCAGCTCCTGGGAACATTCACGCACCTTCTTCAGCATCCAAGTAAATTAGCTAAGTTGAGCGGCGAAATTAGATCACGATTTCGCACGGAGAAAGAGATTACGCTGAAAGCCGTCGATGAACTGGAATACATGAGAGCTGTGCTTACGGAGAACTCGCGGATGGCGCCTTCGGTGCCTGGACAAGTACCTCGTATTGTTCCTGCACATGGAAATATCATCAATGGAATTACAATTCCTCCTGGAGTGGGTCACTTGCAATGCACGATATCAGTCGTATACTAACTGGTTTTCTCTCATTAGACCTATGTGGGTGTACCTCAACTACCTGCATATCGTTCTCCACTTAACTTCGCCCACCCCGAGCATTTCATACCTGAGAGGTGGCTCTCAGCCGAGTCGCCACTCTTCACATGCGACAGTAGCGACCCAGAATTTACAGCATCGACGTTCGAGAACGATGAAAAGGCGGTCTTGCAGCCATTTTCCGTTGGACCGCGCAACTGCATCGGAAGGTTTCTGGCGAACTCGGAGATGAGGCTCATTCTGGCAAGACTCTTGTTTGTGTTTGACCCCGAGATGCCTTCTCGTGATCTTGATAAAGGGCGGTTAAGAGAAACGATTGAGAGGAAGTGGGATTCTCAACGGACGTATGCCCTTTGGGAGAGGAATGAGAGGTTTGTCAAGTTTGTGGAGCGACAAGTGGAGGTTTGAATCGTGGTTGTAAGTTGTTCATAGGCTATGGGGCTTTAGACTCTGCTGGCAAACATTTGTATGAGCTGCACGGCCAGACTACTAACATAATGATAATAGTCTTCTGAATGTGAACTTCTTTCGCGAGTTTACATGTTTTCACACAAACATAGAAATGGTATCAACAGGAGACCAACCCACAACTCCAATAACCCACCCCAGCAAGATACGTGAACGCCCAGCTCAGATAAGACTGGCCAGAGTCTTCCTTTCTTACACTCTTGCAGCTTGATGGGTATCAATACGATAATCCCGTGTGACTTTGATCCCCTCAGTAGACGGCCGCGTAAGTTGCTCATGACTATCCGATCTACCGGGTGCTGCGACTGCCCAACTTTTGATATCATTAACCTCATAGCTCTCAGTTGTTGCACTTCCATTATCTGATCGTTTCCCAGGGTAGCGATGCGAGCTTGGGTCAGATCCAAGCACACTTGTTGCAAACGAAGGGCTCGCTTTGGTCAACAAGCTGCGCAAACTGGAGCCAAGTTTGGTGTCAAGTAAGTACCGGAGAATGAATGGGCCCGTCAAAATATTGCAGCAGATGATAGCCACGAGCATTTCGACTGTCTTCCATACCACGACCTCTGATGTATTCCATGTTTGGTCGCTGGTCGAGAGGGTGGTTATGGCGAAAACTTGCCGTAAAACCGCGGCGATGATCGTGAACGATCCAAGCAGAAGCACTATGACAAGTCCAATCTTTTTCTTGCGTGAGAGTTGCAATCTTAGTGCCAGAGGTAAAGGTAGGACCATGATGACAAGGTCGGTCGCAATGTTGAAGCCGCCGATCGCAATCTCTTGTGTGATTCCATCGAGACATTTGGTCGCGATACCAACCCAGGTATGAACGCCGCAATGGAATACGTAGGTCAAGAAGGAGACTAGAAGGTATAAAGTGGTGATTGCCATCGTCACGTATACGCATATCCGAAATGCCTTGTTGATCCGAAAGATGCTGAGGTAGAAGAACAGAATGGACAGCTTGGCGAAAAGAATGCCCCAGCAGTAGATCATGTCTTCAATGTCAAAGATGTGCCATATCTTCGGAAAATTCTCGCCAGGAATATCCCAGATATGGCGCCCAATACCAAGGTCCAGTACGATGTAGGTTACCAGTACTACGCGCACGATGCCGCAAAGAACAGCGAGTAGGGCAAGCCCTTTCGAACTCAGTCAGCTACAGTAATTTATTCTTGACGTCAGACTTACAATCCTCTACTCGGATGACTTTGATGTTGAACTTCCCCTCCTTGACCGTCGTAGACACCTTTGCAACGAATCGCAGAATAAGCAGTATGATGGCAATCGATATCAAAGTCCATCCAGAGGGTATAGAAGCGAGAGCATTGTTGTCAGGATTATCTAGGTTCTTCTCGAAACCAGGCGGTGCAGGAAAACCACCTGCCTGGTTATCAATAGTTGTGCGCTGATATAACATAGCTTCGTCGTATGATGAAGGTGGTCGACTTGAGAAAAGGGATTCAAGCTCGAGTCTGACCTCCACTGGACTGTGTATTCTATATACATGCCTCAAAAAAGGACCCCAAAAGTTCCAAGATCCCCATTGCTATTTTTGGCATCACAGCATTGATAACTCAATAGCTGACTGGTTTTGGGATCGGCTATCCTCGCACATACAACGCCCTATGAGTAGGGAAGGCTCAGGCATGAGAATCCAGCCTTCCAGTATGTCGTCACATAACGCTATAGTCAGAGTACAGCGTGCCGTTCGTTGGGTGGCGTTATCAGATCGAGTGCCACACACCGGATGCGACGGTTGGTATCATCGTGTCAACAGGGAGCAGTGCATACGTGAGCGCAATCCTACGGCTCAGTCAGCGCCGAGTGCCAGATGCTCATGGTTTTCCGGCATGTGTGTCCCGATACAAAGGCTGGAAGGGCTCTACATGGATGAACCAGGAACAGTATTCCCTGGCAAGGATCGATATGCAACAGCATGGTCTACTCGGGCTTTGAGATTCTGATGGACGTTTACATGCATGATCACCAATAATCCATGTTTGATCGATGAAAGATAGGTCATGTATGTTTTGGGCGCTGTAACCGAGCGTAAGACTATCCATAGCTTGATAGGGGTCGTTACTATGAGTTATATAGGTTTCGATTGCGATGAGAGTTATTTTATCCGCATTGATCAAGGTATACGTAGACATACCTTATAACCTACAAGTAGAGCTTTCTTCTATGGCCAGAACGAAGCTTACTCATGAGCTTAGATTGCCCAGTAACATAATACAGACCCCTGCAACTTATAGGAGTCGTACGGCCTCCCTTCTGCATATACGACCAAGTACCGACATATGCACTTGCCAACGGCGTGGCGTTTCCTAAGCAAGCATCTGGTATCATGGTCCAATAAGAGGATTGAAGGAGATACAGATGACCTACTCTTACCATTAGTCCTGCGCATTCAGAAATGGGTCTTCGAAGCGATGATCATGTAATGTCGCCCTTCTCGATGATATCTTTCGCATATACCATTCTGGTAAGCTGAAACAAGGTTTGTCTCATCATCACACAGACTTGCAAGACATTGAGGAAAATCCGATCGCTAAATTAGACGGGCGACAATATGGAACACATCGAGAATATCACAAACTTTGTCAGATTGGCTGCTGATGATAACTCTGGATCTTTACCAGGCTCATTATTCATCGACGCATCGAAAAATAAGAGAATTTCTGGGTATCTCGCCCTCTCCCTAAGCCTGATTATCCTGGTCCTTTTGGTCATTCCTTCGCTTAAGACATCTGGGAATGCACTGGTAGATGCTCCGGTTATTGGCAGCAAATGGCCGTGGTTCAATCGGTTGGAATTTCTAAGAGATGCAAACACGCCTATCCGAGAAGGCTACCGGAAAGTAAGTTAATGACTGTTTTGATATGAAGCTGCCACTGATCAGATAGTTCAAATCTGGGATCTTCAAGGTTATAGGCAACGAGATCTTAGTAATCCCTAATAAGTACGTGGATGAGTTACGCAGTCTGCCTGAACATAAGCTCAGTTCCATCGTTGCGAATATCGATGTAAGTTTGATTCACAGCCTCCACGTATTTTCTTGAAGCTAAGGAACGTAGAACTTTCAGGGCGCCTTTTCAACCATTGACATCTTGCTTGAAGGCGACTTGCACACACATACAATACAGACGAGATTAACGCCCAAGCTGGGCACATTCATCCAGCCAATCTGCAAAGAGATTCGAAAATCCCTTCCAGTCGAACTCGCCTCTTCTGAGACTCAATGGGCAAAGCACAAAGCATTCGATGTTATTGTCAGACTCATTGCCCGGAACTTTGCGCGCACAGCCGTCGCACCCATGTATGACAATCCGGAGTGGCTCGCCATCAACGTGAAGTATCCCGAAAACGTCTTCAAATGTGTCATCTTGATGAGACTAGTCCCCAACTACCTGAAAGGCCTCGCAGCATGGGTGATCCCTTGGACCTGGAAAGTGTCCTGGAATCTCCGTGGAGCGCTAAGACTTGTGGTTCCGATTGTCGAAGAACGGCAGGCTGCCTTGGCTCGCCATATCCAGGACCCGTCAAGCACTTATGAGCCGCCGAATGATCTTTTGCAGTGGATGATGGAAGAAGCGACATCTCCTCGCGACGCGCGCCCGGATAAGCTGGTGCATAGACTTCTAGTATTGGCAATGGCGTCGGTACATACCACAAGTATGGCATGCGCTCAGGCGTTCTTCGATCTCTGTGAGCATCCTGAGTATTTGGAAGACCTTCGCGAGGAGATCCTAGGCGCACTGAGAACAGATAATGGATGGAAGAAAACAACATTGACGCGGATGCGCAAACTTGATAGCTTCATGCGAGAAAGCCAGCGTTTGAACCCACCAAGTCTGAGTGAGTACGGTACTCCCAAGTTGAGATTGGAAGGCTAAAAACTTGCAGCCGGTTTCAAACGACAGGTCATGGAGCCTATGACATTATCCGATGGTTTGTTCCTCCCAAAAGGAGTTCATCTCGTCATGCCCATAGTCCCTATCGCTCAAGACGAGTCGGTCACAGGATACCCGCTCGAGTTCGACGGCTTCAGACATTATCGCAGACGAGATGAGCCTGGAAATGCGCACAAGTATCAGTTTGCCACGACCGACAAGGACAACATGCACTTTGGCCATGGGAAATTTAGTGAGTTACTTCCCGCCTTTCGCATCCTAGCAGGACTAGGCATACAATACTAACACTGTGGTAGGCTGTCCAGGCAGATTTTTCGCCTCAAACACTATCAAGATTATATTGGCACATCTGATTCTCCACTATGACTTCAGATACCCTGAAGGCCAAGGACGACCCAAGAATGTATGTCTACATGAATACATATTCCCTGACCCTGAAGCGCAAGTGGAATTTCGAAGGAAGACCCTCGAAGACCCGGATATCGTAGCATTCGAAGTCTAAGAGTAGTTGATCAGATATAATGCAACGAAAGGCATAGCTAGATCTACCAGAAATGGATGATGTTGAATGAACCTATATCTGCTCAGCTTTGTAAACTTGTTACTAAAAGATCTTCTTTGGCTACATCATATTAGCACAGAGCTATGAAGTTATGTTCTTGTAGACCTACCGTGAAGAAACATGCTGCGAGGAACGCAAGTGCAGCAAAGGCATATATCACTGTAAAGGTCTCTATACAAGCATTGGTCAAAACCACTCGTACCTCCGACTGCACTTCAGCAGTTACTACGTTCAGCTGATCAATGCCCACACCGCTAATCACACCACTGATTTCGCGCTCAGACAGGGTGGGCAGCAGTCGGTGAAGCGCACCAATTGATACATTTTGGAAAATTGCGCCTCCTATTGCGAGTCCCAACACAGTCCCCGTAAGCTGAGCTAATAGTGTGTTAGTGAGGGCTACACAAAGCTCTTCTGCCGCACAAGCGCACTCACCGACAAGCATGAGAGATATGCCTGCATGCATCTCAGTCTGCTTTACGAATTGCTGAACAACAGCGTAGCCTGCTTGTCCATAGCAGCCTAGACCGAGACCTAATACTGCCTGTAGACCATATATCGTAGCTAAGTCTGTGTCTGTGTCGATGCGTGACATGAATACACCGCTGATCAGATTCATTCCGCTTCCGAGGAGGAACCATGGCTGGTACCATCCTAGCTTTCCCATGAGTTTACCTTGACATATGCCGGCGAAGACCCACGTGCAGATGAGCGGCAAGAGCTTCACGCCTGCTTCGATGGCAGAGGCGCCCTGCGGGTAATCAGTAGAGTAAAAGTACTGAAGATGACAATCTTGGAAAGACATACGCGAGTGAGCTGCAAGAATAGTGGAATGTAGTACAAAGGGACAGGTACTATCAAAGCCACAGACGCTTTCATTGTTAGTGCTAGTAATACAATCGAGGACAACAACTTACTTTGGCATACAAAGCAGATGAAAACATCCTTGATTCTCAGTAGGTGGAAAGGTGAAAGCCTCAAGGTACTGCTTGTCAAGAAAGCAAAGTGCTGCTGCACAAAGAAAGCCACAAACAACAGCCCAGAAACCGTGAAAAGCGAGATGATCTGTCCGCTACTCCATTCATAGAGGGTACCACCGAAGCTCGTTGCCATGATACCTGCCGTAAATGCTCCTGCACTTAGTATGGCGCCTAACCAGTCTACTGATCTGATCCTCGAGCCGAAGTCCGAGCTAGGTGCTGGGGTATATCCGGGTAGGATCGTGATATACACTGGAATACTCACACCAACAGCGACAACATTGATATAAAAACCCTGTATATCTCAATAAGGGCCACTTTCAAGCTAGAGCAACTCACCCATCTCCAAGTTGCAGAACTATCAGTAAATGCTCCACCGATCAGGGGCCCTATAATGGTACCAAAGCCCCACACAAGCGACAAGAATCCCATATATGTGGGCGTTTCTTTCTTCGTTGTGAGAACGCTGATCAAGGTCAATGCGCCGAGATACATGCCAGTGCCTCCTAGGCCGGCAATGACTCGCCCAAAGATCATGGCTGTCATTGACGGCGCGGCGCCGCAAATAGCTGAGCCGATCAAGAATAGCAGCGAGAACTTGTACGCATTAGATGCTTGTGCTGGAGTACAGGTGCACACATACCTCAATATATAGGAGTTTGGCGTCGAACACCCCATACAGCTTCCCTAGAATGAGCGCACATGCTGACCCTGGAAGCGTAAAGCTATCGTTCTGTAAGTAGGGGTACGAAGACCAACTGAATCGACAAACCCGACAGAGACCCATGGCAGATCTTGGACGTTCGAAAAGGCTTTTATGATCGCCTACAAATGTCAAATTCTGGTAGCTATGGCAGAAGGAGATGCTCACAGGTTGTATCACGGCAACAATCGTATTGTCCACGGCGTAGAAGAGTAAGTTTGACAGTATCAATACTGCGATGAGAACCCACTGTAAGACCGATAAGCTATAGCCTATAGCCCAAATGCTCTGAGTATGCACAAGTACCTTGAAACCTCGTATCTTGCGCTCGTCCGTGGGCTCAGTCAGGTCTTTTGCCAGATCCGACTTTTCTGACATACGATTAGCATGACGATAATTAGTAGATGGGGAATCTTAAAATACCAGTATGCGTCTGGTCCACGGTCGGAGTCTCCGTTTCTGCCATTCTTGCTATTCTGTTCTGATATCTGTCAGTAGAAAACCTTCTTAGTGTCATGGGTTGCAGGGGTAAACTGCGCCGACCACCGACCTGTCAACAAGCTGTTGTGTTTCAATAGCAGAGTCTGTATCGGATCAGATCGAGCAGTCCTCGGATCAAAGGTCGCGAGGTCCGGTTTTACCCCTTGCTTCGCTTGTTGACCCCAGACGCTACCATGGAATGCCGGATAACGTTACCCATGTAGGACCTAACAGTCTCGCTTCATTGTTCTTAGAGAAGATTTGATCGCCGTGAAGCCAACTGCATATCCCTGGCATAAAGTCACCAACACGCAACGGAGGTTCGATTGTCATTCGGACACACAATCACACGTCTTCCTGCCTAGTAAATCCCCCCAGCAGCCAACGCGTCAGCCAACATACTTCAGCCGTGGTTAGCAATCAAAACCCCATGCCTCCTCTAAGATCCCTGATACCTCGTCTTAGAATGACCCAGCTGCCCGCGCCAGACCGGCCATCGCAGGTCCAAGACGATAATGCATCTGCGGAGAAACCTATCAGACACTTGGCAGATCTGCCTGAAAGTCGGCTGTGCAGGTAGTATCCTCAATCCTGAGTTTATCATGCAGTCTCCAGCCAGGTCAAATAGATCTGCCCTCGTACAGCCTTCCGCATACCTCCATATGCAGCACCACACGTTTCCAGTCTCGATCAAACTTTACTAGAAAACCCGCCCAATCATGACGTCAAGAGGGAACGCCAGTGAGCTGGTCGACGCACTGGCCTCTGCTTCTAAACATGGAAAGCCAATCGGATCCATGTCCAGTGCCATCTATGATACTGCGTGGGTATCCATGGTGCGAAAGGCCTCGTGTGACGGAGATCCCCAGTATCTCTTCCCAGAGGCTTTCGACTTCCTCCTGAGCTCCCAAAAGGGATGTGGGAGCTGGGAGGATGGTGGATCGGAAACAGATGGCATCCTGAACACCCTGGCCGGACTCCTTGCTCTGTACCACCATAACAAACACGATGAGCGCTTCCGTGGTGATGAAGATCTGCTCCAACGTATCACCCCATCGCGGACCTGGTTAGAGCTAGCTCTGACAACATGGCAAGTCGAAAAGGCAGACCAGGTCGGATTAGAGATGATTGTTCCGGCGATCGCAAAGAAGCTCGCCGAGGAAGGAGTCGATCTGCCTATCCCGGACTCTCTCTTGCAGTTGCACGTACAGAAGATGGGGAAGTTTGACCCAGCTGTGTTGTACGGCGCACAACAGACGACCGTATTGCATTCGCTAGAGGCATTCCAGGGCGTGATTGACTTTGATAACGTCGCACATCACGTGGTTCATGGTAGTATGTTAGGCTCGCCTTCATCAACAGCAGCATATCTCATGAATGCTACGAAGTGGGATGACGGAGCAGAGTCTTATCTCCGCGTGGCCCTTGTAGACGGTGCCGGAAAAGGAAATGGCTCGTTTCCCAGTGCATTTCCAAGTACTTACTTTGAGATGTCGTGGGTGTTGACCACGCTGCTGGAAAGCGGGCTTACAGTGCAAGATTTGGGTGAAGACAACGTAATGTACCTTGCAGACGTCTTACAGGACGGATTAGATAGAAATGGTGGCTGTCTTGGCTATGGTATGTTTTACAGGAGTGGCTTTTTCCTGGAATTTGAGCTCACTCTGTCGCAGGACCTGGCTTCCTTGAGGATGCAGACGATACTGCCAAAGCAGTTTTGTTGTTGCAACTAGTTGGTCGACAACCACCCGTGTCTGCTCTCATTGAACGATTTGGCACTGACAGCTTGTTCAGAACGTATAGTTCGGAACGCAACCCAAGCTTCAGCGCGAATTGCAATGTTCTCCTGGCACTCATTAGTGATGCAGATGCTTCTCAACATGTGGCTGAGATCAATAGCATAGTCTCAAGTCTGTGTGATGCATGGACTGGAAGTCTACCAAAAGACAAATGGGTGCGTTATAGTGTATCCGAGTCATGCCGAATCCAAGCTCAACTTTTTAGAATATATCCCCATACTACTCCACGATGCTGCTGGCTATAGTCTTCGTAAAGCTCCTTCAGCATCCAGTCGCAGCTACACTGGAGTCAAGGCTCACGTCCCGGATACCGCAGATTCTGCTCAACATGGCTCGCCTTACTATTGTCACGCAAGATAGTGATGGATCCTGGGAGGGAGGAAAAGCAGAAGTGTCAGCTTATGCCATACTCGCGTTATGCCACATGGCTCGCCTGGACTACATGGAGAGCACGCTCCGAGGTTGTCAAGCGATTGTCCAAGGCAGACACTTCCTGGACAGCCTCATCGGCACGAATGTTAAGCCAGACAAGATCTGGATCGAGAAAGTGACATACTCGTCGCCGTCGCTCCAGACGGTGTACCTCGTAGCCGCAAGCGTCGCATCTGAGACTGCATCTATACCCGTGACCCCAACACTCCCTGCGCAACTGGGAATGGAAAAGATGGCCAAGTTCTTCTCCAAACTCCCAGCTTTCGCAAAGACCAATCCAACTCTCATAAAGCTCGCCATCGTGGAAGCCTCCCATTACACAAAGAAGCTGGAATCCGTGCAACACGACATCTTCCCCCGTCAAACCGCAATGAAAGGGGGCTACCTAACCTACATCCCCGTAACATGGCTTGCGTCAAACATGACAACCAACGCTCTCGACGCCAGCCAGCTCTGGACCATGATGCACATCTCCCTCCTAAACTACCAAGTCGACGAGTACATGGAATCCGTTATCGACACCCTCAGCCCCACCGACCGCGCTCGCGTCCGCCACTCCATCCGCCAAATCTGCCACACGCCCGACCTTTCACACACACCTCCCACTGACACTCCCACACAACAGCACGACGAACCCCCCAAACATTCCCCCGCCTACGGAACACGACCAATCGACACGCCCACGCCTAGCGACTCAGACTCCGACTCCGGCACCAGCGACACCCTCGTCGAAATCACCACCGTCCTCACAGCATACACATCGCACTTCTTTAACCACCCAACCGTGCTCCGTAGCCCCGCATCAGCGCAAACCCGACTACGGCGCGAAATGGACGCGTTCCTCCAAGCACACATGGAGCAAATCGAGGACAACGCGCGGTTCCGGAGCGCAGACACAGGATCTGAACGCAGGTATGCGGCGTCCAAGACGTATCATACCTGGGTCAGCACCACGTCTGCGAACCACACTAGCTGTCCCGTGTCGTTCTGGTTCTACGGCTGTCTGATTGGGACGGCGGGGCGGGATGTGTACGGTGGTGCGCGGGCAGGGTATTATGCGGAGGCGGGGATGCGGCATCTCGCGACGCTGTGTCGGCAGTATAATGACTTTGGGTCTGTGGGGCGGGATCGGGAGGAGGGGAATGTGAATAGTGTTGATTTTCCGGAGTTTTGGGACGGGGAGGGGGGATGGGAAGAGGGGCGTGCGAAGGGGGATTTGTTTGCGTTGACGGGGTATGAGAGGGAGTGTATGGAGGGGGCGTTGGGGAGGCTTGGTGAGGAGGTGGAGGCTGGGGAGATGGAGAAGGTAGATTTGTTTGTGCGGGTGACGGATTTGTATGGGCAGATCTATGTGGCGAGGGATATTGGGTCTCGGTTGCAGTCTGCGTCGTAGGTTGTTATGTGGCGGGCAAATTTGTTTAGTGATATGTTTGGCTCTGAACAGTTTAATCTTGGGCGATATTTATCACGGCCACAGTGTATCAGACCGCTATGGCTTGATCTACACGTATCGATATAATGTTACTGATGATTTCGAGTTATATCTGATATATGTGAACGCCAGTTCGAAGCGTTCCTGTGCTTGATGAAGGTGAGTCTACACATAGTCAAGATGAAGTGCAGTCTACCATTCCAGTGCAGCTCATCTCCTAAAAGAAAGACATTTCACCTCAACAGCAGTAAGAAGAAAGCCCACAAAACACAAACAAACACCCATCGGCACACCCACCACCCTACCCAAGCAGAAACGCAACAACCCAGCCCCAAAGACAAAATCACAATGCACTCCCAACAGACCGCTTAACATACCTCTAACTAACAACACACCGCTCCATCGTCACCCCCCTCCACCAACCAAGCCTGCGTCCCTCAGCATCCAACCAAACCACCGACAACCTATCACTACACCCAAGCGTGCGTCCCTCACAAAAGTTCCCGATCTCAAGATATCCGACATCCGGAAGCACGCCCGGGGGCCCATGCTCAAATGTATCGAGTGCGCTTGCCAATACCTCCCTGCCTTGTGGGTCCGGCGTGTCGAGCGTGTCGAGCATATCGAGCATTGCGTGTAGGAAAATCGTGAAGAATGACCGGCATGGCTTTGCTGTACCTGTGTCGTAGCTGCTATTCTCACCATCCGTACTGGCCTCACCATCGTCACCATCATCACCATCCCCACAATCCTCACCCCCCCTCCACAACCTCCGATCAAACCGCAACCGCAGCCGAACCGGCCCCTCCCGCTCCCCAACAACACAGCCAAGAAGTCCCCGTACAAAATCCCTCTCAATCAGCGCCCGCCTCCCCGGGTCATCATGGTGAAAGTGCCAATTGACATCCAGAGCCAGACACTGCAAGCTGGGATTATGGAGGGCAGCTTGGAGGAGGATCTGGATGTGGGTTTCGTGGACGTAGGATGGGTCGGTGTGGAGTGCGATGCGGAATTCGAAGGTTGGGGGGGTGGGTTGTCGGTGGATTGCGGGGACGGAGAGGGTGAAGTTGGTTTTGCGGATGGAGATGGGGAGGAGGATGGGCTTGGAAGGGTTGGGTTGTTTTGTGATTGTGAAGAGGGGAGGAAGGGTTTTGAGTTCTTCTTCTTGTTGTTCTTCTTCTTCTTGATGTTGTTGGGGTTCGGGGTAGGTGGTTGGGGTAGTTTGTGATTCCATGTTATGCTTGTGTGGTTGATTGGGGGTGGGATATATTGCGACTTGCTTGATCGCGGAGAGAGACTGTTGCAGGAGGTGGGAACGTTGATGTAGCGAGGAGGAGTAGTATAAGAGGCAGGCCGTCTTTATCTGAAAGGCATGATAACAAAGACAAACAGCTGCTTATTTTTAATGGGTAGGGAGTCTTGAAATAACAGCTAGGCTATTCAGATCTCTTTCAAGAGTTGTTTCTTTGTCTTCGTTCCTGTATACGTTGTGTGAATGAACATCTCCCAGAGACAACAAACCTCGCACGGACCCATATTTCAGCGGCAAGTGTAAATTTTATTAATAGCTCTGTAGTGATGTTCGTTCCTTAACTCGAAATCGACCGAACATTCATTAGTCTGTTCGAGTAGGGACCGAAGTTTCACTTTTATGCTGCCCCTATCTTTAACTTTCTTCAGTTCGCTGACATATGACTCTGCAAGTGCATGCGAGCGTTGAATGCCACAGATAAATTGTTTAATATTATGCAAGTCTACAGCCATGTATTTGACACTCTTGGCAGGTACGGAAGAAACATGCCGTCTTTGTATTGTGACGCAATACTTTGTGCCCACTACGTTCAACATTGTTCCGAATCTGTCACCGCACATTGAGCATACTGGCCAGACCAAGACTTAGCAAGTCACCCCGGCGAATCCGGCATATGACAAATGATCATTGACATTGGACCCGGACGCTTTCTCGTTACAATCACTCGGCTCTTGGCCAAAACAATGATACGTACTCGAGGCACTCGGTGCGCTACTGGACATCTCCCAATATTCAGTGCGGCAGTGCACATAGTCGATGGGTGCGCCGGCCGGCGGCAGTCTCGGCACGGGATCATTGGCGTGGGTGACGCGGAAGTAGATGCCATTCGACGAGGTCGACTTTGATTTTGCGTCGACGAAGTTGGCGTAGGCTTGGTTCCCTGTGCGGGGCTCGCCATAGGTGTAGACTGCGGCGATCTTATACGAGGATGTGGCAATGAGATCCGCGAACTGCAGGTCTGCGATTGCGCCGCCAAGGGAGTAGCCGGAGATGATGAGGGCGGCAGAGGGGTACTTCTTGAAAGCGGCGGCAAGGGCAGTATTGGCCATGGATTTCGCAGAGCTATACGCGACGTTGAAGCCGGCGTGGACAAGCATGAATTGCAGCCGGTGCTGCTGGGGTAGGAGACTTGTTCGAAATTGAGGTCCTCGATGTAATTCGCAGTGTTGTTGGAGCCGGCCCAGGTGATGATGATTTGGTTGCGAGCGGAGGCGTACCAGACTACGCCGTGGACATTGGTGTCGTCGAAGCCAGAGCCGGTGTCAATGTAGGAGAGCGCAATGACACCGTTGGGTGGATTAGGACAAGTTGATCCGATAGAGAGGGAGGTCGCTTCATTCAGGTTGGCGTAGTAAACAAGGTCGTTGTACGTTGCGGTTGTAATGCTGGTCTTGGACTGGGCGAAGGCCGTACCAAAGACCACAGCCAGAGTCGAAAGAGTGGTGAAGAGCATCTCGTCGATGATGGCTTCGCGGCGAGGTGAGGAATGCACGAGGTCTATAGCTGCAGGACTTCAATGATATTGCCAGAGCTCGACTTTTATAACGCCATGCTGTGCCGTAAGATGGACTCCTTTCTAGACAAGATCGACGATTTATCAGGATCATAGTGCTGAACAAACCCTATGAAGTGGTTACCAATCAGCCATGCGAATACGTAGCTGATGTTTTGTAGTTCCGGCATCCTTCCGTGGACGTTCACTTGAGCAAGCGTCGATTCCGACCCGATGCGATTGGTAATTAGGTGATGGTTCATAGTACGACGCCTGCGGCTCGTTTGTATTAAAGTGTACTTTTCTGTTGGCTCATGTACTATTACAGCCTAGTTAACTGTCAAACATAGTAAAGTGTGCATCCTACTATTAGTTGGTTTGTTGGTAGCGAGGTTGGTCGGACGAAGCTTGATCCGACGTCAGCCCTAAAGTCATAATCCACGCGTGGGGAACAAAGTCGACAACCGTTCAAAACGAAAAGTTTTGAGACGTAGAATTATGCCTCTAGAATTGCTGTTGTGATTTCGCCTGGAAAGGGAACCTGAGTAGTAGACATACTAAGATCAGCGAGCCGTCCGGCGTGGGCTTGAGCGGCGTGCGAGGCTAGCAGCGTTGTATAAAGCTGGACACAATCTTGACAGCGATAATTCCAACCAAGTTGCATTATTCGCGGACGAATTGGGCTTCACCAAGGTGCTCTGGACGCTACACAAAACTGAGCTAAAGGCTGACGAAGCTTCTGTAGTGGCCGGCCTTGTTTTGTGCCTATGTTCAGGGGTAAAGTTCACCGAGAGGCACCATGAGGACTTGGCTCTCCAGAGACGTTCGTTGACCAAGGTATGGTTTGTACTAGAGTCGCAATCATCATCATTACCAAAGCCAGACGGATATAAAGCTCGTCGGATGTTCAAGCGTCAAATCTATGTTGCAGATATCTCGATTGGAGGACATCTCGTTCCTAGTATGTTGCTAAACGAGTCGTCGACCATACCATCGTCACAATTTAGAGTCAGTAATACAGCATACTTGCTTGAGGTGAACAAGTTCTCGGTTGATGCAGAAATGAGTGGTTTCGCGTTCTTCGACTTGGACAATCGCAGTACCATACGACCACCACATCGACGGTCAGTATGAAGACACGCTGTTGAACGCAAGATGCAACGACTGTAGACATAAAGTCTTATAACACAGTATCCATGAATCGTGGGGAAGCTGAAGCTGAAGAAGTGATGAAAATTTGCAACAGCAGATGACCGTCTGCTGGAGGTTTGGCAGGCTGACTAATCGGGGCTGATTGGGGCTGAGTAGGCACGTGCTCACGCGCTTTCCGAATTATTCTCGTGTCTTGGCATTATGCTCCCTTTTGCGGCGGTTCTTCAGCCCTACAGATTCCGATGTTATTCATTTCGCTGCCACCGTTGGTTTGTCTCCATTATTGTCTCCGTTATTCCCTTTGCTTTCACGTAACTTTCCGGGTTCATGGTATGGATGACCAGTCGACAACATCGACGACGTCCAATCATGCTGTAGGTAATACGAAGTCAGGGGCGCCTAATGCGGATCATTGTCTTCGACCGCGGACATCAAGGCGTCGTCCGTATCACCCATTCCACTGTAGGCATTGTTTGGGAGCTGACTCACTTTTACTGTGCTCCCGATCTACGGCGCAATGTGTATAAATTCCTTCGCAGAGGCAATGTCCTAAGGCTCTCCTACTTATCATCGTCCTCATAATTAACCTCTTACACTTACATCAACCCATCAGTATTCTCCATAACAACACACTTCGACACCCATGATATCCACTCGGGCTGTCACAACTTGCCGTACACTTGCGGCACCAAACACCACTTCGACCCTCCTCAAAGCCTGCAATGCTACCGTGGTAGGATTTCGTTCTGCGTCTGTATCCCCACAGCAGCAGCAATGGACCTCTCGGCGCGGTTTCACTACGACGCCGACTCGTAATATAAAGGAGTTTTTCCCCCAGACTGAAACGAGGGACATCAGAGAGACTCCTCCAGCGTGGGAACATCCAATCTACGCCAAGGATGACATGTTGAAGGTCCAGATCGCACACCGCGAGACACGGGACTGGGCTGACAAGATCGCCTTACTGGCCGTCAAAGGTATGTTTTGGGTTCTATTACAGTTGCAGAGTCGGAGCTGATCATATCAGTTCTGCGAACAGGTCTCGATATCGCCTCTGGATATCGTCATGCTTCCGCCAAAGAGCTGGCAAAACTGGATCCCCTCACAGCTCGCCAGAAATACGGCATGACGGAGCGCAAATACCTCATTCGAAACATCTTCCTCGAGTCCGTTGCCGGCGTTCCGGGCATGGTTGCCGGCATGATGCGACATCTACACAGCATGCGACGCATGAAGCGCGACAACGGTTGGATGGAGACATTGCTAGAAGAATCCTACAACGAGCGCATGCATCTGCTCACATTCCTCAAGATGGCTGAGCCGGGCTGGTTCATGCGGTTGATGGTGCTGGGAGCACAGGGTGTGTTCTTCAACGCCTTCTTCGCTGCATACATCCTCTCGCCTCGGATATGCCATCGATTTGTGGGATACCTCGAGGAAGAGGCAGTGATTACATACACTCGCGAGATTGAAGATATTGACAACGGGACACTGCCGAATTGGGGCAAGATGCAAGCTCCCGAGATTGCTGTCAAGTACTGGAATATGCCCGAAGGCAGTAGGACGATGCGCGATTTGTTGCTCTATGTCCGTGCGGACGAAGCAAAGCATCGCGAGGTTAATCACACTCTGGGCAACCTGGATCAGAAGAATGATCCGAACCCGTATGCCAGCACATACAAGGACGTCAACAAGCCGCATCCTACCAAGGGCATCGAGCATCTGCAGTCCACGGGCTGGGAACGTAAGGATGTCATCTAAAAGTCCCATATTTTGTATTTTACACATGGCGTTGTTGGATCGGTCAAGGGATCGAGGCTCTCTCCTCTCTCACATTGCGACAGGCGTTGGAATATACCTAAGATAGAACGAAAGACGGCGACTCATGCCGCTGTATATAGACGCATTGGATCGGCTTCGACCGACTACCTATCTTCCACGCTCCACGATGACCAACGTCGCTGATGCTCCAATCATGAATACGTGTCCTCGACTGATTTTATTTCATCCATATCACATACGTGGTACTGAGTGCTCCACACGAGTTTTCCTCTTCTGGCGCTAAAAGCCCTCGGTAAACCACGTCACACCGAGTCAGTAATCCTGGATCCCCGCAAACACTATTCCTTGCAACTATTCATTTTAGTCTCCAGCCCCGACCAAAGCGTCATTTGTGCCCGCAACACCAAAAGAAGCGATGCGTGCGGGGAATGATGCTCGTTACCGGAGCTGTGCCACGGGACAGGGAGCAGTATGGGTACTCACGCCTTAAAGCTGCGGGCTTTGGGGAGCTTCTCTCATCCTCATCCGTCCTCTTCTCACCACCCTCGCGCCCATTCACAGCTCGCGTAAACAGAACCCCGCTTACGTTCTCCGTTCGCCCTGAGTAATTCCTCCGAATTAGTCTCTCACACGCTATCAAGCGTGATCGTTGGGATCACATACGACGGACGGTAGAGCTTCCAAGAGCTTCAAGTCAACATGCCTCTCCGAAGTCCTTACCAACTCAATCGTGAAGGTAAGCCTTCGAGAGCAACTATTACCACAAAAGAGTGCAAGTTCTGACAGCTTCAGGTGTCACACTCGATACTGTCGGGCGATTGATCAGTCGCACAGCCCTCAATCCCTTCATCACTCTCCCACTATGGCTTGCTGCCGCATACACAAATCAAGGATCAGCTCTCGTGGCCAAGAATCTGAACGCTGAAAGAGGCTTCAAAGCTCTACGCACACTGCTCATCCTCGGCGCATTCCGCTACGTTAACAGCTTCCTCGACGCCGGTGTCACAAACAACTGGAGCAACGATGTATACGACTGGAAGAAGGAGGTTGTCGTAGTGACTGGCGGCAGTGATGGCATTGGAGCACATGTCGTAAAGCTTCTTGCGGAGAGAGGCATCAAGGTCGCAGTTCTCGACATCCAAGACCTCAAATATGACCGTGAGCACCAGACCTCCTGTCACTCCTCGCATAGCTAACTTTGAAACCCAGCTCCAGCCACAGTCTCCTTCTTTAAATGCGACCTCGCCTCCCCCGACTCCATCACCTCCGTAACAGCCACCATCCGATCCACCCTCGGCGAACCCACCATTCTCATCAACAACGCCGGCGTGGCCTTTGGCAAATGCATCCTCGAGACCTCCGAGCGCGACCTCAACCTGACCTTCCGCGTCAACACCTTCGCCCACTTCTACCTCACCCAGGCCCTCCTCCCGTCTATGGTGCAGCGCAACCACGGCATGATCGTGACAGTGGCCAGCCTCGCCGGCTTCGTCACCGCCCCCAACATGGTCGACTACGCCGGCAGCAAAGCCGCCGCCGTCGCCTTCCACGAGGGCCTCTCTGCCGAACTCGCAACCGTATACAAAGCCCCCAAGGTCCGCACCGTGCTCGTCGCACAGGGCTACACCCGCACCGCCCTCTTCCAGGGCTTCAAGCAGGGCGACCCTTTTGTCAACTACCCGCTCTATCCCGAGACCGTCGCCGAGGAGATTGTCAAAGCCGTACTCGCCGGCCGCAGCCGCACGCTGTTCTTGCCTGGTGTGAGCAGGTACGTGAGCATGAAACTGAGAGCCTGGACCGAGTGGGCGCAGTACGGCCTGCGCAAGAATATGGCCGAGTTGATGAAGTCATGGCATGGCAGGCAGGTCGTGCAGCCGAGTGAGGAGAAGGGCAAGGGCGTGCTACAGGCTAGCGAGGAATCTAGAAGTGAAGGTGATCTGGCTGCAGTGATGGGTGCTTTCGCAGAGACACCTGCCAAGCCGTATCAGCAACCGCAATAGCTCGTATTCGGACAGTCACAACAGACGCCAGGTAAACCTGCTGTGCCAAAAATCGAGTTGCTCCCAGAGATTAGAGAAGCAGCTAGTAAGGATCCGATGATAGGGCGATTTGTGGCGGCGATGGACAAGCTAGCGACAGGCTAGTATGTGGCTACGGAGGAATAGTTTATAGAGGTGGAGATAATAGGTAGGCACTCTTCATCATCTAAACATACTTAATCGCTATGGGTGTCTAGTCTATGTCCGTCTGCGTTGCAGGAGTGAGCATCTGTGTGTGGATCGGTGGTGGATGGGCTGTGTGCTTGTTGTGTGGTGCTGGGTGGGTGTGGGTGGTGGACACTGTGTTGCCTCATTGGGGGAGGGACGGTGGTTACAGACAGGGGCTTTATATTTATATTTATCCGTGGCTTTGGAGATATATATGTGTGTGTGAGAACTTGGAATCTACAGTAAGTAAGAGACTAAGATTGCTTGCGTTAAATTGAAGTGAACCAAGAACAGACATGGCGAGATAATGATCAAGGTTCCTCAAATAGGAAAGAAAAATATGTGATAACCTATGGATATAAATAATATTTGACATATCCACCTAATTCGTGTTACTGGCTAGACTCGACGTCCGAACCTCGCCGAGCACCCTTAAGCACCAGAACCTTGCAGGAATCGACTAATTTGGCTATATATAGAGCCTGGTGTTACGTCTCCGTCGGGAGAAAGTATCCGCTTGCTACGGACCATCATATTTACTCTGATATAAGGAATAGAACTAATTAGATTGGGATTTTACCGTCTTGGTAGTCATTCTTGAGGTGTAGATTGAGGTTGTGTTCTCTGTTGGGATACTTGACTAGATCGAGCTTGCATGGATAGAATCGGATTGGATGTGCCGGAGTCTGACTACGGGGGGCTAATGTAGCATAGTATATATATATTAATAGATAGACTATCATGGTGTTAGAGACTAGACTATTATAAGTACAAAGATACTTAAGGTATAGAAGGGTTTGAACTCGTTTTGAATATAGTTCGACTAGGTCCAAGGATCATATGGTTTTGGTTTTAGTTTAAGAGTTATATCATAGTAAAGCAAGCATAACTTCATAAGGAGGACTTTAATAAGTATGTATTTAGAGTAGATAGTTGAAGTAGATGGTTTGATTTTAGAGACAGAGTTTGAATCTCAAGAACGGCCAAGTCTTCTATTAGTAGCTGCGTATGTATAGATATAAGATTGAAAGACCGACTTTCATTCTCTCTATCCATTCATTACATGGAGGGCAGCTATATCTCTTACCAAAGGTAAATATTCAATGATATAGTAGTGTGTCGTGCCTGTATATTGTCCTGCCCAGGGCTCAATCGGCTTGTATGGGCGAGGAGCAGGTAGCTATGGCATGTGCCTTGGGGTGGCTTAGAGGATCATATGGGAATGGGTTATGGGATATAGGGATAGGTTATGGGGATAGGTTATAGGGATAGGTTATAGGGATATGTTCTTGGGAATGTGTGTGTGTGTGTGTGTGTGTGTGTGTGTGTGTGTGTGTGTGTGTGTGTGTGTGTGTGTGTGTGTGTGTGTGTGTGTGTGTGTGTGTGTGTGT